ACTTCCAGCGCCTTGCCATCTCTATTCATGCGATATACCATCTGGCCTCGGAGGTGTCCCTGCTCAAGACATATCATGATCTCAAGCACCTCAACACGACTCCAGCGCTTACCCTCATCGAGCTGGCTAATCTGGGGGCCCGGGGCAGCCGTATTCACTACCTGTCCACCTGGAGTGTTCCCCATCTGCAATCCTGGGAGCAGTCGCAGCGCAATTTCTCCAGCATCCAAGTCGACGAAATCAGTCCCATCCACTTTGCTCCCCCTGCGACCGTTGACAATGGCTACTTCAAGACCCGCTGGGCCACGGAGATGCTCCTCACGCGGGCCGCTGCGCGTGGGTTCCCCGTCACCATCTACCGTTCGTCCGCCATCTCGGGCAACACCGTGACGGGCGTCCCTTCCTCTGACCAGGACATCGTGCGTGGTATGGTTATGGATATGGTGCGTCATGGGGTCGTCCCTCAGGCTGGCACGTCCGATGTTCCTTTCGTGGTCGATTTCATTCCTGTCAACTATCTCGCGGACGTATTGGGCCATCTCACCGCGGTGCACGACACCACTCGACCCGCCGGACTAGAGGTCCTCCACATTACCAACCCCAAGCCCCTCTCGCTCGACCAACTGCCTCGTCTGGCAGCAGCCATTCGAGGTGATGGTCACAGTGCTCGCTCCGTGAGCGTGGAGGGCTGGCTCGAGGCGCTGGAGCAGGCAGTCGGCGAAGATGAGCAGCTGCGTCTCGAGACTTTGCGAAACTATTTCCTCAATGGACACAACATGTTTGCTCTAAATTGCCGCAAAGCAAATGCCTTACTGGCAGAGAAGAAGGATCTTGTGGCTTGCCCCCCTGTGGATGAAAATTATTTGAGAGACTTGTGGATGGGGACGGCGTAGAAGCTAGTACTATGTTTGTTTTGATTTGAGTGTTTCATTGCTTTTGGGCACCAAACCCTAATTAGTTGTGTCTCCATAGGCCACCTTGACGGACATGTTCTTTCTGAAAGGCGGTATTGCTGTTGTTGCAAATAGTGAAGTAGTATGTCTAATCTGAATGACAAGATCAGTCGTGATGAAACTTTTTGGCATGTCAACTAAAATCCCTAGTCGAGCACGTAGCTCCCCATGTCACCGTGGCTTTCTGATCTCATACGTGTAGTCTCTTGACGTCTTCCATTTGAATGTCCACGCTGTATGGGTCTTCTGATAGCACCTCCTGGTTCAGGGCCACACTTGGGGAAAGCGAGTTTACTGAGTTCAGGTTGCGTACCGCCGACGTTTCATTTCCTTCTAACAGCTGAAAAATGTATGAATCTAGTTTCTACCGCCTTGAATTAAACTAGACCCCTTTGTGACTGATGTACCCGCGAATGAGTCGAACTAGCAAGATACGACTAGGCTCACGGGAGCGGACCGAAGGCAACCTTGAATCTCTCGTCATGTAACCCTGATCCACCCCATCCTCTCCGCGGAACAAGTACTGAGGATCCGCTAGCACAACCTCCAACTCGTCCCTGACGCCATGACTTGTTGACAAGTCCGTGGGTAAGCTTAGTCCAGAAGTCGAACGACCTCACTATCAATTTCGAGCAAGGATCTGCTTCTCCACGTTCCGCTCCGCCACTGGCGCGCCAATCGGCGAGTTACATTTAGACTTCTGCGGACTATACTCTATGGGCCCGTCTCGGCATCTTGAGTGACAAAGCAGTAGTAGTTATGGCCTACTGATGACAGCCTTGAGTCGCCAAACGACGTATGGCCAACACTTCCATTCTCATTCTGCTTGACGAGTCTCCATCGCAGACAGTATGCCTTCTGGTCTGGACGGGGTCTTGACGCGATATCCGGCTGGCTGTGAGGTCGTCATCGAGTCCGATTGTTCCGCTCACTATCCGTCATGACTATTACCATGATGTCCATCAGATAGCATGTATATAGAGGGCCTTCGGGAGAATGCTATTAGGTCAGTCAATTGGCCATTCGAACCGAAAATAGATCCTGCCTGAAGCAAGATGCGGTCTCATCTGCAGTCTGTCGTCCTTTTCTCACTCTGCCTCAGTCCGGCAGTGGCCACCCCGTATATCTACCACCGCCGGCCGGTCTTGCAGGAGTATCTGGGCCCCGAGGCAGATCAAAACCCACCCCAGCCGACGGAGCCATATGACTATGTGGTAGTCGGCGGCGGAGTAACTGGCCTCATCGCAGCCGGCCGCCTAGCTGAACATTACAATGTGGCCGTCGTGGAGCGGGGCGGATATTATGAGGAGATGACAGGCAACCTGAGTCAAGTCCCGGGATACACAGAACTCTTTGACAACAGCAACACTCCTCCCCGCGATGATGTGGAACATTGGTGGGAGATCCCCGGGACGCCGGTATGAGAATTCGCCCTTCTCCCTAAACCCAATCTCTTCTTTCCATCATACAGCAGGGCACTGACTCCTCAATGCATAGGAAACCAATAACCGCGCCTTGAACTTCACTGGTGGAAAGATGGTCAGTAATCTCCCCGATTCTGCCATTACTTCTGTGAACTGTTACAATATTGATCTGGCTGTTGAGATAGATTGGTGGCAGTCATGCCTTCTCCTATTTTGGTTACCTGCGTCCAACCTACGGAGCCATGCAAAAATGGGCCGATGAAGTTGGGGATCAGTCCTGGACCTACCCAAATACAGAGGAATATTTCGACAAGTCCATCAAGTTTACTCCTCCTAATTCCACTACGCGCTTGGCCAATGCTACACCCGAGTATGATCCCAGCCTCAAGGGCACTGGGCCTCTGGAGATTACCTACCCGCGCTGGGTGCACCCCTTCAGCACTTGGTTGGCCAAGGCCTTTGATGCTCTGGGGGTCAAGCATACCCTGAGTTATGCCAATGGCGAGCTTCTTGGCTCCAGCTGGATCCTAGACACCATCAACAGCACCGACGGCACCCGGAGCACCTCCTGGACAGCCTACGTCAAGAATGCCCCGCCGCCAAAGAAGCAGCTCGATATCTTCACCTTCACCCTCGCCGAGAAGATTCAGTTCGATGGGACCAAGGCCACGGGAGTGGCCGTCACCCGCGAAATTCCCAAAAAGTCCGGCGGTCCCCGGTCAATTGAGCAATTCACCATCGAGACGAAGAACGAATTGGTTCTGGCTGGTGGTGGTGTACTCTCCCCGCAACTCCTTATGGTCTCAGGTGTTGGGCCAACTAAACAATTGCAAGAGTTGAACATTGATCCAGTCCTGGAAAATGATGCGGTGGGCCAGAACATGCACGATCACATTGTCTTCGCAGTCGCCTATCGGGTGAAAACGCCAACCAGCTCAATTCTGTTGGATGATGAGAAGCGCTGGCATGAAGAAGATCTGTTCAAAGAGAACGTCACCGGCATGATGACCAATTGTGGTCCCGACTTTGGAGGTATTGTGGATATTCCCAGCGATCTGCGAAACTTCTCGTCATCGACCAAAGCAGGTACGTGCTAGATGCTCTTATTTTCTATCACACATTAGATGGTTTTACTGACGCGGATGTCGAAGACCTGGGTTCCTTGCCCAAGGACTGGCCCGAACTTATTGTCGTTTCTTTCCCGCTGGGTCATGACTACCCAGACGATGGCTACAACTATGCCTCCCTGATGGGCGTTCCTATGACTTCCATGTCAGTGGGTAATATCACTCTCAACTCCACCAAAATGAGCGATAAGCCCGTTGTGCACCCGCACTGGCTTACCAGCACGACCGATCTGGAAGTGTCGATTGCATCGCTCAAATACATGCGTCGGATCTTTGAAAACCCAGCCATGGAGCCCATTATTATCGGCGATGAGTTTGCTCCGGGCCCTGAAGCCGCCACCTGGGCTGAAGTTGAGCATGCCTTGAAGAACAGCTTCCGTTCGATGCATCACCCGGCGGCCACCCTGCGCATGGGTCGCGAGGATGACCCGAATGCCGTCTGTGATAGTCGAGGTTCAATCAAGGGATTAGACAATGGTAGGTTACTATCTTTCCTTTTCTTCCCTTGCCATAATCAGGTGAAATCGGTTGGCTAATCTGTCTAATTCTCTTCAGTCCGAGTTGTCGATCCTTCGGCATTCCCTTTCCTGCCCCCTGGTCTGCCTCTTGCCCCTGCCTGTAAGTTTGCTCTTTTACATGCCAACTACTTACTAATAAAACTTGGGACACTAATGTATTGCAGTCATGTTCGCCGAAAAGATTACCGATAACATCATCAACGACCAGAAGAGCGGAAAGAAGAAGGGCCACGATGAGCTCCGTACGGACTTGTAGATGATTAAGCTTTCGAAACAATAGCCATAATCTATGGGAATGAAAACATACTTGTGGCAGGTGCTTTTGACAGACTTTACTGTCTGTTAGTCACCGACTACGTTCACTTGCATCCATTGCTGCAGGATAAGATTCTATATTTATGATATCATGGCCTCCATGTGATCGAAACCTTTCATCTAAGTCCATGCTGTAATAGAGAATATGAGAGTTTGGAGGACGTGTAATGTATTACTTTGGCAATCTTTGCCCATGTGATGAAACTACAAGCTTCAACTCGAAAGATCCGGGGGCAGCACAACCGTGGGAGCTAAGCTTACCAAAAGTGCTAGGCATCTTCAAGCGCTTACAGAGACAAAACGAAAACCGTTTTCCCTTATGTTACAAAGCTAGTTGCTCTAGAGCGGCATTCCAAATAAGGCGATATTACCTGAAGCAGAGTCGATGACCTCACATTGCGCGCGGCCAAGTTGACGTCCCGTTCCACTTGCAATCACGATATATGGTTCAACCCTAAGCTATGGTATGCCGCTTTTCCACTTCCTATTCAAAGCGCAGTACGACTTCCGTTCTCAATTTCCGTGTGATCAAGGCTTCTATTAGATGGTATGTCCGCTGCGGGGTCAAGATGAACGAGAGAAATATGCTTGGAAAGCGGCCTTCCACCCCCATAAGGTTTTCTCACGTATATAAGCAAAAATGAAAGGGATACTTTACGTGATTCATGCAGTTGATCTTGGTTCGAAATGAGGGGAAAGTGTTAGCCAGTCCTCCAGTATCTTCACAATCCTATCGTGCTGATAAGCTTTTGCCGCCAAAAGTGCTTTTCGCCCCCCAACATCGTCGGGGAGAACATCAGGTCTTCGGTTTGCAAGTAACCGACGCACCACGTCTTCGTGACCATTCACTGCGGCTTCAGACAAGGGCGTAAATCCAAACATGTCTTTAAAGTCAGGCTTGGCCTTTCCTGTAGTTAGAAGTAGGTGAACAACAGCTGCATGGCCGCTAGTGGCAGCGTGCATGAGTGGCGTGATTCCGAGTGAATCTGCTGCATCGACATTAATTCCTTCTGTCGAGAGTAGCTGGATAACAATATTTTCGTAACCTCTAGATGCAGCGTATGCCAGTGGTGTCATCCCATACCAATCTTTGACGTCAGGTTCAATGTTTTCTGTCGAGAGTAGTTGCATAGCAATGTCTGTGTAGCCTCCATATGCAGCGTACGCAAGTGCTGTCTTCCCATCCAAGGCCTTTGCATTTGGATCAGACTTCCCTGTAGCTAAGATTCTATCCACAAGGGCCTTATTTCCACTCCATGCAGCGTAGAGCAATACGGCTTCTGCGCACGGACTATTCAAGTGGGAGAAGAGGTCCTCCATGGTAACTAGTAGCTCTACAATCTCACCCCATCTATTCAAGGCTGCGCTTTGAAGCATTCTGTTCCAACCTTGCTCGGAGAGAGGTACCTGGAGACGTAATGACTGACTTTAGAATAACGCCAATCTCTAATGGGCTTCTTGGAAGGGGAATCGGGGATGGGCAACACCTACCTCCGTGCAGCTCATTTCCAAGAGCGACTTGATCATGGCAGGATTTGAGCGTTCGATTGCCAGTAACATTGGCTTCTTGCCATTTTCGTTTGTGGTATTCACATTTACAGGCTGTGTTGCTAACAGTCGATTGAACACAAGCTCGTCGTTACGCTCGATGGCGGAGCATAAATGAGCAGTAATATCGGCATTGTCTCTCATTAACAGTAAATCAAACATCTTCTCCCGTCCATATTGCATAGCACAGTGTAATAAAGTTTGATTAGCCATGTTCTGAGCACTCAAATTTATGCGATCCATTCTGATAAGTTTGGTGAAGATATATTGTTGCTCAAATCGAATGGCGTAATGCAAAGGCGTGTCGCCGTGTACATCGGGTGCATTCAAGTCAACCTCGCGCATAGCTAACATTCTGTCGAACATGGAGTCGCGGCCGTACTGGATCACGTAATGTAGATACTGCTTCCCATCTTTATCCGGCTGATTGAGGTTAACATGGATGTGTGTTATGAGGTTCGCAAACATAGCTTCTCGATCATATTGGATGGTGTAACGGAGCGCCATTTCGATACAAGCGGTAGAGGAAGCTGAAGCGTCTTGCAGCTGGCTTCGGATGATGGAATCGAGAAAATCCCTATGGTCATTCCTAACAGCATAGGAAACCAGAAAGTCAAGATCACGCCTGCTCGGTATAGAACCACATGGCTTGTCTTTATATATTGCCAGAATTAAATTCGATAGGTCATATTTGGCAAGGATATAAGGAAGACATGCAGATTCCGTGTGTCGACGGGCTTTGTACCTCTCGAGAATATTGCTGCAACGCTTCCAGCGGGAGAAATTGAAGTTGCCAAGAAAGCATCCCTGGCGGATGCCACCCTTCTCTGCAGCTTCAGAGTGTTGAAGGACATTGTGGACCGCGTATTGTAGGAATGGGACCTTTCGACAAACAGAGCCCCGTAAGGCCTTGAGCTCATCCCTGGAAGCAGATGCAATAAACTGTTCGTCTGCAATGCGGTTGCTAGTTTCGGAAAGGAGGGTGTTGTTGCAACACTGCTTCAGTCGATCATGACTGGAAGCCTCGAAGTTCCCCTGATGCTCAGGCCAGAGCTCGCGCAATCCATTCTCTTTCAGCAAAAAATCTCGGACGGACTCGTGTATAAATTGAACGGTCTTTGCTTTTGATCTAGTTGTCTCAGCGAGTCCTTTGGAGGCGCTCAGTATGAATCGATCGATATCCTGCTCAGTTACGTCTTCAGGGTCCCAGGCCTCCGTCAAATTATCGGGATCGGCAGAAAGGATGGCAAAGTACAACTCCTCCCGTTTGAGCGGTCGTCTTGCAAATAGAATCCACTGAATACTAAGTAAGAGATCCTCCATGTTCGCAGTATCCCTGGTCAGTATGTCTATGAAAAGATCACTGAGTTTGGCCGGGGTCTCACGAAGTCTCTTGCGGAGGGCATGCAAGCGACCGCGCTGGAATTCGCGGTTCAAGATTCGCACAACAAGTACCATCCACAAGAAGATCCCTGAGGCCTTCGCCTGTATTTCGCGTCGGATATCTTCGGCTTGCTTACTGCGCCCAATCTTGAGCTCGCTTTGCAGGTATCGAGTAATATCGTTAGCGTGACCTTCCTGATCCTCCAGTATCAGTTCCAGCCCCTCCTCGATAGCAATGTGGGGGTAATGACGGCTTGAGAAGCAGACATGAAGGTGGACATTTGATGAAATTGCATGCTCTCCAAGGGATTGGATGAATTCAACCATGGCGCGGACCTGTTCTTCTTCGCATTCGTCAAGGGCATCGACAAAACAGATGACGCGACGACCGCCAAGTTGTGAGATTGACCGGCGGAGGGTGCACTGAAGTATCTCATGACACCAAGGATACTCCTCGTCCCAGCGCTCAAAGTCAAGTTCGTCGAGAAGTACCTGGAGTTCTGGGACTTTTTCCAGTATTTGCGCCAACAAGGATCGGTACATCCCCAATGTTGACTTTTCCACATCTTCCCCTCTGGCATTGAAGAAAAATGAGATTACCTTGGTGTCTGCATCCACTGTTGCATCGGCCTGTAGAAATGCGAATTTCATCATAGTGGATTTGCCACTTCCTGCCTTTCCCTTGATCCAAAGAAAGCCACGGTGCTCTGGGAAACGATTGCTGTCCATCCAGTTCACGTATTCCTGCTTCTCAAGAAGCCATCTGCAGGTTTTGGCATGTGCGGGCTTTATGGTAGCTTGCCGACTCTCGTGTTGATCAGGTCGCAGAGCATCCATCATCGATGCGCGGTGCTGGGCAGCCGTGATTGCCCCAGGAACAGCAGGGTCAGAGATCGGCCCAAGGCCGCAGACACCGATCGTAGCAAGCAGCTGCTTTGCATATGCAGCCGCGGTGGCAGCCGCATAGCCCTGCCAGTCCTTGTTTTTATGCGAGTCTGAGTAGTCCGAAACACCTCGGATGACAATACATGGAAAGTTGTCCATCAGCCCAGCCGCTTCCATTTCGAAACATAATATACCATTGAGCTCCGCTGCTAACAAATCGCGGGTTTGTGCATGCTTTATCACTTGGTTTCCGGATGCGATCAGGCCGTAATGAACAACTGGCCGATCAGAGCTGCGTGTCGACCGGACAAGCAGTTTTTCACGGTCGCAAGACTCGCAGGTCGGTTCAGCTGGGTCATGTTCGTAATCCGAAGCAAAGAGAAGGTCTCTCTGAGAGCCGGGAGACGTGGACGTCTGCACCATCTGCGGATTACGCGCCAACATCTCAGATATCAGGACGGGTATCTGGCTGCCATTGCGGAGGTCCGCCGCCCGAAGGTTACTGACTGCTGTCAGAAGGGCAGTGGACGGCTTATTCAAAGTGCCTGTTCGTTCGAAGTGCCCTTGTCTGATGGTCTTGCCATAGTCGTATTGCACCACGCCCTCGCAGCAGGGAGTGGGAATGCTCACCACGACATCCCCAAGCCGGATATCCACCGATGCAGACGGCACCCCTCCCCCGATCCCGACCATAACCAGATGGTGAATTGATCCAAAACTGATGAACATGTTACTGGCGACAGTGGCTGCTGATGTGGTGCCATAGACGCCGGCGGGGAGACAAGCGATCACGATGTTGTGACGGCCGATGGACCCGAGGGTATACGAATTGCTGTCGCGCGCGTGGATAGGCAAGGCTGGATGGATCTGATCCAGCATGGCCATTGCTGCCGCTGCTTCAATGGCAAGAGCACACACCCAGCCGATGGTGTAGTCATCGTGGGAGAGTCGCCTAGGACTCTCTCCCAGGTCGAGTTTCCTCCGCTTCGGGGGATTTTGCAGGAGATGCGGTTGTTGATGTTCCATGCGAGGCGATGTAGGGATATAACGGGCTCTTCCCACGGCCTCACAGATCAGAACAAGTGTCCCTATGCCCAGGTGTTGGTGAATCAGTCTCGAGAGGGTTTTTTCTGTGCAGGCTGTGTAAAAGTGGGAGAAAGCCATCTATTGATAGCGCCCAAATGTCCGACCGGCGAATCTCTCAGCCTCGTCAGGCCTGATGGCGTGGCAGTGTACTTAGTATGCATCTCCTGCATTCAACCACGCTAAGTGCAGAGCTTGCAATGGGCTTGATGCCTGATTTGCTGAACTGGCAATCCTTCACTACTACTTTCTTCCACCCCGCTCCATGATCCCCTTCCAATTACTCGCATCCGTAGAACGATGTCTGGCGCTGAACTTTCCTCATGCTTGATCCAACACATCTACTTTGAGTAAAGGGTGCATACTGCTGAGTGGACAATGAATGAATTTAAACCATCAGTTTCAATTCTCATTCCAACAGAACATCAATGTTTTCCTGTCTCTCTACTCGGTTAGATCCGCTCAGCCTCGACCACTCCCAGTCCATCGCCGGCGCGAGTCCAGAATTTATTCACTCGCAATCCTACCGAGTCCAGCAACCGCGTCCACTGCTGCGTTGTCCGCTCCAGTCCCGAGCAAAACACCATCACTGCCACGTCTGTCATACCGTGAATCGCCGAAGCATTCTGGTCGGGTACGATATATTCTTCCATGATTAGCTTGGAGTAGCCTGGCTCCATCGCTTCCACGACATAGTTGAGGATGATCCGGGCTTTCTCATCGGACCAATCATGCATGACATTCTTGAAGTAGTAGACACGAGCACCTGCATACCCTCATCAGTTACTGATCGCTTTCAAGCACACTGGCAAAGACGAGGAATCTCACCTTTGACGGGCTGCTGCTCCGTGAAGAAGTTATACTTGACGGGGACAATGTTGGCCCCTTCCAAGTCCTGCGCCCCTCGCCCCTCGTCGATTACCACCGGCAGATCCTCCAGCACCAACTTCCCCGGTGCATTGGGGAACCGTTTCTTGAATCCCAGAAGGTCATGGCCTCGGCCACCACCAATGTCCACAATCAAGGCCCGATCGGAATTGCTGTCAGCATCGGCCAATACCCGATCTTGCACAGGGAACCAGTCCGCCCAGTGCGGGCGATCCGCACGCTGGCCTTCCATAAAGTTGTTGAACCGAGCTAGGGCTTCGGGATTCTGGCAGAGCCACATAAACCCGTCTTCTTTCATGTTGTTGGTGTACTGTAGGGGCGCAAACAGAGGATCTTCGGGGTTACGGTAGTTGGTGACTTGAAGGTATTCCGGGGTCTTCTGGATGGTGGGAAGGAATTCGCAGAACCTGATGGAAGCCTGCGTCTTAGTGACCGTCACGAACAACTGGCTTTCCCTTCCCCATATGGCTACTTACAAGGACTCCACCACTCCAACAGACGTTCGGTTGACCATCTCCTTGGTCACTGCGGTCGGCAAATACTCACCGGGGACTGGCTCAGCCGCAAAGCCAAATGCCACGCAGAGACGCATCATTCGCTCTAATATAGTTCGAGCAGTCAGCATTAGAAGCTAGTTGACCAAAGCATGGCATAGATCTCATATATACCGACTAGGAGGGGATCCGCAGGCTTCAACGCTGCAAGCTCGCTCACGGGCACTGGCCTCGTCGCGTTGGCCAAAGCAGGGAACACCTTCATGTCGTGAGCAACCTTCACAGCCATCAGGGCGGTCGGCTTGTTCATCGTTAGCATAAGCGGACATCTGAAGTAACCCAGCGGCTCAGGGCCTACGGACTCACCGTATATGCTAGTTTCAGAATTGCATCGCGAGGTTTCTCCAGTGCTCTCGCCAGCTGGGTTGCCTTCTCGAGAGCATCGATCCGGTTGTATTCAGTTCCATCGGCCTGAAAAGCTTCCAGCGACGACTGGACATCTGTCCAAATACTCTGGAGTGAATCTGTGTTCATTGTGTCAAAAAAATGTGCTCTGAGACGGCGAAAGGCGATGTGGGAAGAACGGTCATCGACGACTCAAGACACCCCTCCTTTTATATCCTTCGCCTCCCTGTTCCGGGGTGTGCTTGTCCAAGGCTTCAGACATAGCGGGGGATAGTGAGAATAGTAGGTCCAGTCCGGGAGGGTTTCCAACTGGAAGGTGGGTGGCATCCCGTAGCGTTCCTCGCTAACGCGAGCTAATCCTGAGGTGACCTGGCTGAACGCCAGTAAGACGGTTCATTCTGTCAGACTGTCAACAGATTTAGGTCCCGCTCCGATGATAGTGACAGGTGGTTAAGCTCATTGGAGCCAGACATCATGTGCAATTCCTTCCACTTCGTCGATCACGTAGCTAGCAAGTACCAACACCGTTTAAGAAGGAACACGCCTCAACCGTTCAACAGATAGTAGTGGGGATCACAATGCCGCGCCAAAAAGATATAATGCTATATCTCTGATGTCTCGTACTTGGTATGGAGCATTGCCCCGTCATCCATCTTACCTAGTTTGCTGCCCCGAATCGGCTCCACCACCCGCAATTACGCATCTTTGCGCAGCACCTCCTGACGTTCCGAGCTTCGCGGTCGAAAAGGAAATTGGTCGACACGGCTACTATCTACATCCCTACCAAATAGTCGTGCAGTAGTATCCCTCACTAATTACTTTAACGCAATTCTGATACGAGGATGATGAAATACGACATTGGGATGTGCATGGAACAGAGCTTATCCAGGAGTCCGCAAAGAGAACACTCAAAAGGAAGGGAGGAGAAAAAATAACATAATACGAAATGACTATATCCAATGATATGTTTAGTGGAGAATATTCGAAGGGGAAAAGAGAGGCTACGGTTTTAGTGCCAATCCTTCGCTGACTCCGATACAGTGTCGATAGTTAGCTAATTAGTTAAAAAACGCCTGAGGGACCTGGATCCTCTCCCATAGTATATAGTAGATTTGTTCTTGTTCGGTCCATCTTCACGTCTTCCTTGACATCTCAGCCTCTCTCCCATTCAATCGTCCTCGTCCAGTAGAAATCTGGTCCATGCATTGCCTGTGATGGGCAACATTTGACGGTCCGCCGGGGAGAGATGCTTCCGCGGCTCTCGTGGGTCTCATTTTCCTATTCAGGGCCAAATCCGATATGGATCAACCGCTGTGCGGATCCCGCTCCTCACACGGGACGACAATTGATACTAGAGCCTTAAACTCCTGTGGAGAATGTACCGGACCATAATTCCGATTGGTAAACCAAACGTCGATCGCAGGCAGCGATGCCGTGTCGGGGGTGACGGATGGATTCAACGCCCCAATCTTATTTGTCACTAAGAAAAAAACTATATCCAGCGGAGGGCTCAGACCACGGAACCTTATGTTAATATTCTTCTTTTTTAGAGGCGGAACGAGTGGGCAAGCCCACGATGGAGCCGCCTGCCACCTGGCTCAAACACCTGGATGCTCTTCCTAAGTCCCTACAGCTTGGATACAGTGCGTAAGCACCAAGCAGTGTATGCTTAGGGTCCACTGTCGGCCTCAGCTTTCAACCCTCTCGACGCAAAGAGCGTCCGGTGCTCCTGCCACTACTCAGGCTTTCTAGAACCGCCCAGTAATATGGAAGCATTTAGTGGTCCATGCCAACCTCAATTTTGGTGCTGCCCTGACGCCTGCCACAGTCCTGTCCCTCATCCCGTCCGATGAGGCATGAGAACCTACAAGGTTTGGCTGACTCCGACCGGTAGCCGTTTGAGTTAGGCTTAATTTGACTTCACCCATGGTTGAGGAACTACTAGTTGGTTTCTGCTATGTATGATTCGCATTCTTCTTGCAGCAGCGAGAGAGGGAGAGAGCGATCCGCGGCTTTCCGAAACCGGATCCATTGACGAGAATCGGCCGCAGATGGGCGTGGATAGCCTCTTTGTCTGGCGATGGAAGGCTAGTGCTAAATCCTTTGCTTTAGCGTGTGTTGGATTCCCTCTCCACTCCAGCTTCACCAATCTAGTCAGAGGAATTATGAGGCGGGTTTTCCTTTTCCTTGCTGGGTAACCGATAGTCTGCTATGTTTGTGTCACTGGATGCAAAGTGCAGAGCGACGGTCATTGTCGCCATATCCTTTCCCTTGACTGCTTTTCCCCTTTTCTGGCCGTGTGGTAAGGGCTTCAACCATGTCGCAACGTTCGGATACAACATTTTCTCCGTAACCCCGACCGTTATTTCATCCCATGGTTCTTTTTCGTCTTTCACTCAATACACACAAGTCCCACTGCCTTTGGTGATCTTTTGTCGAAGAAAATGGGCTACAATCTCACCGCAGAGATGTTCAGTGAATGGGCAATAGGGCTGGTAGTCATTGCAGTTCGATTGTACACGCGCTTCTCCGTGGACCGTGGAATGTTCCGCTGGGACGATGTGTGCCTGGTGCTTGGAACGGTAGGATTTCAGACCAGTATGCCTCTTGCGGTGAAAGGCGGGCTAATTAGCATCAGCTTTTCTGGACTCTCCTTGTTGTATTCCTATACTTGTGCACCGGTAAGCTTATTTGAGTCGTACCTTAATTGGTTGACACTGATTCATCAATACTCCATGCTTAGCTGTCTATGGCAGCAATATAGGTCTCAATGCCACCACTGCCGCTGAGGTACCGGATGGTCAGGTCCCATCGTTAACCAAAGGCTCAATTTATGCGTTTCTTGCCTGGCTTTCGTACATTCTTATGGTGTGGTCTTTCAAGGGAGTGCTTGTGTTTCTCTACAACAGACTCACGTAAGCATCAAGCTTAGGCCCATTGCTTCGCGATAGGGATAGGCATAAGTCTGACGGATTATAGGATCGGTCTTTCGCAACACCGACTAGCCTTGGCTGTGGGCGCCTTCACAATGTGCACATTTGTCACCTCACTACTCTTCGACCTTCTTATGTGCAGGCCGATCGAGAAAAATTGGCAGGTCAAGCCATATGCAGGAAGTAAGTTATAATGCCTTGCAGGTCATCCTCCTCGACTAACACAAGTTAAGACAACTGCACTGTGCGCCCATTGAACTACATCGTCATTGAGGTCTTAAGCATCTTGTAAGTGTGATATTCACCGTCGGTCATCTATGCTTGCTCACCAATTGCACCAGAACCGATCTCTGTATCATGTGCGTCCCGATTCCACTGATTATCGTCGCCAAAATTCCGACGTCTCAGAAGTGGATCCTCACGGGTCTGTTTTCCTCCGGCATCTTCGTCATGATCGCTGCCGCTCTTCGAGCATATTACTCCGTCAAAGACCTTTCGACTCTCGCTACAGCTTTGGGTTGGGCATCACGGCAGGCCTTTGTCTCAGCCATCATTGTCTGCGCCCCGGGGATCAAGCCTCTCCTCTCTCGCTTTTCCTGGTTTGCATCCTACAGTTCTTCCCGCGGATACGACAAAAAGGACCGAAGCCGAACGACCTTTTTCAACTCCAAGAGTGGGGGTCGAGATGCTACAATGGTCAGCACCTGTGAACCTCAGCCGTATGAGCTCTCGTCTATGGGCTGGCCAAAGAAACGGCAAAATTCGTCGGGGGAGAGCCAGGAACATATTATGGATATTCTGCCGGCATCACAACAGGGCTACGTGGGCGACCCCGAACGAAACATGGGCATTATGATAACGACAGATGTCACTCTTGCGCATGAGGAAGCCTCTCCTGAAGATCTGCACAATGTATCCACCACCCCTCCATATGGGCACTGAAGCCAGTGGCTGTATACGGAGCTTGGGTGTAACATTATCATGCTCAACATGTTAAAATGGCGTCAATCTAAGGCGATATCATTTCCCATTTTGTGTGCACGAATAACCCATATTGGGCTGACACGGTTCTTCCGTGGTGTCCCAGCGGATCGCTATGTTTACGGTCCTGATTTACTATGACCATATCAATTAATGCTTAATACATCACGAGAATTTGATAGATCTACGTCACCTACTATGCCAAATGCGTCACTGTGAATGCCGCCCTGGTTTTCCACGACTCCTTGGGTTGCCTTCATCCTAGCACCAGGTTTTTGCTACGGGCTTCTCTTCTTAACCAGGAAAAGGGCTGTCACAGGAATGCCAGTCTGTTTAAAGTGCAAGTTTTCTCACAATCTCAGGCTTCCGTTCGCAGATTTATGGCAGCTAATGCGTCAAGAACAGAACGACACCCTTGGAGAAAAACACACTGCAACAACTGTCGTACGAGGCATGACCAACTTCATATTTATGTGTGCTCAAGACAGAACCCAATCAAAAAGTGCCATAATGACATCACAGCCATAAGAAATTGTGCCATCGTGTGCTACTTCATGAGCTCATCTCTTTCCGGGCGTGGACTGCTGGCCACTTTGGTGGGTTCCCGATGACGGGCCCTGAGAGGAACGGGTGCTGGATGCTGCAACGTTGGCATTGCGATCGGCAGCTCCTTGAGCTCGAGCAGCGAAGCCACCAGAGCTCATATCTTTTCCACCTTGGGCCTGTAGCTCTGTGAGCTTGTAATCTATGCCAGCATACAGCACCTGCTAACTTGGGTGGACTGGATGCGGGAAGCATCCGACTTGCTCATCTGGTTGGAAGGCATGTGGATATAACAGCGACTGGTTCCTAGTATACTGGGGTTTGTTTTGGAATGGATCTTTGGTGCGTTAGAAGTTTGTTCAAAAAGATCTTCAACCCCCCATATATACTACGGACTTTTTTCACATGTCTGTACTACAGGTGTAGTATTGCTTATGTCCTTCGTCATGGGTAACCATTCCGGTGCCATTCTCCGTCCAGCCACTACCTGGTACAGTACAGCTTGACATCGTCTTCTATAACCCAGCTAGCCCTGTTCATTGGTTGGGACATACCCGGAGTCCCTAGAGTCTAGACCTTGCCCTTCGCTATACTCACGGCTCGCATGGTCGCAATCTGCTTGCTGAGAAGGAGGATGCGACTACCCCGCAAAGTCTCTGGCGCTTTGGTCTCTGTGACCCTCCTATCTGCACTACCTCATGGAATTTCACTAGCCATCCTACTTCGCCTTCTGTTGCACTGGAAGGGCCCCTAGACCGTGCCAGGAAGCCAGCCCTTCTACGGAAACAGTCAGCACTGCTGTGTGGCCCTAAGGTCAGGTTTTGTCTATCACCACCACGGTATAGCTGATGATATGATATTCCAACATGATCCTGTGCAGCTTGTGGCCATACATAGTCAACCAGCGGGCCGGCACGCCATCATTTGCGTGGTGTTCAATTGAGACTCAGGTGGCGAATCCAACCATCGAAACTTCCTATCTAATGGATTTGAGTCCCAGATGTCCGTCGAATCTGGGAGAATGTGCGAAACCAATGCATGTTGGGACCTTTTCTAGGGATGGTTGCTTCACCATGACGAAAGCGACCGACAACAGCTTGCAGTGGCACCGTGTAGCTTGTAGCTTGTAGGTTGTAAGTTTTGTACCACAGAAAAAATGCACGCCAGTGGAATAATCTGGAAACGAGCGGGGAATGAGTTGGCATGACAGCTTCTCCCGGGCGATGACCAGCAGCAGCACACCGTATACTTGGTGGTTGAATGAATCCTGACTCCATCCCTCCCTTTCTTGTGGCGGGTGGCAAACCAGGTGGTTATCACGTGATTACGCGTCGAACCCGCGAGAAGCGTCCGGGGGTGCCTGGGGCCTTCCCGCTGTCTCTGGCGGGCACTAACCCGCCTGGGCCACTGGTGCCAGCGATCGTTCAGGGAGCTTCCAGCTTCCTCCAGCAGCTCCCCCTACGAGCTGGTACCTGCCTCTACCAGTCGCCATCATGGGGTCCAAAAGTTATATAAGGCCCTTCGAGGTCTCTTCCGGTCGATTCTCATCATCGCAACAGACATCAAGCATCTACTACTACGAATACAACAATCGCAACCAACATCTACTACAACCAACACTACCACTATCATAACAAATCTACCTGCCACAATGTCTCTCTTCCGAACCATCCCTACTGCTGGCGACTTCGCCCCTCTCTTCCGCCTGCTGGACGACTATGATCTCCACCGCTCCGGCCAAGGCTCCTCGGTGACTTCTGCTCGCACCTTTGCGCCTCGCTTCGACGTCCGCGAGACCTCGGATGGCTACCACCTTGATGGTGAGCTGCCCGGCATCGCCCAGAAGGACGTCGACATTGAGTTCTCCGACCCTCAGACTCTCGTGATCAAGGGTCGCACCGAGCGCGAATACCATTCCTCGGACAATGACGAGGCCCAGAACACCCCTGCCCCGGAGAACACCAACAACAACAACCAGGGCGAGGGCAGCGCTGTCGTCCCCTCGGGCGATAAGCAGGTCTCTAAGAACAAGTCCAAGGCCAAGCACCACTACTGGGTCAGCGAGCGCTCCGTTGGCGAGTTCCACCGCACCTTCTCCTTCCCTACTCGCGTCGACCAGGATGCTGTCAAGGCTTCCTTGAAGAATGGCATCCTGTCCATCTTCGTGCCTAAGGCGGCTGCTCCTTCTTCGAAGAAGATTACCATCGAGTAAAAATTGATCGGTGGTGCGACGAATAACGACTTGATGATGGGTTTCGAAATTGTTCCATAGCGTGTGATGTTGTTACTCTGTTGTCTTCATTCCCTTTGTTTCTTATCTGTGCCAGAATGCTGGGGGATTAGTGTCTAATAGTCGAGGTGTGCATTCTCAGTCGTTGCTGGGTTTTTGCTCCTTTCTGATATTGTATCATATTAATACTATGCATTATTTGAAAGTTTGAATTCTCTCTTTCGCTCCTTTGGTAGTATTCCCGGGTAAAAGTAACCACTGGACTTGATAATCGAAACATCGCAATACGTTTCGAAATTATAAAAAGCACTACTTAGTCATGACCCTCGTACATAGACCACTCCTATGGTTGTTATACTGCTGTCGCCAAGGCCCAGTGTCGACCCACATGTCGCATACGCCGCCATTGCAGCTAACAAGCGCAGCGACTTACCTAGTATGTATTGCGCCCGTCTAAATAGTAGCATGACTCAATGTTACTGATGTTCTCTGGGTGGGATGACATGGTGAATGGCCTAAATAGAGTGACTTAGGAGTAGTTGCAGTCTGTTGTAGCAGTATACTTCAACTTACAATGATTGGTCGTAACTATATATATCTCCATGGCACATCCCGAACGAAAAGCAAAAAGAACCAAATGTGCAAATTGCAGCGAAAATACCAGACCACAGTCAATAATGGCCTCCAAATAGTCTATAAATCTCGAATAATACTCGAGAAATGTGGTTTTTGTTGGAATATCTTAAGCAGCAGCTTGATTTACAGCTAATGATGTAGTGTTTTAGCGGTAGCTTATGTAGCAAGAAATAGAGATAGATTATATCTCCAATCCTCGATGGTCTAACGGTCATGATTTCCGCTTGTCAATCCCTTTCGGGAACAAGCGCGGGAGACCTGGGTTCGACTCCCAGTCGGGGAGATCTCTTTTTTGTTTTTGTTTTTTTCCCACCCGGCTCGGTCCCGTGCTCTTATCTTCCGCATTCCGAATTCGCCCGATCGCGCCACATGCGATCTTATCTCTAAGCGCCATGTGTGATGTTCTTTATTCATTTCTTTTTTTCCCCCATACTACTAGTATAGAACATGTTTGCTATTTCCCATGATGCTGGGTCTATCCATTCCAGTAAAAATTGATCGCAACGCTCATAAAAATTTGAAAATAGTGAACTAGCCCCGTAGGCCGCCACGGTACTATCATCACCACGAAAGAACAGAAATTCCTGTTAAACATTTAAAACGTAAGGCAGGCTTCGTTCACGACTGTTTATTAACAGCTGGCATTGATCATAATATCCCAAAACGCAGGCCACGATGACCTATTTGCACGGGGATACCCCTGCCAAATGAGTCTGGGTAACCAGAACCCAGCCTCAATGGCGATGCCCACCATCCAAGGCGACATCGCATCTTCAAACAACCCTCTGGTTTTGCGACCAGCAGCAATGTACATGACAGTCACTACTATAGCGAAGTTGCCCATTATCTCAGCAATACATGCATCACGTATTGAAACCCCTCTAGGACTGATGATACACGCAATATCAAGCCCCGTGCTACCAGATGCTTCTTGCACAGCCCACACTGCCAAGGCACTTCCAACAACTTGCCCCCCAATGTATGTCATAGCTCTCAATAAGGAAACCCGGCGTAGGAAGTACGCAGCGAACGTAATAATTGGATTGACATAGCCACCAGTCGAGCGCGCAAAAGTAATAATGATCAAAGGGAGGAGGCACACATTGACGATACTCGCAGGTAAGAAGCGAACCCAATCGTAATTGTCCGTGCTGAGGTAGGAGGGATTACCGATATCGTCTCGATCTTTGGATGTTGGTGCAATCGTCACCCATGTCAACATGAACGTGTACATCATGCTGGCTGTATCTCTGGTTTAGCTCTCCATACAACCGTAATCATATTGATATCGGGGTCACCATCTTACCGACGCATTCTAGTAAGGTGCACTTCCATATAGTGACGTCCGCCAAGCACTTCCAGTCTGACAGGTCTGTACCTGGCTGGGTAGTACTTCGATATCCATCCCGATGGGTCTCAGGGAAGCGGACCCCAGGTGCGATGCCGTGCGCTGGCTTCTCGCGACAGCCACTCTTCTCCATCCCAGGTATCATAATGTTGGAAGAGCAGAAAACGCAACCATGCACATGGTAAAAGTGCCCAAGTTCGACAGTAACTGAAGTATGAAGTTGTTGTGGTTTGCTCGGCGGCCGGCGACTGCCGACCCGAGGAAAGTGGATCGCTGATATGAGATGTTTTTAGACAATGGGTTGTTATCAATCACAAATAGGAATGACACTGTCCCTGACCTACAACTGAACTAAACAGTCTTATTACTCTTCTTCTGGCTGTCGCCATTCGGGTTCTTTCGGGTCCATGGAATAGCATTTTACCCTTTTCATTAAGTAGATCTAGCTTTTCAGATGAAATCTAGTCACCTGCAAAGCAGGTGACGGGTATCTATTCAGAGCGAGCAATGCTTCTAATTGGAGGTAAAAATCATTGGGAATACAAAGACAGAATGATATCACGGGAACGAACAAAAAAGCTAGGCAAAATCGCGATGAGGGGACAACTGCTCCCTGAGCAGGTTTGTGCCACCCCTATCGAATAGAAGAAGAAGAAGTGAACGAAAACAATCGCCATATGCAAGTGCCCAAGGCATGTTCATGCCAACGCTGGGAAGATACATCTGCAATCCCACTACTACGTGGGAACGAAGCAGCCTACCAGCTAGAGCACTTAGAGGTCGCCGTCGTCCAGCCAGTGAGACGGTTGGCGATATCAGAGGCGTAGCAAGAAGTGGCACCGGAGGCAAGATCAAGGTTGGTGGTCGACTTAAGGGAATTTACACCGGAGTTGTAAAGTCTGGCGGCACGGTAGTAGGCCGCAACACCAGTCCGATCGGCCAAGTCCAGGTAAGAAGCGAGGCCATAACCACCACTGGAGGAAGTTCCAATAGCTGAAGTAGGGAGATTGATGTTAGAAACCGCAGGTCCCTCAAGGACAATGACAAGGATCATAACGTACCTCCATCGCGGATCATCTGGACGATCTCCGAGTCGGAGCAAGTGCTCTTTCCATAGCAAGTACCGGTACCCTGGTAACTCTGCATGAGGCCAGGGTTGCTTACACTGTTGGCGGTAGTCGGGACCCGGACACAGCCCTTGGATTCCTGCAGAACCACGGCCAGAATGAAGCGATGATCGACCTTGGACTCTTTAGCGACCTTCTCAATGGCACTCTTGATGTTTGCGGTCTCGGTCGCCGAGTTGTCCTCGCCCCAGCCATTGTTGCTGCAGGAGTTGGCGATGACAGCGTCCTTGTTGGCCTCCCACCTATTATAGTAGTGATTGGTTAGCACAATGAAAGTTTTTGGAAGCAAGTATGATGGAAGGAAGGTCTCAAGCATACATCGCATCGAAGGAAAGCCAATCGGACTTGGCGGGCCATCCATCAGCCGTCGAACCATCGCCGGTGTACTTGGTGTATGAGTTCGAGCCCGAGCTCTTGCCAACACTGTCGTTGACGCTAGTGACAGCCAATGCGCTGACGGTCACCACTGCGTTGGTGGAACGGGAGGCCAGCTGCTCTCCCGCCTCGACCTCCAGGGTCCGAGTTCCCAACGGAGCGGCGGCGGCGATGCCGGCAAGGGAGCCGACAGCAAGGTACTGTAGGACAGATGTTAGTATTCTGTTGCTGAGAGCCGGATATGTGCAGGATGGCTGCTCACGTTGAAGAACTGAGTGAAACGCATCTTGGATAGAAAGGTATTGTAAGTAGAAATTGGTTGAGACAGGACAAATGCTAATGATTGTGTGCTCTGCAAGGAGTGTATGTGATTGAAGGAATGTGGTGAAGCTAGTCAATAGCTTCTGTATAAACTGCGAAAAAGTAAAAAGAAAAAAGGAAGGACTGTCGAAACCGACTTGATACTGTGAAAATGCTCTGCTTGGATAGAGACATTTTGGAGCAGCGCACTCGTGCTCTTTATACGAGCTGGCGGAATGGCATCTCTTCAGCCCCTCTCAGGAACAGAAGGTATGAAGGATTGTGAGCGGCCCCAATTTGCAGGAGGTTCTCCCAAGGCATCGTTGGTTGGATACTACTTGTGAACGGTGGGCTGAGTGACTTGAGGGGTCCGAGCAAATCAGCGATGATAGTCGGTCATCACCAACGGCCCGCTAAACTAGCTGCCAATCGGGGCTGACGTGTGACTGTACGAAATGAAGGATATTACTATCACGTATATCCGATTCTGCCCTCAGGATGCATCTGAGAGGTCCGTCCAACATGTAGAAAATGCGGAAACCTAAGATCGTGCGGCATTACGCCGACACCAGCCCACCGGGTGTATTATCCCAGACCAGTAGGAAGGATAATTCTCCCTCCATGATAGAGACTAGCGCAAGAAAAAAGCCCGAGGAGCCATGTGCGCAAGGCCGACAGAGCCAAGCTCAGCGAGCATCCGTGTTGGCCGAGCCCATGAGAGCCGTCATTGGGAGAAGTCTCCACCCCGCGGCTGTCGCAGGTTCAGGCGCGATGGACCAGTGAGGAGGATGGACTGGCCAACGTTAGGTTTTGCATGGGCCACCGCGAGTCGGAAAGAGGAACCGAGAGCACACACTGCCTGTGCCAAATAACATCATTGACTGGAGGGGGACACATTAAATGTGTGAGTTCAGGCAGACACGTTCGGGCTGAGGCCGAACTAGTGCGGGGCCGAAATCTCCATCGATTCGTGATTTTATCTTTCACCGAGATAAACACACACCGACTGCCAGAACTGATCTCTTTGAAACGCACCCAAAGAAAAGGTTTTCTAAAAAAAATGTCATACTGTATAAACTTAATTCTTTGTTGTGTTGGGTTCCTCTCGTCTGGTGACTGCGCATCGACGGGCTCTCGGAGACTCGAGAGTCACACACATGCCAGCAGCCCTAAGGCGTACAGAGATCCCCCGAGAAACTTTGTAGAACGGTCTTGTAAAGCAGTGGAGATGCCCCTATTCAGCATTGGCACTGTGTAAGGCACTGTGTGACGGAAGGGGCCGGTTTCAGCTTCCAGGGATTGAGTTTGTGTTTCAGATGGTGGCTGTGGCGATCCAATCTGGGGGCAGAGAACCAACATCTCGGTTTCCCGTTCCTGCGCAGGTTATTCTCCGGGCGCCTCGATCGCTCATGGGAAGCTGACATTGGTAGACGGCGGATCGGGCCAAGCGCTGTGGCGGTGGGTGGGGTCTGACGCTGCTGGACATGAGCGAGCACGCCAGCCGAACTCGTCCTTAGCGAGACAGGCTAGTCTGGCAGACTTTCCCTTGGCGTCGGATCAGAAGCTATCCAGATGTTACCCCCCTTTCAGCTTCCCATCACACTACTGGTATCCTCTCCATCGCTAACCCTGCCATGACAGTCATATGGAATGTTTGCTTTCAGGCCAGAAACTTTACGATCCGTGTGTTCTCAAAGCCCTGACCTATGCAAATTCCTGTTCCGAGGAGTCCTAGCCACACCTTCTTAACTGGAGATGTTGGCATACAACTACCCACTCTCTCTGCAACATCGCAAGTTGTATGCCAAGTACTACTTGACAAATAGACATACACGAGGAGTTTAATTCCGTCTCACTGCCTCAAAGGATGATGCAGACACTGCTCTGGCCCGGTGCAGGTTCGGCCCCCAACTCTGACTCCATCCCGTTGGGGGTGTTCGTCATGACATGAAGATGCAATGCAGGTACCGTTCGTCAGACAAGGAACAAGCTACTATATCTCTCGGAGCTGGTGTCCCGGCGATTTCTTTGACATGGGAAATTTTTATCGGGACAATTACTCTACCCCGGGTCACCCAGACCAAATCATCCACATCCGTCACGTTCTGGGTCACACCACTCCAATATACCAGCTCAGTATTTCACGAGGTTCCCGCAGTTGGCATCTGCTGATGTTGCAGTGACATTCCCATGTTCTGGGGCCTTAACAAAAGCTCCACCCAACACAGCCGGATCAACCCCTTGTGGCTATGTCGTCCCCCACAATTTGTCATACAGCTTGAATTTTCAGGGGCCGTTTCATTATCAACTCGCTTGGCCACAAGCTCTGGCGACAATCAGTCCTCCCCTTCCATTGATACCATATCTTCAATGGCCTAGCAAGTTCTATCCCTCCAATTCATCTTTTTGGTCTTTCTTTTTGGCACTTGCAGCAAGTGTTGCAGCTAGTTAGATAGACCGTGAAAAGAACTCTTCGGCACTGGGTCCGATGAGATCGTCATAAAGACATGGCATGTGCACTGTGCTCTATTGGCAGACTTGCACATTGGAGCCGGCATGGCAGTGAAGACTAACCCTTGAGTTGTCATGTGTCTTTTACCTTTCATCAAAGCAAGTCTGCCCTGTCTCATCCAAGAGCTGAAAAACATGCGAACCTCCCTGGGCTGCCAACTGGCTTGCTAAGAGTCCTAAAAGAGGTATTCCAGTCTCAGGGAAGCGTTTTTGCTGACCGAAGCTGTGTTACCAACGCACCTCACATAGAAACAAATCTGCGTGACGAAACATGATCTCTCTTCAAGTCAATGCGCTACGACAGGTTGGTTCCGTGAATACATCGAAGTAATGAATGTGGCTGGGACCTCAACCCCTTGAGAGGGCCTTCGTTCTCATGGTTCCTCCGGCGTCAATTTGTGTGACAACGCACCGAACCTCGAAACCTCTCGAAATCTCTTTCACGGCGCCAATACCCAGACAATACATGCTGCCCGAGCAGTGGACACTCCATCCCAAGGTGAAACTTACCCACCATTTCTTTCACATAGGAGCATGAACGGACTGCTGGCATCCCTGCCTATTCGTTGGTGGAAGCTGGGACCATAAACACAACATAATGCAGTGACACGAGAGCAAGTGGCACAATATGTGCCTAGCGCCGTGTCGATAGATTCAGCATGTCCACGACCTGTCAAGATGGGAGTTCGTCTTGCCCTGCCAAGCTGACAGAATATTCCTTGTTATACCACCACAGATAGATAACTAGTTCATATTACAATGATTGCCTAAGTGCAAGTGTTCCTTGACCAATCCAAACGATTTTCATAGCCATGAGCAGTGAAAGGCCGATACCGGATAAAGCTCTCCTAACCCAGGCCTGCAGGCAATCCGCTCTAGCATGGGCACAGTCGTTATATTAACAGGGAGTGACCGTGTGTTATAAGAGGAAATTTTAATGGTCATGAGGTGGGTGGAGTGAATGCTGACGGACGCCAGCTTGTGATCCTTCTACCTCTGACTTCAACAAATGAGAGGATCAGTTCCCTAGTTTAGCCAGTCAATCAGGACCCACTACATCCTGATGGCTCTACATAATGCTGTAGTGCTGCCAGGAAACCTGGAAGACTTTAGAATGCAGTCTCCACATGTAAGATTTGCTTAGCAAAATTCTCTTTTCAATATAGGTCTAAGATGACCCCGATCGATAGCACTGATGTTTTGACAGCCGCTCAGCCTTGCGAGACGCACGAGCAATGGCCTATTACTTCGCCTGTATATAATGCAGGCTCTCCCAGAGTTGGTGCAATTCAAAACCACCCTTTTCCTCTATCCAAGATTTAGTATCAATTTGACCACAGTGCAGCTTGACCATGGCCGAGTCTGATACCGTTGTCTCTATCGCAAGTGACCCTGCGTCATCCAATCCAAAAAAGAACCCCAAGGCGAAAGAAGAAAAGATTGGAATAACCTCTCATTGGATTTTCATTATCTGGAGCTGGTTTCTACTCACCATTCCCCTCTCATCACTGACAGCTGTCTTCCTCGCACTGGTCTTTAGCTACCGGGTTGGACATGGAGACTCCCCATTTGAAAATCTCCGCGTGGGCCTCGCGACAGAAAGTTCATCAGATGCGTACTACGTGAATATGAATTCGAGTATTCTACTATTTGTGACCTCATGGGCTAGTACCTTGGCTCCTATGCTGTCGGGCTTTCTCATCACGCTTGCGTCGTTTCCCATCGCAAGAAGGTACCTCCAGGACATACAACAAGGACGTTTCGAACGGCTGCCTACTCCATACCAAATGACGCTCATGCTCAAGTTCTTTGAAGGGGGCACTCTCGGAGCGACCTGGAGCTGGATTGTTTACCTCGTCTCGTGGAAAAAGAAGCGCCAGCCTCAGACTTCCACACTGTTCTCAGCCGCTTCTGTGGCTTTGCTAGCGACATTACTTGGGTATGTACAGAGAGCTACTGCATGCACCTCCATTATTTGATTTGTACATTGTCTGATAGCTCCCAAATCAGAGCGTTGGTTTCCTTGGCAGATACCTGGCTTCACTTGACTACGACGACAGTCTCCTTCACTCGTGCCACGGCCGCCACGAACAATACCGACTACAGCTTCGGCTTGACCCCTCAGTGTTTGAAAGGCAACAATTCAGTCGCAGCACAGGAAGATACTGGCCTATGCAGTGTCTCGATGGCTGTCACAGGTCAATTCCTGGCAAATGCAACCGTCAGTCTCGGCGTGCTAAACAACGTCTCTGATTTTGCGACCGTGTACACCTACGACAACAACAGTACGATGTACAGCTACCTAGGAATACCGGAGGGCACGGCCTCGGTGACCGACCGGGATTACGAAGCTCAAACATATGGTGCTGCGACACAGTGCGAGATGTTCTCCAAAAGATGCAACCTGACCGAAGTGACGACCTCTCTCCGATACAACTGCTCGAGTGCCTTTGCTGGCTTCATCGACTCCACCGAATTAATCACGGGCTTTTTTACAGACTCCAGCATGACAACTGACATCGAAGACAACGAGACTTCCAACTATGGCACAGGAAACCCATTTTACTACGTGATCGCCGGCGTACTAAGTACTTCTGGTGGGACCGTCCCCAACTCGACAGAATTCGTGCAGAACGAGTCGGGCGTGTATGGCTACGTCCTGGGCTGCAACACCACGATCTACGACATCATATACGACCGAGTCAACAACTCCGTGACCCGATTTGTACCCACCGACAGTAACACCTCGGTATCCAACATCTGGCAGACGAGCATCGCGCAGACCGTAGACTGGGAACCGTCTATCGAGCTGGAAATCGGGGCAGCCGCGTTCAGTCAAACGGGCCAGGAGTTCGCAGACAAGATCGCACAGTCGTTCAGCAAGGTGATCTTGGCCCTTGGAGCAGACGGGGTTGAATCGCGCCCAGCACTAGCAGCGCAGCAGAGGGAAACTTCTCTGGTATCGCGGGTTCCCATGGCTCCACTCTTCACCTTGGTTGCGGTGAATTTCTTGTATGTCATCGTGGGCTTGATTTTTGCGGGAATTGCTATCAGAACCGCTCAGGGAGCAGTCCCTGATGTTCATGCTCGGCTTGGAATCTCGGGCCTCGTAGCAGATCGGTTTGAGGAACCCGGATCGCGCAAGGAGGTCCATTCTGTTGATGAAATGTTCGAGGAGTATGCTGGACATCCGAGCCGACGGGTGGCTGTGGAGCCGGAAACTGAGGATGGGGTGTACGTTTTCAAGAGTTGGGATACATCTAGATCGAGTTCGGTGGATGTGAGGGAAGGCTCTGTGGCGGTAGAGAGATCTGGGCTGAGTGGCGAGAGTGCTTGATGGTATGACCATATATAGAAGTTCCGAATATAGTGGCAATGATAATTTCCAGTTGACTCTATCCTTGTCGGTCTTTCTCCGGTTCGCCTACACTAGACAACAAATCCAAGGTCATTGTCGATATTGCACTCTCCATCCCTACAAGATGACAGACCCATAAAGCGCGTCCTAGATGACTCTACTATCGGCTATACCCGTCTACCCGATACCTTTCGATTTAATTCCAGATGATTGGTGCTCTCGGTTATTCGACCAGCCGAAGGAGTTCCACGGCGCATCTTTTGGCCCCTAACCCTCAGGGCCGCAGCGAATCACGACAGTTCAGAATCCGTCAGGATCACACCAAGCCTCATTGATCGGCCTATCGTCTGAAGCTCAGCCGCTTTCTCGAATCCAAGGCAGCTGAATGCTTCCCTGGTCTACGATAGCACTCTTCTATAACATTACTTTCCATGAATGCTCATTTAGCGGTCAATGCTTGATTTTGTGGAGACACCTCGAAAATAGGGGTCCTGCAAGGCTGAGGCTAGAAGCTGGGACCTCGTATTCTGGTGGGATGATGTTGGAGAGAAGCGGTTGATAGCACGTGCAGAGTTAGCTGATAGAGGGAGTGTGTTATGTTTCCTGGTATAGTGAGGTTGTGGAACAATGTTTCAGTGGCCACTGCCATGGGCTATGTTTCAGAGCAGAGATTTTCATTACCCACCGCAGATGTCTTAAAAAAGGCTTAGACTTGCTTATCGGTGTGAAGCAGTTACACGTCAGAGAATATCATTTTTGGCCTGATTTACTATGTTGAGACTTTGCCACCTGCAGTTTGACGATTGTAAGGGAGTATCTATGCTATGTGAGGATCTCAGTGAGTGTCCAAATCTGGCTCTCACGTGGACCTGGTTCCACATACCAGACTTACCCGAAGCGGAAAACTAAACAAACCTTGCTAGCCCAAACTGGAAGGCATAAGCTATTTTGAGAACCGTTGAAAAACTTTGTCGTTGTTGTTTCTAGAAAAACCATGCAATGCATACTGTAAAACATATGCACTCATCAGTGCGGGACGATCTACAGAGGGTATGAAAGAGATGATGAGTGAGTGATTGTCGCTAGGCCATCCCAAATCAGGTATCGGCCAAGGGGTGCCAGCCTCAATTGGATAATAATACATGGCAGATTGGGTAGGCCAGGCGCCAAGACATCAAAAGGGCAGAGACGCAGGATTGAGAGTACATGTTCGTTGATGCGTTCAGTGGATTTTATGGGCGACAAGCCATGCGAAACGTAGTATGGCGAACCAGTTGAAAAATGCTATGGCAACAGACATGCAAACTTTGTCGAGGACGATAACAGAGGTATAAGAGAACCGAACCCACTTAAACTCCAGAGACCGGATAGAAAAAGAGAAACTGAAAGAAGGCCGATAGGAAGCAACGGAGCAAGAGAGAAAGAGCTGGAGGTCGGGATGAGAGGATGATATGGGAGAGAAGTAGCGCTAGAGAGGTAGGGGGAGAGAGAGAGAGAAGAAGAAGGAAGAATAGGTCCAGCCCTGGTAGCACAACGTCGAGAGTGGTTGCCGATGATGCTGCAGATCATCCGAGGTCATGCATCATTCCAGTCTCGTACCGCCGCGGCTTCTTTGGCATCTCGCTTTTTGTTGCGCCAAAGGAAATAGCAGCATACAGAGACTGCGATAAGGAAGAATCTAGGGACCGTTGTTAGCATGTCCAAGGTCGCGGGCGAAGAAGCCACGCAGTACTCACATGCCAACGATGATGCCTGGCACACCGCTCTTGAGGAAGTTACTGACGGGCTTCTCGCCAGACGAGGAATCCGAGTCGTCGCGAGCCCACAGAGGCATCGCAATAGCGACTGCTCGCCGGGAGAGAGAGAAGGCTTGAGATGATTCCATTGGGGGGACCTGGTATGCAAGTTCCGGGGAACGGGCAGAGCCGTAGGGAAGAGACGGGGAAGGGGAAGATAAAAAAGGGGACGCGAGGGTCGCGTTCTGAATCGAACCTGCTCTCTGGCGCCCTCAAAAGGGGATAAGACATTGCCAGGACTAGTGGCTTCAGCACGGACCAGCAGGGGGAGTGAATGCGGAATGCTGTTTGGTCCAATTCATGGTCTGGCGCCCCTGGGCGGTTTGAGATTGTTGCCGGGAATAGTTTCATCCCCTTTCCAACTGTCCATTCCCCACTGACCCATTCCCTAAAACCCTTTAAGGTGTCTTTGCGGTTTCGAACTGTAGCAGAGTTAGACAGTGAACCTGGGGGACGATCAATAGGGCGCCTCTTGCTCTGAATCAGTTGTTCGAGGTTGAAGCTGGCAGTCTCAACCCTCCATTAGGGTGTCTGGAATCATTATTGTTCCATTTTTGGGGCTTTGCCCCTGACTATTTCCTGATTAGGCAACCGTGTTTCACTTTGAGTTGGACACCTTGCTGCCTGAGGCATAAAGCGGGTTATATGTATGTTGGAGCTAACCGCATCTGGACAGTCCAGTCATGTGAGCCCAAGTCATTTGAGGGAGTGCTGATTATATTATTATTCAATGGGAGAGGGATGGTAATAGAATTTAGAGTACAGGGAGAGGGAATTAATTGCCTTCACAGTGTATAAAGCTCGTAGAAAGTTAACTACTATCTGACGGATGGGATTCTTGCCCACCCCCCGCCTTCTACCTCTGCCCTATGCTCATCTCGATCTGTAGAATCTGGCTTGGCTCAGGTTCGATCGCCATTCCCGATCATGACCATGGCTGATTGGATAACCCTGGCAGTAGACTCATGCAGGCACAGCATACAACCTAGTTAGTCTTCTACGAGGACATATGGACAGACAAGGTACGTAGCTGCCTGAGCGGCTAACTTGGTGTATGAGGTAGACTGCAAATGCCACGGCTGGCCTGGTACATATGGGCGGCTCCTGCGCTTGGACCCTTAACCATTCCGCGGAAGTGTGCTTTATCATCGGATTGCAATTGTTTTGACAATCTATTGATACACTGCCTTGGACTCCGGCACCACGACGCTTACTTTTGGGGTCAGCTTGTGAGATAGTCCCGTGGTGGCCTAGAAATTGGAGTCAATGCCACTCCCTACACCAGAATAGTGTACATTTGCAGAACTTTATAACTCAAAAAGACACACCGAAGCTAGCTACTTGACGAATTGCACACTATCTTAGAGAAGCGTGGGCTCGGACACGGGATGCTTTTGCCCCCCCACCTTCGCATTGCCCCGCTCCGAGAATGAGGGCTCCGTGGGTCTGGCCTCTACCTGCCGCCCCCTTGATATATCTACACTACGACCGATTGGTTTGACAGCTCTAAAAGTTGCTTCCCTACCTACTTACTTAAGTGCCATGGTAAGGTTATTGGGTCATATAAAACCGACACTGATTTTGAGGGATCGCATTGAAGGGTCTGGCATACTCAGAATGAAGCCGAAGCACGCGCATATGGAAGATTTTTCCTTCCCCGCATCTGCAGGCATTCTGCATCGAGATAGGTCAATTAACATTATCCGATGTTTTCCCGGTACTGAACTAGCTTGCACTGACACCAATCGACACGTCAATTGAGTCAATCCTCGGGTTGATACGAAACCGCCATTTGCCGTGATGAGTTCATGACTTTCCCGCATGCGGTCACCCGCCACCATAGCCTTCCCAGTATTCATTTATATTCCCTGCCAGAGCACCGAATATTCATCCACTTCCGGCATCAGACTCTTCCTGCTAGAATCCTAATATGGCATCATTTCCCACTATCGCCTTCGTGCCGGGCGCATGGCACAGCCCGGAATGTTATCGCAGAGTGATCGACCAACTCGAAGCTGCGGGGTACGAGACGGACCTCGTTCATCTTCCTTCCGTGGGACCAACCCAGCACTTGCCAGACTTGTCTGCCGATGTGGACCAAATACGAAGCCATCTAGAGCGTCTAGTAGATGCCGGCAAGAAGGTCGTGCTCGTGGTACACTCTTACGGAGGAGTGCCTTCAAGCGAAGCCGTCAAAGGGCTTGACTGCGGCAGCCGGCAGAGTAACGGCCAAGAAGGCGGAGTCGCTCATATATTCTTCTGCTGCTCGTTTATCATTCCTGAAGGGAAATCTATCATCGGCGCCTTCGGGGGAAACGACTTGCCGTGGTTCAAAGTCTCTGCGGATCGCCTGGAAATCAACCCAGACAGACCAGACGAGGTTTTCTACAATGACGTGCCGGAAGAAGATGCTCAGGCGGCAGTCAAATCTTTACGTCCGCACAGTTATCAGACCTTAGTCAGCCCATGCACATATGCTGCCTGGAAAGAAGTTCCCAGTACCTACCTCTACTGTGCCAAGGATAATGCTATCCCTTTAGAAATCCAGAAAATGATGGTGGAGGACTGGGCGGCAGGTTATCCCATCCGCACAGAGTTCCTCGACGCCTCACATAGTCCTTTCCTCTCGAAGCCAACTGAAGTAACAACGGCGATCAGAAGGGCAGCTGGGGAAGAGATCTGATCATGAAAAGGATATGTGACGTGGCCTTATATACACCTGGTGCCATCCACGTGGACCGGAATACTAGTGTCACCAATGGCGGTTCTTCAATGTATATAGAGACTAATGCAGGCTACACAAATCCTCAATACTGATGATCTCAGAGATATTCCAAGGTGACATGGCATGTCATGGCTTTTGATTGAGAATTTGGCAACATCCGACCAGGAACAAAAACTCACCTGAAATCGCTATTTCGATAATTCTCAGTGTCCCTCTTTTTCCTGAGTACTTCTTTTGGGCGCAGACAGCAGTGAATGCTGCAGTAACCCGATGGATAGAAGTCAATGTTTGCCTCACATTTTGACCTCCTTGCCGGCGAATTTGCTTCAACCCACTGCCCAGGCTTTGTACCACCTTCCAACGGTATGTCTCTGTGACGCCTTTGCTGCGTTGCACTCTCAGACCTTATCTCGGCTTATTTCCAAATACAGAGTCCGGCGTACTACCCGGAACCCTATGAGATGCTAAAATCCGGTTCCGAGCACCAGTGGCGCCCAACACCCCAACAACCCGGTTTGCCTGATGCTTTTCTGCTTGAAGAGAAGATTAGTCGACCGAGAGCAAACTCGCACTTTCTCTCAGCACCATGCGCGCCCCACCACGAAAGTTCATCATCCCCTCCGGCCCGGAAGGCGATGCCTTGCACAATGGCTCAGGCTGAGCTCGGTGACCAGGAGGCGATTATCACCACTGAAAGTGAAGAACATGAGCACCAGGACGATTACGAGGTTCACTGGGAGGAGGACGATCCGGCAAACCCACACGCTATGACATCGAAGCGCAAATGGGTCATCGTGAGTCTAGTAAGTACCATGACGGTGTGCGTATGCGTCACCAGCTCGCTTTACACGGCGACGTACAATCAGATCATGGCCGAGTTTAATTGCTCTCGGACTGTCGCAACGCTCGGACTCAGTTTCTACATTGCTGGACTGGGATGGGGACCTTTAGTGATGAGCCCTTTGTCGGAGTTCTACGGCAGAAGACCAATCTATCTCGTTTCGCTTCCTCTATACATCGTCTTCCTCATACCATGTGCTGCTGCCCACAATATCCAAACAATGCTAGTCGCAAGGTTCTTAGATGGACTCGCGGGGGCGGCATTTACCTCGGTCGCGGGGGCTACTGTGGGCGATATGTACACCAAAAGCACCCTGCATACTCCCATGCTGCTATACACAGCTTCACCATTGTACGGGACCTGTTGCTTATGGTGTCGCTTTGCGACTAATGGCTTTGCAGTACCGGGGCCAGCATAGGGCCTATCCTGGGCGGGCTGATAAACTCGTGGGCCTTATGGTAGGCGAGGAATTTCCCCTGGGGCCAGGAAAACCCAGCAAATTGAGTCTAACGAAGGTACAGGAGGTGGTCCTTTTATGTCTTGCTCATCTGGTCAAGCATCCAGTCTATTCTTGTCATTATTTTCGTTCCCGAGACATATGCACCAGTGCTGCTCCGAAGCAGGGCTCGCAAATTGCGGCAGGAAACTGGAGATGATCGATGGAGGGCAGCGATCGAAAAGATGGATCGATCTGTTTTGAAGGTAGATATGATTTCACATTTCTTCGTAGATAGGTGGCTGACCACGAGTCCGAACTAGACTGTTCTTCACTCACTGTATCGACCATTCATGCTACTTCTCCTGGAGCCGATGTGTCTCAATCTGTGCCTACTCTCGTCCATCGCCCTAGGAGTTCAGTATCTCTTCTTTGGAGCGTTCGGGGTGGTGTACGGCAACGCGTATAATTTCGGGCTATGGCAGTCGGGACTTGCATTCACTGGTCTTTTGGTGGGGATGATAATGGCGGTCTTGATTGATCCATGGTAGGTGATGAGCAACCCGATGTGGACGCGCACATTTTCTTGCATCATGGAGGCAATGTGGGACTAACAGCGAAGCAGGTGCTGCAAGATTTACCCCTACTTCTCCCGAGGCCACAAGGAGGAAGGGAATACTGGGAACAATGAGCCGGAAAGTCGTCTACCCCCCGCTGTCATTGGAGCACCGCTCATGACGATCGGATTGTTCTGGTTTGGATGGACAGCGTGAGTACATTATCTCACCACTTTGACGTGGCAAATGACTGAAAGACAACAGCTTTCCTTCAGTCCATTGGATTGTGCCTATCATTGGAAGCGCCGTATTTGGAGCTGGGTAAGTTGACACCGTCTCGGAGACTGGATGCCTGATGGCGCTTTCACTGACACCGTGAATAGAATGATCTTCGTATTTCAGGGAGTCTTTACCTTTTTCGTGGACGCTTATCCACTGTACGCAGCCAGTGCGCTTGGTGCCAACAGCTTTACCAGGAGTACCTTTGCAGCTGCTTTTCCTCTCTTTGGCGTGGCGAGTAAGTCGTCTGACTGTATTGCTTATACTTTCTGGCACAGTCGCTGACAGTGACATCACACTGCTAGTGTACCACAAGATGGGTGATCAGTGGGCCACATCCTTGCTTGCTTTCCTGAGCCTTGCTATGGCTCCATTTCCGTAAGTCAGGTGTGGAAGGGATAATGCATATTGTATTGATAGCTTCATTACAGATACATCTTCTTTAGATACGGAAAGAAGATTCGAAGCAGAAGTCGCTTTGCGGCCTAGAGGTTACGGGAAGGGATAATTGGATTGTACCATAATAGTCTCGATGGGAATGCCAGGTACCTTCTCACTTGAGTACTTAATCCAAGGCTTGTATGTCACCTTCATGATTTAGTCAAACAAAGAGAATGATCTTAGAACGATATGAAAATTCATTCAATTCACTGAGATAAGGTGCCAATTTGAGAGGAAATGCAAGATAAATCGAACTAAAAGACCGATGAATCCCCACGATCATAGTCTTTCAAAGCATCAAATACTTTTGGTACAGCATCCTTTCCTAGACGGATTCTGGTTATTTTTTTCCCAGACTCAAAATATGTCATATTACCGATAACGAACAATCAATCACAAATCAACCTCAATTTCTAGTGCTGGCCATAACGACAACTGGGTGACCGATATCTATACCTTGCTTGTGAGCCTTCAAAGCAGTCACTGCATCCAACTGGTCAGGCAAAAGCTCATTTTCAATCTCCAGCGCACGGAGTCCGGCCTCAGCCGCTGTTAAGTGACCGAAAACGTGCCGTAGCGTACTCACGCGGTAGAAGTAGAACTGCACGTTCGAGATTAGCTTGTTATTTCAACTTCCTAAGGACTCGCAAGCCCATAATACGGAGTGACAGAAACTTACCGGTCCAAGTCCCTTCTCCTGCTGAGTCGCGTACCCTTCAATCACCGAGTCTGGCTCACTCTGCACTTTCCAAGACATGGACAGGATACTTCCGGTGAAACCTGCTGCATCTGCTAGCCGAAGCATGGTGTCGATTGGGATTCTGCCGCCCATGCTTGACAGGATGACGCCAGTTTCGGTGAGTAGATCGAAGGTCTTTGCCTGCAACAGACAGACATAGTGGAGGTCTAGAAGAGCAGTGGACACGAACGAGGGAACCACCCCCGACACGTCTGAGCACTCGAAATAGGTCGAGGAGGTTTGACCGTCCAGGAGATCAGCGTCATCCGGTAGAGGAATGTTGGGCAGATTTCTACAGAGTTGTTCAGTATTCTTCGAATTCAGGACCGTGAGACTCGTGAGGGAAAGCTCACTCATATATCAGGTCAAAAGGCACCTGATCCTTGAGGGGCACTAAGCTATGACCAGACAGCCCAGTAGTGTCTCTGGCAATCGCACTCACCCGGCTATCGACCTTTTTAGTGGCAGACACCAGATTGATCTTGGCCTTTTCGACGACTTCATCATGGAGATCTGTCATGACGATGCTGCGGAGGTGAGGGAAGACATCCAGTGCTGCGATGGCGTCGGTGCCTGAGCCAGTACCGATGGTGGCAAAGCGTTGCACTGAATTGTGAGTTGAAGCCTGGAACGCCTGGAACGAGTTGAAGGCAGCAGTTACTGCCCAGTCGGCACGGGGGTTATAGATCTATACGGTGGTGTTGGTACCCGAGAAAAGGGATGAAAAGGGAAAGGGACTACCTTCGGCTGGTAGCTGAGGTTTGAGAGGGAAATGCTGAACCTCCGGCTCACATGCTGGGGCTTGACACCGAAGAAAGCTTTGAAGTCAAGGACGAAAGTGTTAAAAGATTCCGGGATTCCCCGTATCTTGAAGTCGAGGTTGTTTGTGTTGTAAGTGTCTTCTTGCACGAGGAAAGTAGTCATTGTTGCAGATTTATTCTTCAAAGTGGTCAAGTGGGGACTTTGACACATGAAGTATTCGTGCAGCCATCGAAGCTTTATAGGTACTCGGCATACCATCGCAGTGCGCCTTACACTTAGGCCAATTGCCAGTTGGGGAGCCGGTGGCAGCTGTGTGAAGTAAGGATCAACGACAGCTTACTGCCATATCGAGGTAAGTTATGCAGCGCCCCTTGCTCCGTTCAGGGTAACCCCGTATGCCCGCAGGTATGACATGATAGAACAGGCATATGAGCCCATGCCGAGCCAGGAGGTAGGCGTGCCAATTGTCGAATACGGGTAGCTCAGGCCTATGTCGTTGATGAAGATTGGTACGTGAAGGCAAATGTGTATGTGTGGAAGTTCAAGCAGACTAGCCTTCCTACAGACGGTTCACCCACGTAAGCTCCACCCATACATGAATCTTTGCCTGGTGAATGCTGTAGAGCCACGGTACTATCATGGTTGTCTTCAAAAGAGTATCTGGCTGTGGGTTCTCGAGCCTAGACTAGAGGTATCAGAAGAGGAAACTTCCGTGCTTGCTACCATTGGATCAAGGTGCCAGATCTGACCCACAACAAATTATGCTTGTTTACAGTTTTGCTAGGAGTACTCCGAGGCTTCAAGCGTAAGAATTTTGCCGAGACGCGAATGGCTTGCACAGCCATCATACAGAGAAGTTTGTGTTCGATGATCCCGTGAGGCTTGAGTTACCCCAGATCGACCCAATCAGCATACCATATCCAACAGGAAATGTAGATCACCTGACCAAGTCACCATGATTATAGCGTTGTGTGGTTCCTGGTTTGGTGAACTTATAACTTTAACTTAATTCTTTACAACGAAACTCTGCCTTAGGTATTGCTGATCACTGACTAACTGAACTCTGAGGTCAAGGTATCTTACTGACTTCTACCTCAGAAGTGGAGGGCCTAAGCAGTACGGTTGCCAGGTTTGTGGAGCAGGCACGACTACCCTCGTATAGAGAATAAAACCAGGAGATAGAGGTGAACGGCTGACCTGCGTATATGCGGCAGTGAGGTTATCTCACGAGACTGGGTTGGCCTTAAAAGCTAGATTTGGTGGTTCTTATCAGCGCCTGCGTGGAAGGCCACAATGTGCCTTCCGCTCACTAAGACAGCATACCACCAACATGAGACTGCAATGAGCCGGTCTCGGCGCTAACGGAAAACTGTCTGGATAATGAAGGCTCTACTCTGTGACAGTGACTCTAAATCTCCCTTATCTGGGAGCGAGCGAGCCCTTTACATTATAGAGCGGACACAAGCTTCTCATTGAGGTGGAAGGGTGTAATCGGCCGAGAATCGTTATTTTATTTCTCTCTTTTAGTTCTTCTTTCCCCTCTTTCTTTCTCCAATCCTTCGAAATTGAGTGGGTCAGCGGAAGGCCATCCGCCAATATGTTGGGCTAGACTTGCTTAGATCAGACGAACTCGCAAGGCTAAGAGAGATTCCAGGTCGGGAAGCTCGTTTCCGTAGGGGCCGAGAGTGAGATGAAACAGACAGTTTATGGGCCAGTCCAAACAGCTAATATCAAAGATTAATTAACTCCAATAAATAATGTAAGAGCATTGGTCATTGACACCATAAGCACTCAAGATCAAGAGGCTAATACATATAGGGCATACGTCAGCTTCAGAGCGTTGAGTTGTGCCTCTTACTTGGCAAATTTCCGATCGACCTCCGCGGTGCAAGGCTGAATGCTGGAAAGGCCTTATCCCTTTCGCTTAGTTCTGGACGGGACCCTCGGAAGAACTGAAAGCAAGCACGAGCCCCTGAATCTCCACTCCAGCTGACTTTTTCGCTTGGCGTTACGCGCCGTTCATGAAGTTAGTGACGCGGACCCCGGCTAGGCTGGAGGTGGTAGTGCGGATGCTCCTCGAATGAGAGAAGCTTTGCGGCGACACGCATCTCCACTGTGCAGCCGCCATTGCGCACTACTTTGATACTAATTATACTAATCATACTAAAGGGTTCGTAGTCGGAATTGATCTGTTGGGGGCCATATCTGTATTGTATTGTTACCCGATGTTACAGGCAGAAGCCTCAATCATCTCAACTACTATCCATCCATCTGAAGCTATTTTATTTTAACTTTGTTCGTCATCTGGTAGGGCAGAAAGTTTGAGCCTATTGGCCCAAGCCACGTCAGATACAAGTAGCAAGATTGAGAAGTCTCAATAATAGCTTAACAAAACAATGAATTCTTGCAGTTGGCATCGTCGTCACAAGAAGGCACTGCCGAGACAGCACAGCCTTGAGTGGTGCGATTTTCGATCCGACAAGTTTTGACCAGTAGGTATCAAGTTGGTATCATTGCTTACAACCGTCGCTGACAGTCAATAATAATTGCGGAGAAGGATTCAGGACCCGTCAGGGAAGTTCACAATGTAGATCCAGCACCCATGCTAATGATGCTATAATGTTAGCGTGGGCGTCAAGGCTTTGCTTCCTTTTTAAATGACCGATACTCCCGAATCGATACTGACAACCCGTTTCATCTTATCTGCGTGAATCTTCAATTCTGATGCCTGAGCCAGGATGACATTCGGACGCCCGAGACCATGGCGAAGGCTACTGCTAATCCTTGGGGCCTCGGCTATCCTCTTTCTTCTCCTCAGCGATGAGAGACCACGGTGGTTAGCGACTCGTGCCCATAGCTCGTGCACTGGGTTCGACCTTGCATCAGTATCCGAAGACCTCCACTCGCGCATGAAGGCTGAAAGTGACTACACCCCGGTCGAGATCCATCAATTCGTGTGCGGCATTATCAACCATAACATGACTGCGACAGCTCACCTTGAGTGTCCTGCGACGATCAGCCAGCGTTACCATACACTGATTCCAGTCGACGGAAAGCACCCCAAAATCCAATACTTTTTTGCCCTCAATCTTTACCAAGTGATTCATATTATTCTCCCTCTGATGGGGAGCATATTGGAGGCTATTCGATACTTGGGGCCGGAACACTGCGCTTTGTCGATCGTGGAGGGTCGGTCAACAGATGGAACATATGAGATTCTGTCTCGTTTGAAGCCGGAGCTGGATGCTATGGGGGTGCGGTATTACTTCTTTCGAAGCCCGATAAACCCACTCGGCCCTGGGGAAAATCGCATCAAGGACCTTTCCGAGCTTCGGAATATGGCTCTCGAGCCTCTCATCACAGGAGCCAGACAGAAGGGCGGTCCCTTTGGCCACGATCCCATGATTATATTCATCAACGACATCGGTATTTGCGCGGAGGACATACTAGAGTTGGTGTACCAGCAAAAGGTGCAAGATGCAACAATGACATGTGCATTTGACTGGAGAGAGGAAGGAGTCATACATGATGTTTGGGTATCCCGAGACCTGTCTGGAGATCTCTTCTTCGATATTTCATCTGATGGGCGGATATGGGACTCTCATAACCTTTTCTCCCATCATGGTCCCACTCGTGAGCGCTTTGTTAGGCATCTTCCCGTGCAGGTCTATAGCTGCTGGGGTGGAATGGTTACCTTAGACAGTGGCCCATTCATTGACGGGCACGTGGAATTCCGGTATTCAGAGGAGGATGAGTGCTATATGGGGGAGCCTACGTTGCTGGCACAAGATCTCTGGCGCATGGGCCTTGGGAAAGTGCTTGCTATTCCCACTGTGAATGTTGCATATGAGTATCGCTGGTCATTGAGGGCCAAGGAGGAGAAGGGCTACGTTCATACGATTTTGGAGAATCCAGGCCCAGGGCGATATTCTCCTCGTGATGAACTTGTCCATTGGCAGAAAGAGCCGCCAAAGCAGATCAAATGCATGCCAGCCTGGGACGACCAGTCCTGGGTAGACGCTGTTTAATTATTCCGAGCCATTTTCGTAGTGTGGATTCAATGTATTGTGATGTGCATTCCCAATATAATGGGCTGTCTGCTGCGGGCAGTCAAGCAGAGCGAGGCAGTGCTTCCACCCGACTGTTCGGTCGCGTGTACGTGGCCTGCGATGAACCCTGCCTGGCGCACCTGCGGATGGTTATTAAAGGTATCTCGTTGATTGCGATGGCTTTTCCAGCCAATAGCTGACGGGTGAATGCAGGGAATATTCGCACGATCAGGGCCCGGTTGGAGCTAATGCTGCGCCGTTGCTGACTAGCGCTGACACGCTCGCTGTGTTCTCAACCCGGCTGCTCTAGCTGAATTTCCCCTCCTTGTGATGCTGGTGTCGGAATGCATGTCCTAGTCTAAGTCTCTGTTGCACCGGAATCCATTAACGCATTGGAGGGTGGCTCGTTCCGAAGCTCAGCCTATCTGGGCTCTGCGGCCGAATTCGCAATTCATCCCTGGAGGCGGGGTCGCTGCGCCGCATTGGCCTACTTTCGTCCTTTGTACGGAGATGAACCGGCCTTAAAATGTCTTGAGGCCATCTTGCGATCCGTTCATCCACTTTTGTTTGTCGTCCGCTTGGCAGACTGCAGCCTTCCTCATGGCGCCCCAGCATCACTACACCCTGGCGGATCAAGGAGAATCGGAAGTAGCGCTAGTATCGGAGAGCAATACAAACTCAACTGGGAATGCACACGCAGAGGCTACTGTACCCCAAAATGAAAAAGGATTTTCCGATGAACCTCCAGCAACCCCTTCGTCGGTCGCATCCACGCTCGAACAGGGCACTACCAGCACGTCCCACTGGACCATTGGGTGGATGACTCCGAGCTCCATCATTACTTGCTTTCTCTTAGGTAGGCTTTGCTTTTGTAGAGGATGAGGTGCCTTGTTATGCCGGCGCCTATCCTCCACCAAAATGGAAGGGTTATTAACTGTGCGTTTCAGCGGCCTCTGTGGCATCCATGCATCTCGGTCTCTTTCATTGGCTGGACCAACGTGAAGTCGAAAAGACCATCAAGCAGCCATACGTGACAGCCTTATCTGTTGTATTCGTGAACGGCTTTCGGACCTTCCTGGCTGCCGCGTTGGGAATGTCTTTCATTCAGATGCTGTGGAAGGACCTGCGCGCGCGCCCGATGCGCATCGGCGACATTGACTCCTTCCTCTCGGTGCTGACGAATCCCCTTTACCTCGGGAATGTGCAGCTTCTAGCGGTGGCTCCTATTCCGTTCATTTGCGCCTTGATATGTTGGTGTATCCCCATCGCCATGATTTTCCCAGCGGGTGCCCTGACCGTCGAGTCCAAGTCGTTCCATACCTTGGCCAATCAATCGGTTCCGACATTTGACCCAGCCTTCATCGGGAATGGCACTTTTGCTGGCATGATGACCGAAGCACTGTGGCAGCCCAATTCGTACGATGTCTATAGGTTAGTCTGAACATGTTTATTGATTGCACTGTGGACAGATGCCCTAACAACTTTCCAATAGCGGACCTAGCTATAAGCTTACCCGCGTCGCGAGACAGGCCATGATGGCGGGGCATTACCTTCCAGCTTCATCTCCGTGCGCTACCGATTGCTTCTACAGTATTAGCATACAGGGCCCCAGTTTCGAGTGCCGCAACTACTCTTCTCCAGATCTCTACAACTGGGTCAACCAGACCTATCCTCAGATGAACACGAGGGGGTATCTTTACATCGCATCGCAAGACAGTGCTGCTCGCACAAACCGCTCAGAAAGTTTCTTTGACTTCGGCCTGCGCTGGAAGAGGGACAATGAGTACGACAACCTCACCTGCCGAGCATTCGAGGCGACCTACAATCTGCACATTACTTACACGGGGAGCCAACAATACGTCACGGCGGAGGTTAACCCAATTCGCCAGCTAAACAGCTCGTATATGTACGACGATGGTGGCGTATCTCCCCGAACTGGGACTCTGGACTCGCGGATCAATGCGACCACGACAGGAGACACCGGAGGCAACGTTATCGACATCTTTCGTCGGGCGAATCTGGCCGCTATCCAGGATTCATTGGTACTGGCACTCTCAGGATACATTGACATGCTCGGTGAGTACTCCTTCATGCAAGTAATATATTGACATCAATAGAGGCTCACCAAATGTAGTCATCCACGGCCAGCCATCAGCCAACACCATCATCTCCCTGACAGACCTATACACAGGCCCATCAAACACACCGACCTTCAACATTACAGGCGCTTCAATGCAAGACCTCCTGAAGAATATCACAATATCCCTCCTGACCATGAATCAAACAACCACCCAGGTCACCGTTACGAACAAGCTAACGGTGAACGTATACTCCTTCAGCCGACCGGCACGCCTGATCGCCACGTACTTTGTGTGCCTCGGATCGGCGTTGGCGTTCATTCTATTTGGTGGTCACGCACTAATCAGCAACGGTATTTCTGCTAGCATGACCGGCTTGTTTCAGACATTATGTACTACCCGAGCCAGCGCACGACTGGACGATCTGGCGGCTAAGGGCTGCTTGGGAGGTCGAGAGAATGTTCCAGATGAGTTGAGGAACTTGAAGGTCATGTTCGGAGAAATCCAAGGGAAGGATGGCGTGCGCATGGCTGGACTGGGTTCTGTGGATGAGGTTACTCCGTTGAAGAGGGGTTCAATATGATCTGATGAATTAGTAGACTCGGCGTGGTACATCCGGGATGGGCTATTGGTACATATTATGTTGGGACAGATATCTCTCCGTCGCCTGGCTGACTAGAGGCGATATATCGTTTTTGTTCTAGCGGTTAGTGCTTCGACATTTTATGATTAATGTTTAATTGTGACGAACGATATTACTGAGCGATCTCTGAATGGGGCACGAATGGAACAAGGACTGTGATTGTGGCACAAAATAGTTTAATTACTCAGCTCGAAATGTCCGCTTGATTCTATAGATCGTGAGTTATTCGGCCGTCCTCGACCATTACTGCCTATGCCGAGAGCGCAAAATGCTATGTTATAGCGTTCGGTTATTGTATCTTCTGGGTTTCTACCCGGGTTGGAATATTATGTGGCGAGGTACAAAGAACGAAATGGCCTCATGCAAGAATGAGGGGAAGTTGCATATGCCTCACTGGCCAATGGAGACATCATCATAGAAGGTTCCACATATATTAGAGCCTTATATTACTTGCTTCGGAGGGAATTAGACCACGTACAAATGAATCACGCCCACCTTAAAATCCCAGCCTTGGAGAAACAGGGCTTTAATACCATGATACTCCTTCGTGGTGCTAACTCGGAGACCTCGGGTTCATTTAGGGTGACATGGCCGCATTAGCAGCCAACAGCATCTCGACTTGCGAATGATCGACATCCGCCGGGCTTTTATGCATGATGGCTTGGACCTGTCTTTTTTTGCCTGGTAGACCAGCAGGATGCCCAAGGAGTAGGCGGGGCAGAGAAGAAGAGAGGGCAGGCAATACCTATAGCGAGATCCAAGTTGAGTGCCTGGCTATTTACCTATTATGAAGGCAGATATAAAGCCATCCAGGCTTCCTTCGGCACTCAAGACATGGAACTAGACAATTTGCTACCCCAGTAACTGACTGAAGAGCGTCAAGCACTTACCCAGCCATTCTCTGTATAAAGCAGACATTCATCATGACCATCTTCCGGAGTTCAGCAAAGGCCAGTGAGAGCGAGCCTCAGTATGGCATCAAAGTGCTGTACGACTCCAAAGAAGCGGAGGTAGAGTATGTGCTCACACTTATTTGTCACTGATGTATGGCTATATCGCTAACTTGCGTTTCAGTATCGTCTTCGTCCACGGTCTTGGCGGAAGTCGCGACGCAACTTGGACGATCGACGATGTGTGCTGGCCCCAGACCCTTCTTCCGCAGGACTTGCCCAAAACCCGCATCATGACTTTCGGATATGATTCACGGGTGGTCAGCTTCACGACAGCCTTGTCTCAGAACGGAATTGTGGGAAATTCCGAGGATCTTTGTGCTCAGCTATCGCGGTTCAGAGCCTCTTCGGTAAGAAGCAATACTACTTCTTCTGATTATCGTAGCTAAGGATGCCAAATAGCCAGAGCGCCCGATCATTTTTGTGGCCCATAGCTTGGGCGGCTTGGTCTGCGCACAGGTAAGTTGACAACCCTTCATTAATTCCCAATATTGGGGTGATTTGACGAGCCATCGCAGGCTGTCGTAGCAGGCAACCGCAGCTCCCCCTCCGACAATACACAGATCATCAGCAAACACGTCCGTGGAATAGTCTTCCTGGGAACCCCATTCTGTGGTTCTGAAATCGCAAACTGGGTGTCTCGTCTCAACAAAGTAGCGGATTATATCTTCGAGAGCAATAAGGCGAACATCTCGGACCTGAAAAGCAAATCAGATGCACTGCAGCACCTGATCGAAGAGTTCGCGAACGTTTTGCGAAAACGCGACAACTCCGACGACAGTATCCTGACCACTTTCTTCTATGAGCAGTGGAAGACGCAGGGAGTTATGGTAAATTAACTGCAGATCTGGATGTTTCAATAGTTAGGCTAACATGAGCATAGGTGGTTGACCGAAATTCTGCCACTATCCCCGGTCGCGGAGACATGATATCCATCCCAGCCGATCATAAGAACATCTGCAAGTTCCGATCGAGGGAGAATGATGAAGGATACGGATTGGTGCTTGGTGCACTGAGGAAGATGATGGTTGAGGTACCGGTGAAGCAGAAGTCGAGTGTAAGGATCTGCTGCTTGATGTTCACTGCTACGCCTGCTAATTTGCATTCTAGAGCCCTGTCTTCAACTTCAACAATGATGGAGCTTCCATCATGAACCAGGCAGGCCAGCAGACTATCAACGGGGGAATGAACTTTGGGGCGTTTGCACGGTAGATGCGCATGCCAAGTACCCGGTTAGTACTTTATCGAGGTAATCATGAATTGCAACTTTAGACTCTGGTCAGAACATCTCAGTTCGAGGTTGTGTAGTTATTTTTTGGTGATGATGAGAAGAGAATCGGACGGGTTCCCTTGAGAACAGGGGTTTGCCCTTGTTAAGCTTTTTATACGCATCGAGAGTTGAGTGTACGACATTGGCTAAAGTTGAAATATTACTCATAACAAGACTATGTTTCATGAGCCATAAATTTGCGGTCTACCATCCAAGTAGTCTTTCTATCAAAGCAAATTCAGCTCCAACTTGTTCGCAAGGGGAATATGACCAAGCAACCTGGCTAGCTCCGAAGGACGGTGATTAGAGCGGTTTCTCGCATTTTTGTCAGCCCCTCGCCGCAAGAGGATGCTGATAATATCAGCGTGCCCCCCAGATGCAGCGACATGAAGCACTGTGTGACCCTGCGAATCCGCGGCCGAAACGTTTGCGCCGTTGTCCAGTAGATGCTCCACTTTCGCAGTCTCCCCTTTGGCGGCTGCTTCTAGGAGCTTCTGATCAAGATGAGACTGATATCAGAGATGGTATATTAGTCTGTGATTATGAATTTGGGTGCTGAACGGTATATTTGTCTACCTTATCCTCAACAATATGTCGCGCGCCATCTGTGACTGGATATTAGTACTAGTGCAGTAATTAGAAGCTTGACCGAATGATATACCTTGATCATAGGTATAGAAAGTATTATTATAAATACTGCCATAAACAACTTGACTACCAGCCTGGTTGTGAACCGTGTTGTCTTTGTTGTCAAAGGTATTTCCATCACCCATCTCGTCTCAACAGGCACTATTATCAGTCGAAGAATAGGATAATTCGATCTGAATTGTGACTGGGAAAATTGAAGGTGGAATGGAATGAGGAGGTACAGGAAATTCGAAGTTAAGATGTGTCAAGCTGTTTGGCCTGACAGTTGCTGCCCTACAACTGCACCTCGTTGTCCAGCTCAACTAGCTCCACCGCGTCGTTGGGAATCATTTGCCTTGAAGCTCAGTGGGGTCTGCAGGTATCGATATGCAAGAGTTACAGGCAATGATAGTATTGGCTGGCTAGCATGGAAAATCCTCCAGAGCAGGCTATTCCCGCCGAATCCGAGGAGGGGCTGGAGGACGCAGCATGAGTGGCCCGATTAGAGTATCCTTGAGTCTATGCAGGTACTTCTTGCTGAGGCACATACTGCGATAAATCATCCAGTGATGGCATCTTATATATAGGATCTTATATCTAGGATTTATCTAGGATGTAAGACAGAAATACTAGTCTTGTTCAGCAGGCTAACTTTAAATGCACTCTTAGTAGCATTCAGCGAGGAACCTTAGCTTCGCTCGATCGGCAGATGATTGCCGCCTAAAATCAGTCAAACATGTCTCTCTGAGGCAACTACATTTACAACGCCACTTTTCTAGTCGGCATCTTTCGTCCCACCCCGAATCAAGTGTCAGCACTAAGTACTTATATAACCCATGAAATCCCTCTACCTAGATTTCCCATCCCTCCCAACCATAGTTCGCTTCAATCCAGCTTGTCCGCAACCATGGCACTCATTGAAATCACCGTCATATCGGATCCAGTATGCCCATGGGTATGTTACATTCGATCCATCGCCTACTTATATCCCTTTGTATCTAAACTTACATTCATAGTGCTACATCGGCTATCGCCGCCTAACCAAGGCCATCCGCCTATACCAGAAAACCTATCCCGGTGGAAGCCAAGACCGCATCCGCATTTCCTGGAAACCGTACTTTCTAGACCGCGATGCTCCAATGGAAAGTGTTCCCTACATAGGTCTGTCGCCTTGCACTTTTTGAAATTGAGGCCAATTCTAATCCACTCACACACAACAGAACGAATGACCCAAAGACTTGGAGCCGATAAAGTTCCTGCCGCAAAAGCTCGGTTGGAGCGACTAGGTGTACAAGAAGGGATCCATTTTAAATTCGGAGGACGATTCGGAAATAGTCTACGTGCGCATCAAGTGATGTTGTTGAGCGAGTTGGTTAGTCGGGAAGAAGAGAACGATGGACGTGGTGATCGCGATATCGCTACAGCTGTTGCTGAAGGCATCTTCCGGGCTCATTTCGAGGATGAGCTGGATATCACTGATATTGAAACCCTGGTGCGAGTTGCCGTGTACGCTAGTGAGGGGTATTTGGAGGAAGCGAGAGTCCGGACCTGGCTTGAGCAGGGACATGGGGTGGAGGAGATTGATGATATGGCGGCAAGGGCTCGTCGGGAGGGTGTTCACGGTGTGCCGTGCTTTCGCATTGGCGGAGAGGGTGCCGACGATGCGGTGTTAACTTTAAGTGGTGCCCAGGATGTCGATGAGTTCTTGCAAGCTCTCATTGCACATAAAACGGGAAGGGAACTGGAATCTGCGGACAAGGAGGCAGGTCAGGCCATGATTTTGTGTTGAGTTTATGATGTTCTATCCAGTGAATATGTACTATTACTGAGTCAAGGAGCTCATGCAACTAGGTACAAATTTGGGCTGGATACATCTTGGATCATCTTCTCTGTTGTAACCCTGCTTCTATGTTCACTTCCCCTGCGGCAGGTAAACACTCATCTCAAAACCATTAGTGAAAGGCAACGTCATATTGCGGAAGCCATTCTCGGGCGATCTCAAGAACGACAGCAAATCCGCATAGCCCTTAGCGCCGGAGATCGTGTTATCAGTAAGAACCACCGCACCGTGTCGAAGCCGAGGAAGAACGGTTTTGAGGGTAGGAAGTGCTAGTGGAGTCCAGACTACGGATCTCAGTTAGCATGTGGAGTGTCTATCAAGGATCAGAGAACTCACTATCAAGAAGGAGAAGATCGATCTCCGGCAGCCCTTCCTTCAGGGTCTCAAGCAGATCACCTTCTCTCAAATCGATCTGTTTCTCCACAATCTCACCACACTGACGCCAGTAGCCCCGGGCAATATCCGCCTTCGATTTCTCCTTCTCCGTCGCGATGACAGTGCCAGATTTGCCTGTCGCCGCAGTGGTCTGTGCGACAGCTAGAGCAAGGTAGATGGTGCTAACCCCAAAACTGGTGCCTGCCTCAATGACATTGGTTGCACCCATAGAATTGATTAGCTGATAGGTAAATTGGCATTTGTCTTCGTCCAGCGCGATGAACTTGTCGAGCATGAGTTGGTCAAATTCGGCTTGCGGGTTGGCGGCAGGGCCTTTGCCTTCTAGCTTGCCGAGAACAGCCGTAGAAATAAATTTGCCATTCTTCGAAATTAGGGCTTCCTGTTCCAAGGACTTTTTGTGAAGTTCGGAGAGGAGCTGTAGGATATGCTGCGGGGCATCGACAGGGTTGGGGGATGACATGTGTGCTATCATTAAATGTCAAGATGAGGGCTATTAACAAATATTTGGGATACGAGCACAGGGTGGCTGGAAATGCAGGATGTTTTCAGGAATGCTGTAGCTTGAGGTTTATGGTAGATGAAATACGTTGCTTTTCTCACTCCGGAAGAACAGGAAGAGTGATGGATGTGGGGGAAGAGTAGGTTCTTGGCATTCGGAGTAGCATCAACAGGGGCTTGTTTTCTTCCGGGTAGCATCGGAACGGCAAAGACATGCAGAGATCAGTAACTACAGTGAGACTTTCAAGGGAAGGTGTGCCGGTAAATGGTACTTTAGCATTCAATGATGTGGTAATATAGTGTCGTACACATTCAGACTATTTGATGCCAAATCAAGGCTACAGCCGGCAATGGCAATTCTAAGCTTACGTCTACCTTTATCTCCCTTTATAGAATATTTTATTCATACAATGTGATCTGAGAATCATATTTATTTTCTATTCTCTTTCGGCTTCTATAGTTGTTCTTGAGTACTTAAAGTTGCCGGGTCCAGGAAGTTTGGAAGATTGACTCCGCGAAGATTGAGTATAGGACTTGGCATTTCGGAGGAGGCGATTGAGTCATCTGGTACCACAACAAGAGGAGCTCATTATGTCGGCTAAAGGAAGCGGTAAATTCAAGATACTGACCCTATTTTCTAGCAGCATTTACGGGTCTAACTGCTGTCTTCATACGATCAAGTAGCGCCGAATGTGAGCTTTCCCCGTTACACTGCATACAGTGAATCGGCCCCAATCATGGAATTAATGAGTCATCCTCTATCACAAGACCCCAAGGCTCCAGGCAAAATGACCATGAAGCTTAAGTATCTGGTTTACTAGTCACATCGAGAACGTACACGAGCAAAGGAAGACAGTTTGCTAAGATCAAAAACCCCTCTATTATGCTAGTATGACCCATGCTCTATATCGCAAATAGGGTAGATCTACTCCCCAACCCACTCTATAACCCGTCTCAGCACTTCAAAGCCATCTGTTGGCCGTTCCAGCTTCGCCAATTGATCCTGTAGTTCTCGGTCCGAAAGATTGCCATTGTACACATCATCCTCCTCCAACAACATCTTCTTGGCCAGTTCAGTCTGAACTTCCGGGTGCGCCTGGAACGACAACACAGTATTTTCTTGATTAACAAACATTTCATGATTTTCCGCCAGGTGAACAAAGCCTACTCCAGGTCGGGCCACCTCTCGTACATGAAACTCCGGTAACCTCTGGGGAGAATCATCAGCAGGGCGAACAACCAAAGAGCAGCCATCAAACAACGCACGTAGGTCTTAACACCTGATCGGGTAGAGAAAAACTTCATTCCAGCTTCGGTCAATTTAACATCTTCAAGGCCGGCCTTTCATAGACGATACGTCAGTTTGTTGGTTCTGATGAGCAGGGTGGGCTGCGACACATACAATGGGTCCCGTAGGCACTGCTCGTACTTCTCCACCAAATGCTCTCGATATAGCTTGGTGGCCCCAGCAGATGCCCAGGATCTTAGTCTTTGGTGACTCCCACGCAGTCCTACGGAGGAAGTCCAAAACACCAAGGACCCAGGGCTCCGAGGATGAGGCATCGGCTTTCCCTCCGCTCAAGACGATCAAGTCATAATCTTGGGGATTGGGGAAGTTTCCTTCAAACACAGGATCGTACATATTGACCTTGGCGTTTGGTGCAATAACCTCAAAGGCATCCCGATAAGACCCGCGGACATCGTTCCAGAACTCATTGCCAGGAGGTGTGTTGATGAGGACTGCGATGCGTAGTGGCGATTGGTTGGCCATTATGTTGAGTGCGCTGGTAGCTCCTGCTACACTAAATGGACGATATAAGCTTTACAGGATGCTAGTCCACGTCTATGCTAGCGAAAACTGGCAGATACTTATACTCTCTATGACTTACTGACTGTCGTCTACGCCGCACCCGAAGAACGGAGTCTTTTTCTCTCCAAAGCGACAGTGCATCGCATCCGCACACCTGTTATAGTAAGATCTCCTTCGCAGCCCTGATTGGGCCACCAGAAATAGAGATTGCCACAAAATACCGAGCCATGACTGACAGGGGCAGAGGCAACTGTAACCCCAACCGGGTGACCGAGAGCGATCGGATCTCTGGCCGAAAGTGGATCTGGACCCACATATTACCGGATCGGGTGCGCGAGAACGATGCCGAGTGGAGATTTGACATGGAAAGAGGCATAGGACTAGAGTCACAATCGCTGGTCAAATCACATCTTTTGGATTATTGTTTGAGACAGATAAGGCGAGTATCTTGAATCCTCCAGAATTGCTAGTGGCAAAGCAAGATGAGTAGGCATCATGTCAATATAAAGTTGATCCATTCCTCCCCAGTATTCTGCCTTCGGTCTTACAACTATCAACAACAGTATACTCTTCCTCCAGACCATCAAACCATGTTCTTTGCCAGTGCACATGCCGAATCTGATGAGGAGGTGCTCCTCCAATTCATCAAGGAGAACCCTCTGGGTATGCTCATTACAGGCATTGACTCCTCCGCCCAGGATTTTCTCCAATGCACCCACGTCCCCTTCGTGTTAGACCATCCTAAGACCGAAGAGAACCCGTCGTCCAATCCGCAACTACGTGCCCATATCGCTAAGCAGAATCCCCAAGCCAAAGCCATGCTCGAACTTGCCAGCGGAGCACCACCGAGCATCCTTCCGCTCGAACGCGATGTCCTGGTGGTATTCAACGGACGCCATGATCACTATGTGACCCCCAAATTTTACACCGAGACAAAGCCCGACACCGGCAAGGTTGTCCCGACGTGGAATTACTCTGCCGTTCAAATCTACGGAAAGCTCTCCCTGTTTTATGATTCCAGGACCCCCGAGGCGGGCGCCTTCCTATCGAAACAAATGCACGATCTGTCAGAGCAATGCGAGCGACGAATCATGGGATTCACTGGAGGGGACCGACCGCAGCCGTGGAAGGTTGCCGACGCGCCTGAGCGATACATTGAACTGATGCAGAGGAATGTGGTAGGAATTCGGATCGAGATTACCAAAATCGAGGGCAAGTACAAGATGAGTCAGGAGATGAGGCCCGGCGACCGAGATGGCGTGGTTAAGGGCTTCGCCGCTATGGGAGGAGAGACGGGGAATGCTGTGTCCGCTTTGGTTCAGGAACGAGGAGAGTTGATTGATAAGAAGAAGGCGCTAAAGTCTGCTTCGACAGAATAGAATAGAATAAACTAAGGATAAGGCATATCTTTTTTGTACCGAATAGTTAAATCGGAGATAATCATTTCCTAGTATGGATTAGCGTTGGCTTTTAACTCGATGCAACAATCACGTGCATCACATTAGTGACTCAACCCCCACCATTCATTCATTGATTGCCCTCGGCTCCCATCGGACAGACTGGATGGGTTTCTGCTACTACTGACATCAAAATCGGATTAATGGAAGAGAATATAATCTCCCTTATCCTATTTCTAACACATGTACAAACCTGCGCCACCCAGACCCAAAAAGACAAACATCATCCGCTCCCGCAATGGCTGTCAGAGTTGCCGCAGCCGCAGAACCAAGTGTGATGAGCGAAAGCCCACATGCGGGACCTGCGCACGACTTGGAAAGCTCTGTGACTATGCTAGACCAGCTTTCAAATTTCAAATCGCGACAGTCGACGACCCGAAACCATCACCAAAGCAACTAGCATCGGCAACAACATCAAGTGTATCGTCAGAAGAGACAAGCCCAAGACCGACTGGAGACCAGACATTGGCTGTCCAAGCTGCAGAAAATGTCCCCTCCATCGGAAGCCATAGCATTATTCAGACTTTGCAAATGACGGACCGCGATGTCTTTTACACCACCTACTGGGAAGGCTCTTGCTTACCAGCTTTGCACCCGGTATTCCATTTTGCCACTTCATTGGCCGCTGCCCATCCCATTCTCAACGACGCCCTTTTGGCCCTTTCCTCGTGCAATATCGGGCGCCTTCATGCTGAGCGCAGAACACCCTCGGCCGGGACGGTGTGTTCAATGAGTCCTAGTCTCATCCACCAGACACGGAGTCAGCTATACTACTCGTCCGCAATCCAGAAGTTGGCCATCATGCAATCACAAGACTACCATCGGAACTCAGTCACGATATTAACTGTGCTTGTTCTGTTCGCTCATCTGGAGCAAGCCATGGGCAATTTCCAGGGCTTTTACACTCACGTCCGGGGTATGATGAATCTTCTTGAGTGGCATGAAGACGTCAAAGACGCAGCCACCAAGTCGCTGCTTGCTTCGTGGATGCAAATCCGCTATGTTGTATGGTGGGCTCGAGCCTATTTCAGTTCATTGGAAGTTTGTCAGCATCTTCCATCGATACCTTTGCCGGCCTCCTTGTTAGACGTACCTCAGACACTACATGAGCGACGTGTGAAAGTCCTTAGCATCTTGTGTGAATCACACCGATTGAACTTCAGTGCCGTACTGCAGCAATTTCGGAAACTTCGGTCAGACGACGTTAGTGGTTCCGATTTCGACGAACGCTATGCCTATTGCACTGCTCTATTGCACCAAGAAGCGGCAAAGCTGGATGCGTGGGTTTTGCAACTTCCGCCATCCGAGCAGCCAATATACGAGCTCAACGACACAGACAGCACTACAATCCGCTTCCAGTCTCATGATGCCGCGCTGAACTACGCATACTACGTAGTTGCGCGAGCCATGCAGTGCACGGGTGTTCTGCGACTCCTTTATGATCCTGAAGCCGCCCATCACGGACGGGAATGTAATGATGAGGAATACTGGGTTCAGACATTAGTCCGGATTGCACAGTGGAGCGATATGCAGACGTCCTTCACCAAGAATAGCTACACTATCGGGTTCTCGGGCTTGCTCTTAGCGGGTATTCTCCGATGTCAGAGCCTATCAGTCGGATTGGAGATCCAAGACTGGTTGCAGACGCTCATCAATCTGCAGCCAACCGAAGAGGGAGCGTTTCCTATCTACCAGACCTTCAACGTGGTCAAGATCATCAATCAACAGAAGGCAATCGGCCGGGATGTTTTTGCTGTCACTCAGCCAGTGGATGATGGCGGTGGTACACCCAAGCTTACTGGGTACAACAGCCAGTCAATTACAAGTCTCGTCTTTCATGGGAGAGACCATAACCTCGATTGTCTTTTCCAAGATTGCATCTCCCTGGATGTCTGATTGACTCGACAATGGAATAACACTTTTCGACCGGGTACATCTAATCGCATGTTGTACGCAGCATTATTGATGTATTCATCGTCCCTGATAGATGGACAGGTGGTTAAGCGAGGCACTTCCAAAGAGTGCCCAGCCGGCTCCCTCGGAAGAGAATCGACGCTTTCGAGTAGATGCTTGTGTAACCCATACGCAGGCCACAAGGAGATCGCCCGCAAGCTGGCCTTCTAAATTTTCTCCAGATTTGTTTTCAGCAGTGCCATGGCAGTCGCCTTGAGCCGGCATGGGCCGTGAGGAAGCATTATTATATATCCATCCCGCCGCCTTAATCCCACCATTCAATACCCGGCCAGGGTCACTGATTGAGACGGGTTCTAACTCACCCGGACAGTGCCAGATAATATTCACAACGGAGTTTTCCGTAGCTATCCGCACCTAAAACCCCTGGTCATCCTGCGTCGGCGTTGTCCGAAACAGGCTTGCTTCTGGTCACAGAGATCTGCGTCGCCAAACTGGCGGAACAACTGGAGGAACAATCCGGGACAAATTCGAAATGCGGCCAGGTCAGTTGATTGTTCGTGGATACGGAGTATACAGCCCTCACGCCTGCGGACTGTATCGAATGGGTCGAGCATATGTCCCATGTGTTGTACGAATTGGATGGGGACCCGGTGCTCGGTTTCTTCCACGGTGGAGGAAATAGATGGAAGTTGATTCCGGCGGCAGCACAGCGAGCAGGACTTTATGCCCTTCAGTGCTTGCTACCACTGTTGAGCGTCACACTATCTTTAACATTCACTTTTTTGGTCAATTTACGAACTACTGCGCTGACTTTCAGTATGTGAAGGGACGGAAACGTGTTAATTAGACCATTGTGGCGGTTTTCTGGAGCTTCTGATCATTCGATATATTGACATGCTCGTCGATGCTAGTCTACGAACTAATGCTTGAAGTGCATCATTTGACTTTTGGTCCCATCCTAACTTACAGTGAATTCTAGCGCAACGCGCTACATACCACTGTGCGATAGATAGGCGTTACCTCATCATGCATCGCTGTCGTGAAACTTGTCCAATCTTAGCAATCTCTTCGCATTCTCCCGACCAATAGCATAATAATTGTCGATACCTCCAACAGCCTCAACAATTGCTTCCTTATCATGATCCCACCAGTTACAGCCACTCTCGGTTGTTTCATACGGGTAGTCAACGCTAAAAAGGACCCGGTCAACACCGATCTCATTGACCACGTACTTCAAAGTCGGGGTGGAAAAGTGACCACTAGTAGTAAGCCAGATGTTATGCTTGAAGTAGTGGTAGAGGCTCTTCTGTGCCATGACCCGACCCTCCTCATTCGCAATTGGCTTCTTGACGTCTCGGAACCAATGGTCAATCCGCCAGAAATCGAACGGAATGTGCTCTCCCAGATGACCGATGATGATTTTGAGATTTGGAAAGCGATCAAAAACTCCGTTGGAGATGATTCCCAGCGTATGTAAACTGACATCGTTGGCAAACGACAGCGGGGGACCGATAAGCGCAGGTCGTTGAGCATAGAGTTTCTCGAAGATGGCCCCGGTCGGAGCAGCAGGATGGATATACAAGGGGACGTCCAGCTCTGTAAGTGCTTCCCAGAACACATCATATTCTGGCCGATCATAAAATAGATAAGTCTCGCCGTCTGGACCTGCATGCTGAAAGCTGCACAGCAGCGCGCCGTGAAATCCTAATTCCCGGACGCAGCGGCGCAACTCATTGGCGGCTTGAGCTGGATCATGCATTGAGAGGCAAGCGAAGGCGCCCAGACGGTCCCGATGGTTTTTGATTTGTTCTGCTGCCCAATTGTTGGTCTCGGTGGCCACTCGCTCGGCTTCGGCTTTGTCGGCGATGCCCTGGATTCCGGGGACGGTGAGTGAGATAATGGTGTATCCGATGCCGTGTGCGTCGGCTAGCTTCAGTCGTTCTTGATTGATGTCGTTGATTTGACGCATGTAGCGGGGACGATCATTGGGAGCAATGTAGAGACTGGCCTCATGCTTGGACTTTTCTTGCATGTTAGGCCGCTCGTAGGCTTCTTCGAGGACGACTTTGCCTAACATATTGGTGGCTGTGGCGGTGACTGTTGAGTATCGCGTATGCTACTCTTATTTCTGTCTGGTGATTACTGGACCTGAATGTTTGCTCAGTCTCAAGGTTTGTCGTACTCTATCAAGCCACTGTATACGGTTTACAGTCTGATCTTCAAGAGCAGTGATGGGAGGAACAGTTATGCAGCGAATTGATGAAGTCATCTTTGTGGGTCTGTCCCTGACTTCATATGACATCATCATCATGGGAAATCGAGATATACAACATAGTCAATTGAGACATATCTTCAAGTACTGAACTACTCTATCAGGATTATGAGTTGCAATTCCTCAATAGCGACAGAAGGGACTGCGGGTTGTTAAATATCATAATTGTGCTGATCCCACACCATCCATCGACGCCTACTGGAGCAATATACACTGTATATCCTAAATGGGCCACTTCCCACTGGTGGATAATTCACTATATCATTCGCGTTTGCGAGAGGATTCTGAAGGGGCAATACATTGGATGATCCACTTGAAGGGGCCAGAGTAAGATAGGGCTGAAGTCCGACTTGGTCTATCAATGTGGGTCGTAATCTGCGGGAGAGCGTTATCAGTACGCACCAAGTGATTGGATGGAATACACCAGTTCTAACTTTCGATAAATGACAATTGATAAGGAGTATTGATTGCACCGTCTCCGAAAGGATCGATTGTTCGGAGAAAAGAAAGCATCCATCTTCCTATGCTCCCAAGGTTGCATACAATGTTTGACATCGCTTGGGTTTGCTCACTCAAAGTATGTACGCAGTTGTGCTTTTATAACTCACATCAAAGCGGTTCTCACGCTTCTTATCCATAATTTGCATGCTGCCGCTAAGCTGCAGCAATCCAATTTCGGAGCGATATAGCACTAATTAGTTCATAGCCCTGCAAGCCGCTTAGTTATCTGCCAGGTGGACCACGTATTGCGTCATCTAAGATAAGCGCCTAATCCTCTACGCTGACCATAGCGGATCGTAATACATGCGACTACTAACACGAAATTTTAGTTCTGTACAAGGCCTTAATATCTGATTTTGGCTACAATGACCGTTTCCGGTTATTGGAAATCTGATCAAGTTCGGAAGGTACTTGGTCAAGTATTGGAAGTACTGGATGTTATTCACTGTCCTCAAGACAAATGATATAGATATAGAGCGCTACTGATCTATTGCACGTTGCAAAAGCTTTGGTATGGATCTAATCATCGGAGCACATACTATATTCGATTGGCACATATCAATTCAGTCAGTGCCATTGGGCAATTTCCAAGCAGTCACTTGACGTGCGTGCACATATCATGCAAGTACCCCGCATCTAGTCATAAATAAGAAGCCGAATACCAAGGTGTCAATCACCTCATCAACATAAACCCTCAGAGGGAAATAACACCATTTCATACATCTTCAATTGATCCTAAAGCTTCTTAAATCAATCGCTACAATGACGAGAATAACGACCTCTAAGCTCAAGATTCTTATGATACATGGTACTATTCTGACTCTAATCAGGGATGTCTTTGCCACCACTGACCATAAATTACGCTCGATAGGTTATACTGAAACCGGAGAGTCATTTCGCGCAGACATACATAGCCTAGAAAAAGCTCTCATGGAAGCCTTTCCAGCAGCGCCTGCGCCTGGATACCATCCCGATTATCCGGATGGTGTAGAGCTCTTTTACCCTGATGGCACCTGGAGACTTAAGCCAACCGACTGGGAACGCTATATACCGGGAACTGACCCAGGTTATAGATGGTTCTATAAGGTCAACGACGACGATGAATTTCCAGGCCTACCCGATGCACTAGAAAAGCTTGGTAATATCATGCGCTCTCAGGGACCCTTTGCCGGGGTGATTGGATTTTCCCAAGGAGGGTTTATAACCGGGCTCATCACGAGCCTGCTTGAACCAGGAAGAAAGAGGGTCTTCGAGAAAGCCGAAGTCGAAAGTGGGGGTATTCCATTCCCGAAATCCTTCGATGGCGTCGAGCCTATCAAGTTCTCTATCAGCTGCTGTGGTTTCGCTGGATTGAGCCTTCGATACAAAGCCTTCTATTCCCCAAAAATTTCAGGGCCAATGCTTCATATGAATGGGCAATTTGATGATGTTGTGTACTACAAAAGAAGCCGCACTCTGATTGATGCGACCACAGGTGCTGAGGAAGAGAAAGTGCTCATTCACCCGGGTGGTCATTCTGTGCCGACCAGCAAATTGTATACAGATGCGATGATCATGTTCATCAAAGGGAAACTCGCGTCTTGATGTGACTCTGTGGGTTACAAACTGCTATATAATATTTGAGCGGCGATGCATCTGTATAGTCAGCATATAGATAGGAAGGGATGGGTTACACATTGAGAACTTTGACTGAACTGAACTGATTTTAGATACTACCCAAAAGAATATGGAACAAGACATAAGGACGCCAATTTCGCCTTGTATACATGGATGGGTGTACGAAAGGAGCTAATGTACGAAAATAGTGGTTGACATGATCTAAATAGTGGTCATGTGCCCTCCAACTAGTGACGGCATGCTTCAACGATTGTGTTTGTGTACCTTTTATTTAATTGGCTCTGTGGACCAATTATCAATCAGAAGCTCCAGCAGTCATTCACACTACAACATACATCATCCATGAATCTTAATTAGCTGCCTGTCAATTCATGGGTTCGAGCGCAGCCTAGAAACCTTATTTCAACTCTTCAAAGCCCCAGCTGACGGTGTACGGTTCTTACCTTAGCTCTCACTTCAAAGGTCTTCTTAGTTACATTGCACTACGAAGGCGTCTGGGCTTTTAAATGGTAAGCAACAGTCATATTTTCAAGCTATCTTCAACAAAGTTTCTCGAAATTCTGCAGTACAAAATTGTGGACTTCTCGAAGCCATATGACCTGGTTTAAGTGGTGGCCATGAGAACCTCCAACCACTTCAGCAGAGCTCGTTCTTGATATAACGTCCCTGCTCGTCATCGGTCTCAAAGTTCAGTTCGTCTGTTAGACATACGGACCCGACTACTGTGTCGAGTGCTCCTTCACCCACGTACTTCAGGGCTTTTTTGATGAGGGTGTCCTCATCAATGATGTCGGCTACATCGTCTATTTTGTCTTCTTTAATTCCATCGCTTTCTTCATTATTGCCGGCTTGCTCCTTCTCGTCTTGACTATGCTCGGATTCGGCAGATTGCCAGGTGACTTCCCTAAGGAAATCTTCAAAGGTATTTTCCACTTCGAGGATAGTTGGTGACAGCTCTTCCGGCACGAACTCGGGCTGAGGCAATGGTGCTGACGTGCTGGATTGGTGGGTCACCAGCACGATCTCGGGCTCGGGCAGTAGGTCGAACGCAGTTGAAGACGAGCTCACGGAGCCAAAAAAGTCCTCGATGCAACAGGCAGCTGCCTGTATGCTGGGATCGTTTTCGATCTCCTCGTATATTTCGGGCGGGAACTCGTTCTTAACCCAGGACAGATGGCCGTCGATAAGCTCCTGGTCATGCTCGAGGTTGAGCGTCAGTTTGTTGTCCTCGAAAATGGACAGGTTCAACTGCGCCGGACCCTCTCCCACAAAGACATAAAATTGAGCCAACTGGCCCACAACGATCCCACCGTAGAGGGCCCTTCGGCTTCCGTGGTCATTCTGTCCGTGGTACGATGCTGCCAAGCGATTCTTAAGGGGAACCTGCAAAGCTGGCCAATCGACGTCTAGTGGGCCCGTAACATCTTTCCATACGAGCATGATAAAGTTGATCTCCCTGAACGGGTACTCTCGGTGGCTGACAATGACATGGCTCAGGTCGTAATTGCGGAGCCCAACAAGGTCCTTTCGCTGATCGATAACCTCCATTTCAACCTCGCTCAAGCAAGCCTGCATCCGACCGAGCCACGCATTCGGCGAATGAATACGGCTCGGCCGGGGGGCACGGCTAGGCCGAGAGTACGGGTTCGAACGTCTCTGGTGCCGTGCACACCTCTTGATGTGCCCCTGTGAGTTGGATATGATGGAGCTCGCAAGGTCGGAACTTGAGCTGGTAGTGCCGGTGGTAAATTGTTCCAAAGACTGGTGGAGTTGTTTCGAAGCATTGTGTGCTTTGGGATTCATTTCGTCCTCGGGGCTTTCGTCAGGCGTCAATGGATACATTGGCCGCATGACAAGGCTAGGCCTACTCCATACTTGTCTGTAGAAGGCGGGACGAGGCATGGCGGTGGTCTCTTCGGGGCTTAGAAAGGCCTCCGAATCTGCCGACATAAGTGGCGGACATGAGTACCGTCCAGCCCGGCCTTCATCAATCAGACTTTCTTCGCTGATACCGGACACTTGATTCAGCAGGTGTCTATTTGTCTTGGCCCATGTCTCCCTCTCCGATTCGTTTGCCTCTTCAACGTTGCTTTCTCCACGTTTCATGCCGGCGCGCATTGCATGTCGTTTCGTATCAAGCTCAGAGTGCTTAGGTCTGTCCTGTCGCTTGGGGCGTGAGGCAGGCATATTGTCTGCTCAGAGCTGCTTTGCTGCAGTAAACACTTACTATGATAATGTCTTGATGTGATAGTATAGTGTCTTGCTACCAACGCTGCAGGAGATAGGAAACATCTTGGTTCCTGGAGAGGGAATCGGGATATAAAAGGGAGACTTTCGCTAGCGGCATGACAGTGACAAGCCGGTTGAGCCCTGCCCTTTGGTTCTAGGCGCAATGCGATGAATGAAAATAACATTTTATGCATGATAATAGACAGTGCTGTTGACTTCTGTGGCGAATTCCAGTCAGGGTAATGGGATAACAACGGTTAACTCCCTCCTCGAGATTTAGCGGAGGATGCGCCGCCTTTTGATTGAATTGCTGTGCAACCTTGTTATATTATTATCCAATGGCAAAAACCCCTCATTGTGCCAGTCTAGGGTGAATGATTGGCTTAGTGAAGGATGGGACGCGTTTCAGGGCAACTAGTGAGAAGCCGTGAATACACTCACTGTCTCCAGTGTACTCTATACCGGGGATTCACACCTGTCTGTGAATGTATTGATACCTCAGGCACTGATATGCTACAACTACTGCTTTGTAATCAAAATTGTTGTCAATCAGTATCAACTTGACTGAAACAGATTCTCTGCTGTGTTAATCTATCTAGTATACTCTCATTCTATAGACTTCATCATCCTACCGCAGTACAGCAGACATACCTTCCACCCAGCTTCTCCTGCAGGGCTCAAATCATAAACTTTTTCCGTTCCGGCACAATCTCAACTGGTCATGTGACCTGCTGGCAGGGAGACGTGCCCCGTTCACATCCCCATTGTTTCCCCACAATCCAGTCGGATTCTACCAGATTCCCTGTCCAAGAAAATATGGGGTTCATTGATTTCATCAAGGATATCCAGCGCCCAGGCAATGGGGTGGATTATCCCAAGCCAGGCGACATGGTAACAGTGCATTACCACGGCTATCTTTACGACCCGGCACGGTCAAGGAACCGAGGGCGTCGGTATGTTCCTATCAATCAGGGAGACACGGCTTGCCGTTTGTTCCGCCATTACCTGCATGGCCTGGGCTGTTCTGTATACTAATAATGGATTGTTTCCACTATAGATTCGACAGCAGTATTAAACGGGGATTTCCTTTTACTTTCAAGGTCGGTGTCGGCCAAGTGATCAAAGGTGCGTCATTCAAGCGATGTGCAGCAACCCCTGCAGTATGTTAGGCTGATCAGTTTCAGGATGGGATGTTGGCATTTTGGGGATGAGTCTGGGTGAAAGAGCCTATCTAACATTCGGCCCGTATGTCTTATTCACAATGGCTATCTCCTTTCAACATGTCCACTACTAACCATTCCTTATGTCCGACAGTCACTATGGATATGGCGAGAAGTAAGTTTTATTCTAAGAGCAGTCATTTGGAATTTGCGCTGATGTGTTTGCCAGGGGAGCTCCTCCGTTTATTCCAGGCAATTCGACCCTCGTCTTGTAAGTTCCTACCCCAAACCAAGGCGCTATTTTTCTCACAGATGTGCAGTGATGTCCAGCTACTCGCCATCAATGGCCGAGGGATTGAGTCAGATGATTCTGAATAACTGTACAATAATATCCAATTTGCTCATTAATGTTCACATCATATACCATTTTCTTTTATTTCCACATCACTCTATGCTTCAGATATACAGTACCTCATCACCTCAATCTTGCTCGATATATCGTATTCACCATCACACTTTTGTTCTAATTTTCGCTCCCATCAAATGGTTGCCGCAGCAGCACGTATAACCTCTGCCACCCGCGACGGCTGACTGAGCTGAGGCATGTGGCCAGCACTGCACCGCTCAATCTGGCTCCCCGCCAGGTTAGCTAGTTGCTCTTGGAGGCCCGCTGGAAGAGCATTATCACCCTCACATACAAGGTACACGCTGGGCACATCCTTCCACCCAGCGTAGGGCACCTTGCCATTCCAACCATCAGCCGGCTGGGGGTCAAGCATAGCTAGCCACTTTGTCTTCTCTGGCTCAGGGACATCGTTGAGAAGAAGCACCTCAGGATTGACGCAGTACATCGCACCTCCCTGTCAATTCACACGTCAACCAGATACCTCCACAGTAGGGGCGAGAACATAAATAAGCGGGGTAACCAACTTCGACAACAGCAAATGGCAAATCCTCGTGTTCATGACCTTCCGGAAATACCGCCCCAGCTAAGAAGACAATCTTGACGACTCCACCCTGTCCGACAGCCGACTTGCTCAGGCCTTCCATGGCAGCGCTACCGAGGAATCCACCAGCTGAGTGCAATACGAGAATAACCCCTTCTCCGCGCTGCAAAATACTTGTCAGATGGTCGCGCACGGCGGCTATATCATCGGTCATAGTCGGGTTCCCGGGCGAGGTGGTGCCCGTGCTGGGTAATGTGCAGACTTCCGTCGTGAAGCCATCAGCCCGCAGGAGATCGCATACGGGGGTGAAGACTTTGGGGCCCTCCCAGAAACCGGGGACGAAGAGGATTGTGGGTGCCATTTTGGCTGAATAGTAATAGTACGGTTGGTGAGATTACGGTGGTGAACCTATGGGTGATAGAGAGGGGCGGCTGTGGGTTATATGGAAGTGTCGCTAACGCATTATGGTAGCCTAGATGGGGGAGGGGTACAAGGCTGTCGCTCACACCATATACTGCTGAGTCGCACTACATGTGTACCTACTGGGTCTCAGCAAGCCATTGCAGGGGAGCTAGCGTGAGTCCTGTTGGCTGCAGTGGCGTGTAGTAAGTAAGCATGGGGTATAAGTTGCTCCACCCAAAACAAAGCAAAGCTGAACATCCACTTGAATCTCACGTCAGGCGGACGAGTCGGGACTCCGATTCCAGCCTTTTTTTGAGCACAGACAAGGTCGAGATTTGACGGATCAATGGGCCAATGAAACCTTGGTAGACTGGCTATTTAGTGATGCGCTAATTGCTAAGCTTTCTGATCGCTTATTCTTATCCGTCCAATCGACTAGCATTCAGCTCGCACCCAGCTCATCGCCGTCTGTCAGTGGGCTATAGAGAAATGCAGTATACCATTTCTACTTGCATGATCAGACTTTTCGTTCTTGAAGCAGTCTTACGGGGTAGAATACTTGACATTTAGTCTTACTGTGTCACTGGGTTTTTGGATCAGCATGTTTTGATTTTTGCAGAGTAGAAGACTATGTTCGATCGCATGTATAGCCTTAGATATACACAGATATCTATATGAAACACTGTATAGTAGTTTTTTAGTGTCCTATGGCCTCATAGGGGCCAGTGGTACGATCCTTGCAGTTGGAAACACCAGTCCGCAATCCAAAGTACTATGCAAATCATTCTGGGTCAAGAATATATATCTTGCCGCGTCCGGATGGGGGGACCGTGAGCATATTAGTCCGCGGGAATAAAGGCTAACAAATCAAATATCACATCATACATGCTTCATACAAGTTATATAACCGAGCTCGAATAGAAAACCCAAGGTTGACACCGACATTCGCCGCCTATTGAATTGGCCTGTCCGTAAAGAAAGCTCTTGTGGAACAGGGTATAATCCTTGGCTATAAGGCGAAAGTGCTTGCAACAAACATCAAGTACGGCCGGGTGGCGCAATGGTAGCGCGCTGCCTTCCGGTAGTGGATGTGGCAGTGGTTGCGTGTTCGAGTCACGTCTCGGTCGTTCTTTTTCCTTTTTGCATTCATTCCCCCCCCCTCTTACCAGGAGTGAGTGAAGGCATCATTATCTTTTATTGGCTATAGCTATCCTCTTCACCCCGCTTTTTGTGGGATCTGATCCATTTCCATCAAAGTGGACATGGCCTGCGGCTCCACCCTCACCATATCGCCATGGGATCGCAACCTTTTGGCACGTTATTGGAATAATGGCCTGCATCGAGCATGGCACATAGCCACATTACCCAATTCTCCTGTATCTTCTCCTTTTATCGCCAGTTCTCGACAATGGTGAGAGATCCAGCTGGTCACACCACCGAGGAAAGAATCATATCCGCAGCCTGTATACAATGCGTACATTAGCAGCAGCACTATGCCCTCATGCTCCAATATTCACCTGTTCAGCAACACCATACGTCGGCGCCTGATAATGCGCCGCCAACGGTAGTGGGATCACACCCGAGTCCACAACCCTCAATCGCTCAACCTGATACACCCGACACTCAGTGTCGACAACTTCCCCCATCGCACAAGTCCCCGAGTAGTGAAAGCAACTACCACCACTCCGATTCGCCCGGACATCGATCGCCTCATCAGACCAATTGTCACGGAGGGAATCGTCGACGCCGAACTCGACAGCATGGAGACCCTCGACGGCCTGAATAGCACGCGCAGTCTCCCGCACATTCTCGTACATCGCCGATCGGTCAATCGGGGATGCAAGGAATTTGGGATCGAGCACGGGGGCGTCAGCAGGGTCAGATGATCTCAGCGTGAGAGTACCTCGTGATACTGAGTCGACGAGAACGTGCATGAGGCTGATGACGCGCTTTCCGGGCCAGCCTTCGAGGGGTTTCTTGCGAGCGGACGTGTCGACGGCGGTGTAACTGACTTGGTCAGCAGTGCCTTTCTTTCTGCGAGCTTTGAAGAACAGCATACACATTAAAGTTTTTCAAGTTGCATCTTCCCCTCAGCCAAGTACCGACTGCGCTCGGCTGAGCTCAGAATTTGTTTGGCCAGCGCTTGTGTCTTTGCATCCGCAGGTGCAAAAGACATCCAGTCGTATGGCAAGCCCGCTAGCCAATGGACCTGATCTGTTTCCATCTCCCCGTCACCTAGGGTAGCATTGTGCTCGTCAATCGTCCAGTAGGTGAATATATGAGGGTGGTCAGCATAGTTCTTTCCCACAGGGAGGTCTATGACTGGAGTGATGTTATGTCGCTGCAATTCTTCTGCTGGGCCGATACCGCTATTACCGTCATTAGGTTTTCTATTCCCAGAAGCAGTTAATTCTAACCCACCTAAGGAGAAGAATTTTGGGTGATCCATAGGCCCCTGCTGAGAGGATCACTTCTTTCCGAGCCCTGACATGGACACGCTCAATCTGATCTCCTACTGATCGCGCAACAACGGCGCCTTCCACAGTCTTCCCAGTCATGATGAGCCTTTCCACAGTTGAATTCGTCCAGACAGTGACGTTACTTCCCAAAGGGTAGCTATTCGCAAAGCTCCTCAATCCCGCATAGGTGGAACTGAAAGCCTCCGAGTATCCCAGTTGCTGTCCACTATTCATATCATCCACCTGTTTGCGACCGAGCAATTCGTGAAACCTACGGCTTTTCTCCCGCAACGGGTAACTGCGTGGCTTGCCACTATTCGTCGCATGACTAACCTATTCAATATCAACAAGTACCTCACACAGTAGACGAGTGCGATAGCTACCTTAATCGGCCCACAATCTCCATGAGCATCAACCGTGAGAAGGCCTCTCTTTTTCATCTCCAGAGAAGGATACCACGTCTCAACCCGCTTGAAATACGGCAGAAGACCATTCCACGACCATCTCCGGTCTTGAACAAGCTCTGCCCATTGGTCACTATCCCAACAAACTCACATCAGCAGCAATTCTCGTAACAATATCACCATTAAAGGAGGGAATCTCACTAATCAACAGCCGGCCCGCGCGTAAACACCTGATAATTCACCCCCGACCCTCCCCCGACTATCTTGCCAGAAGCCAGACAAACCGTATCACCTCCGAAAGCGCGCTCCTGCGGCACCGAGCGATGGGGCCATTCGAGATCCGAGCCGAATCCTGCCGCAAAGCCCATTGCGCCGGATGTCCGATCGTCTTTCTCAACGCCGGCCTCGATGAGCAGGATGCGCAGATCGGGACGGCTTTGCGAGATTCGACTCGCTACCACACAGCCTGTTGCTTATCAGTATGAGTGGGAGATATTGTGATCGGAGAATTACCTGCGACGCCTGCTCCGACTATGATGAAGTCGAATCTTTCCTCTGCCTTCATGTTATTCATGTGAGATATGGCTGATAGCTATAGACGATAGATGGTGAAGATTATATGCATCTAATGCAAGACCATTGATATAGCCCAAACTACGGGTGGCCTGAGGGGCAAGATAGTATTGATGATATTTGGACCTCGTCCGCTTGCGGAATGATTGAGCAGAGAGACGTGGATGGCAGTTACACGAGGAGAGTCAGCTGTTCGTAGAGGACCCTTTGTATGGGAGTCGCCATCCGCAGGGAAATTACGCAGCCAACGAAAGAACGCGAAAAATATAAGCATATCGGTACATCCAGCTTTAACAGGCTTTGACATTAAGGCGTGCACTATGACCGCATGAAGGCTGGTCTGGACACAGAAAAGAGTTGGACGCGAAACCTAAAAGCGTGAGGGGAAACGGCGTCTCCTCACCAGGATTCCCCGAGTATCAGCGAACAAGAAACACAGTGAGTAAGAAAGAAGTTCTTTATTCCATCATCATATCAATCATCAACATCATCTCATCTATTCTACATCTAAGATCGCAACACTCTTGACGACCCGACGAACCTATTTCCAGGTATCCTCGGTAACCGCCCACGGACCCGGGGGCACCTTATCATTCCACTCACCGCGCGGAGGGCGCCAAAGCAAGAGAATCGCGGGCGGTTGACATTCATGCACCAGCCTGTTCCACTCATCACTGGGGTTCTTCTTCGCAAAGTCGATGTTCAGACTGATGACGCGCTTGTATCCGCTCTCTTCATACAACCAGCGACCGATGGGACTGCCCTCGATCCAGCTCTCGTATCCCAGGGGATCGATCCTCTCGTGGCCCCATTGCATGAGAAGTCGTCCTACGCCTCGACGGCGGTAATCGGGGTGGACGCCCATGGCATTTACGCCTATTCAAACACCAGTTAGCTTTCTTCAATAATGGAAATAAAGTAATTGGAATGAAGGGGAATATACCAGCATGAGGCCTCTGCAACCAACACTGTCTCGGAAAGAAAGCCTGACTGAGCATGCGACTAGCATACTCGGCGCGTTCCGAACCCTCCGGGTACCAAGTACACGACAGCGGTTGAGGGCCATTGGGAAAGGGGTTCTTGTGAAAGATGAGCCATTCGCAGCCGCCGGCGACGCGACCGGTCTCGGTATCAATCACATAGATGAGATGGGAGGCAGGATTCTTCTCATGGGCGGCCCAGCGGATTTCCGTGTCGAGGGCTTTGTCTTTTACGCGGTCTTCTGCGGTGTGGCCGCTTACAGGGTGGACGGCGGTGAATACTGGGCTGTTGATTGTGGTGGTGGTGCGACCGGCGAGATTAGTTTGAAACTCTACTTGTACGGGGATGGGAGGATAGGAGGATGGGAAGGAAAGGAATTAATGAAGGAAGAAGAAGGAAGGGAAGGAATGTGTGGTGGTAAATTGCGCGCTCACTTACTTGTAAGGGTTGAAGTTGGCCGACCAGAGAACGTCGACTAGACGGGCATATTCCTCTTTGGTGTGGATTTCCCGGACTTCGAACTGCGACTTGGTCATGATGGGCTGGGCTGGCTGGAGGCTTGGGAAGGATTGATGGATGGATGATCGATTGAAACGGGGAAATTGAGGGGGGGGCGCGCGCGGGATGAGGGGAAACAACAAGAGAAAGAGAAAAAAAAAGGGTATCAGACTTGACTAATAGATAGTTAGTGAATGGAAATAGATTAGTTAGATTAGTTATTCTCACTAAATTATCTACCAACTAATGAACTAATTTAGTAGCCGGAAGCCGATGTTACCCTGTCACGGACGGACTAAATGAATCCCTCTTTTAAATTAAAAAAGTAGTACTATGGTATAAGGTAGACTATTTTAGGGCGACGCCACGGGTAAGTAGGGAAAAAGTCCCTGAATCAAGTGGGAAAATGCGCCATTTCCCGAGCTGTTAGTTAGTCAAAAGCATCCGACTAAAGCTCGGCTAGCGGGCCCTTGTAGTGCTTCCGCGCCCATCCCACATAGTACACGATACTGATGAGGGTAACTCCCGCGAAAATGACAATGCTGTAGTTAATATTCTTGGGAGCGGGGTGGTTCTCTGGTGGCCAGCACCCGAAGAACATCATGATGATGGAGTAGGCAATGGCAAAGATGTTATTTGCCGTGCCCAACCACCCTTTGACTCGGAAGGGCCCCCAGTTGAGGACACCGCCGCCTTGACCCGGCTCGGTGAGGTCGCCGCGCAATCTACGATAGAGCAGGAGGGTCAGAGAGATCATGTACGAGGCAAAGAAGGCCTCCAGGACCAGCGACAGAATGATGTTCAGCACCACTGCCGACCCGATGTTAATCAGGCTGAGCAGACCGGCTGTGATAACCACCACCAACGTGCTGTGGAAGGGCACCAGAGTTCGTTGGTTCACCTGTAGATAGGAGCGATCGCAATTAGAAGATTCGTAACAAAACAACCTGAGGGCGAATAGAGGCTAGGCCCATCACTTACCTGTCGCACCCAGCGCCAGCCGGGAATGGCCTGCTCGCGGGAGAATGACCACAGCATACGACTGCCGGAAGAGATACCCGCGAGTCCTGCACACGCTTGCAGAATAGCCATCATACTGGAGAGAACAACCGCAGCACCCTTACTGCCCGTCGAGCTCGCCAGCATGTACATGAAGGGATACGAGGCACTGGATTCCACAATCTTCAGCAGGTCTCCAGCGGTGAAGAGGAAGGCAATCAGAATGGCAAAGCCAGTTGCGCCGTTGATCATGAGGGCCAGTAGCATAGAACGGGGGACCACCCGACTGCTGTTGGCGACTTCTTCGGCCATCTGTAAGGGGTTAGTTTGGCAACTGACCCAAACAGCGGTTAAACACCGAGAAGGGAACACTTACATGAACCGCGCCATCAGTGCCTAGTACAAAAACACCGAGTCAGTATATCATATTGAAGTTGATTAGACGGGAAAGTCTGCCTTACCAACAAACGCAGCCACAGTGCCTTTTAACCCGATAAAGGTAGCTAAGGTCAGATCGCCCCAGCCGCCATAATCGAAGGATACAGTAAAGATCGATCGCGGATCGGCCTTGGGCCCCAAATAGACGAGCGGAACTAAGACGGCGAAGAAGCCAAGCACATGGACAAGAAGGATAAGCACTTCAATGACGGGCAAGATCATTCCCAGCCAAGTATTGAGAACTGTGCAGATGAGCAGAATCGCCCACATGATCAGCGTGATGTGCCATCCTTTGGGATCATAGCTGGGGATGTTCATGGCAATGGTGCTCTGCAACACACTGGCGGCCAGGTAGATGGCGGCTGTGGGGGCCGCTGTCCACGCAATAATGCAGACCGAGCCTGGATTTTCCCTTGCGTTAGCCAGTTCGGACCGCGGTTCGCATACTCGGCACATGGAGTTGCACACATACCAGTGACATGACTGAGAAACTTCCTGGCCGACCTAGGGGCCAAGATGCTCACCCAATGATATTGTCCGCCCGCCTGTGGTGAGAAATTAGGCTCATTCTCAGCTGCAGGAAGTGTCGGACACATACCGAAGGCATCATGCTTGCTAGCTCCCCCATTGAAATGAACACGGAAATGATGCCCGCCCAGACCCCAAGAAAGCCATACACCAAACCGGCGGGACCACCACTGCACGAGGGTTAACAAACATTATTCTTCAGAGGTAAGATCATTCCAGGGACGGGCCTTACTTGGTAAGTCCCAAGCCAATATTCCTAATTATCCTATTAGCATGTACAGTTCTGACGTGATAAAAAGCAAGGGGGTGTGGGGAAACAGGAAGAGGGGTAAAAGAGAAGAAAAAAAGAATATTGAGAAAATATCGCATACATTATAACCGCTTCCCAAGTCAGCATCAAGCTGCAGGCAAACCCGACAGTACTCGTTAGACCAAATCGTCGCTAGCAAGGGTAGATCTCAGCGGCTGATGGTAGTAGAATCTCGGGGATAAGGTGTGTGTTGGTTACCTTCAACACCTCCTTCTTTCCGACCCTGGCCAGCTCGTAAGCATCGTTACTAAAGGTAGCCTTGCTCGGCGTGCCAGAGTCCCGGTTCGTCGGAGCACGCAGCTCGGTCGAATGTTCAACATCGCTGTTCCTGGCCATTTTGGGAACTCGTCACGACCAGTCCAAGACGCAGGCAACTAGACAAGTAAGAGAAGGTGTGATTTCGAAGGCATGGATTTTAAGAAACTGATTCGGAGTCATTTTATGCAAGCGCGGCCGGATAAAATCCAACGAAGACGGTAAACCCTGCAGGATTGCCACACACAGTTCTGCCAATAGACCAATTATCGGTCGGATTGCCCGAAGAAGCAAAGGGTCCCTCTGCGTTATAGGCTGCAGAAACTATCGTGCGATGATTGGGGGCCAGATGCATTGCAAGTTGGGGGCCGTTATTTCGATATCTGAAGGATGGCTGAGTGTGAGGAAACGAAATTGCACCCCCAGTGTTTCAGTAGTCTAGCCTATCGAGAAATGTCCAACTACTACTAAATTAGACGATCTTGGCTGCCGCGTGTCTCATATGGGCGTAAATTGGAATTGAAACGCGACCAAGCGACTCCGGAAGGAAGAGAGAAAGGAATGAAGGCTGGCAAGCAGGGGGGTGGAGTTGAAAGTGGAGAAATAGACAGGGAGGGGAGGGTGTGCACCATCACCACCACAACTCCACAACAATGGGACCATCCAACGTCAGCCCTAGTTTATTAGCTGTCCATCTTGTTCGGGAAAGCCCACCCACCACCACTACGTACTACGACCACCAACACAGCACAAAACCAAGAAGCATCATGGCCAAGGCAGGTCGGCTACTCAAGCAGACTTGGCCATAAGCAGTAAGACCGAGACAGCCAACCGTCTCACATGTATTGACTGGTGTTTCCCCATTAGGGTTAGGTATTCCTGCAGTGTGCAGAGAGGGCGGCCGCTAGAGAATCCAGGCGGAGGGGCGCAGAGCCTAGTGCGACGCTTATAGGCCGACGGCCCTTGGCGATCATCGGGCCTCCCCGACTAAACTTTCCGGGCGGCACGCGCCAGCCCCAGTAGTATCCAGTGGGATCCAATTTCTTATCCAGCGTATCCTGTCGCTCCTGTGTCTCCAGTGCGACCCGTGCCCCATCTCCGCTCGTGCAGAGCATGTTTGCTTGATGGGCTGTGTATGGGGCTGTTCACGCACTGCTCGCAAGTCGGATCTGCCTTCTCTTCAGCCAGCGGTCTTATTTACCTTATATGCCTAAAATCGTTCAATCACGGTCAGTTTCGTAGCCAGCCAAAATCCTTCACTATCCGTGCCTTGGAATCCGATTCGGTACCATGAAGGTTATTTTGTTTCACGCCTGAAAGTCATGACAGACCATTCTGCAGCAGTCAAGGTCGTGACATGCTTCCTCCTCATCGTCTCCTTCATCGCTGTCGTAGCCTGTTTGACGACAAACTGGCAGGTTCTGAGGAGGAAGGTGTCTAGTGTGGCGCTCCTTCTGAGCACTTTGGTTAGCTAGCTCTCCAAGATAATTTGTTTTCTTCGTGCCATCTGTATAGTAAAACTGACTGTCAGTAGATTGCATCGATTGCCTCCGGGGCAGCTGTATCTGTCGCTGCTACTCATGGCTTGGGACAAGCTTCCCCTCTCTCAGATGACCAGGTTGTCGTCATGCAGAAGGCCCTCTATTCTATGGAGGTTTTGTATGTTCTGACGCTGGGACTGGGAAAGCTGTCTGTCATGGTTCTATTCTACAGTCTGCTTTCATCCACAGGCCAGTCTAAGTCTGTCCTGGCAGCGACAGGTCTACTATTGATATGGGTTGTGGTGATGGCCATTGTGGTATGCCTGCAATGCCACCCACCCGAAGTTTGGAACATCGTCGGCGGAAAGTGCCTTGACCTGGTAAGAAATGCGATGCGATTCTCTCAACTAAAGAAACATTGCTAATACCTTGAAGTCCGGGATCTGGATAGCATTCGGAGTCATGAACGTCTTGGTCGAGATTATGATTATCGCAGTCCCATCCTTCATCATCTCCCGCCTGCAACTGAGTCTGAAAAGGCGTTTGGTGGTAATAAGCTGCTTCGGCGTCCGAATCCTGTATGTCGCAACACTTTACCGAGACTTCGACACTTCTAACCTCTTTTTCTAGTGATATTGCGGGCAGCATTGTGCAGCTATGCTACGTCCGCAATTTCAAGTTTCATGCCGACTCTCCTCTACCGACCAATGTCTGGCAATGGGCGATTTGCAGTCAAGTGCTTCAAACAGTGGCTATCCTATCTGCCTGTGTGCCATACCTTCGAGAATTTCTGGAGTCGTTCCCTAGTGGTATGTTCAAGCCGACTGAGCTCAAACACCCTACGGTGCAGTCGGCATACAATGCGACCAAGTGTTCGGACAGTGATATAGAATTAATGAGACCGGAATCGACAAAAGATACTTAGTTAATCAACTTGATTTCACAACTAAATACATAAATCTTTCCATTGTATCATTTATTCTTTGTAATATCCCGCTTAACCGTTTACTTGCTGATAGCGGCAACGGTCAGCTCGTCCATCTGGCGGACGTTGGCGTCGGCAGCGGCACGCTCGACGTTGTTGGTGGTAGGGAGGGCAAGAGCCACGGCCGAGAAGGCGACGAGGACGAGAGTAGCGACACGCATTTTGTGAGATGTGGATGTTTTGAGATGGTTGGTCTCGAAGTGGAGGCAGGAGTCTGTCACAGAGCTATGTTAACCCGAAGGACACTGCAGAATGGTGTCCCCCAAGATGAGGTGAGCATACCTTTTGTGGTAGGAGGATTAGAAGTGTGAGACTTGAAGACTTGAGGATTTGCTGCTGAATGAACGAGGAGCGAGGGGGGATTCAAGGGGATTACATAGGAACCAGCGGCAGAGGACCGGCAAGGTCCGAAGACAATTGATCCGAGGTGGGATACAAGCAGGCCGTCACATAGTGGAGCCTCAGATAGCGAAGGATTATCTGTTAGCAACGCTCCTATCAACCGGTGTGCCGTGCTGACCAGCCTTGCATTAGCTTGCGCTCTTTCATGCAATGTGAACCCACATCGCCGAAAGCCCCATTGCCGGAATCGCATGATGTGTTCGGGAGCCGACGTTCCATCAGAAATGTGACAAATGTGACAAGGGCTCGGTGTTTAAAATCTGAGCATTGCGTTGACCCCCGACGCCCCTCCGGCTGTCAAACCCCTCCATGCTCATTCCCCCCTCTCACAATGTATTCCTACGAGAAAGTCAACCGTGACGACGACAGTGACCAGGGGCTTCTGGCTGAGGACTCGGAGAGAGTCGCACCTCAGCCCAGAGTCTCCAGATTCCCCAGCTGGACGAACGCTTTGCTGCTCTTGGGATTGTTGTTTTCCCTCTCACTGAACGTGGGATGGTTTGTGTTCCAGAAGGGTCACAATGTCCCCATTCAGGACTTGGATCCTGATGCGGCCATGGCTAAGCAGCGGTCACCTTACAGTACGTACTTATTTTTAAAAGCCTCAAGATGAAGATTCACCTCTAACATTGTTTCCTATGACCAGCCGGTCTCGCATGGGATACACACCTGCCTTACTCCCACCACTCCGAGTATACTAGCGAGAACAAGACCCATGCGGATGAGATGTGGGAGAACCTGAGCATGGACCCCATGGTTATTGCTCCCACCTGGGAATGGGCTCAGAGCAAGGGTCTGTCGGACTCTTGGGCTTTCCCTTGGGATTCAAACCGAAGGATCTACTTCATCAAGGTGTTCCATCAACTCCACTGTCTGGTGAGTAACCGTCGCAACATTTCATACTCGGGGTAGACGCTGACATTCTACTTCTCTCTACTAGAAACTTATGCGCCACTCTTACCATGAGCTCTGGTCCGGACAAGAGAGCTCGATCCCCGCTCCTCATATCGAACACTGCCTCGATTCCCTGCGACAGGATCTGATGTGCAAGGCCGATGATACCCCCATGCCATCTCTTCAGCTGCTTAATGGTGGTGGAGAAGGCCAATTGATGCAATGCAAGGACTTTGATAAGCTGGTCGCCTGGTCGAAGGCACCGGAACGCAATGCTTGCTACAAGCGACTGACCGACTACAAGCCGATCGTCCATAGCATTGAGCGCTACGCCTTCTGTCCTGCGGATAGTGAGCACTACCCGACGATGAGCAAGTATTTCGAGGAACACGGGCATTATGCCGATCCTTTTTCGGAATAGACAAGGGCGAGGCTGATTTTGTTCGGCTGGGGGAGAGGGTGAGAAACCAGCCAAGAAGGGCAGCCGAGGGGAGGGGAAAAGGGACTTTTAGCGCAGAAAACCCTAGTCAGCACCTAATTTAGCTTATTTAGCTTCAATGCAATTAAGAAAGTAGCAACGTTTAGTGGCCAGTAAATCTGCAAGTCTCCCTGCAAGTCCACTGGGGGCCAAACAGTACCACCTTCTGTTTTCTGTTAGTCCATTAGCCTGGTGTGAGTGGACAAAGTACTTTATCTGCTTATCTGCTTACTGTCAAAGGAGCATCAAGCCTGATCAGCCTCGGTCTGAGCGCAAACCCTTTGCTCGTCCGATCTTCCCCTCCATTCCTTTCATCCCGTTCCTTTTTTTTTTTTTTTAATCACATCGGCTCCTCCCTTTCATCTTCAGTCTTCCTTCCCATTCCATTAAGTTTTGATTCATTCGCCCTACCTTCTCATTGGTGGTTACTAAATCAATCCAAAATGGATGAGGAAGATGGCCATTGCAAAGAAACCGAGGTCACCGTCCAGTCGACGAGCCCCGTGGACTCGGCCGATTATGATCCTTTTGACCCCCAAACCCGCTCCACCACGTACAAGTGGATCACCGTCGTCCTTGTCGCGGGATTATCAACCATGGTGTAAGTTCAGTCCCCCATCAATGAACTTAATGTCAAGATCTCTGACAGTTGCGCCCGGGAAAGTCAGTTGTCTACCATCATAGCAGCCCCCGTATCCCCATCCATTTTGTCTCATTTCCATTCCGACAATGCCCTCTACCGTACCCTCATTGTTTCCATCTGGGAACTCGGAGAAATCGTAGCGCCATTGCTATGGGGACCGCTTTCTGAGCTGTATGGCCGACAATGGCCTCTGAATATTGCCAATCTCTTCTTTGTGGCCTTTTTGGCTGGAACTGCTGCCAGTACCAGTATCCAGATGCTGATTGCCTTCCGGTTCCTGAGTGGTGCGGCGACCGCAGCATCAGCCATCGGTCCTGGCATCGTCAGCGATCTTTTCCCCGAGGAGAATCGCGGACGTGCCATGTCCATCATGTCCTTGACCGGTGCATTGGGACCAGTCGTAGGTCCAATCATCGGTTCCTATCTGGGTGAAAAGGCCGGATGGCGATGGGCATTCTGGTTACCGACTATTGCGACCGGGACTCTGTCCCTGCTCATTCTTGTCGTGTACCGTGAAACGTACAGCGTCACTCTCCAGAAACGCAAAGCCAAAAAGCAGGGCCTCGAAAGCGGCACTGAACGTCCCGAAGATACAGAAAAGACGGCCAGCCACGTATTCTTCAAGACTATTCTCCGGCCACTCCGTCTGCTCATCCGGTCTCCCATGCTAATACTGGTTACCTTGTACCTCAGCGTGGTCTATGGTTACACCTACCTGGTGATGACAACCATCGCAACATTGTTCCAGGATGTGTACGGCTTCTCCGAAGGAGCATCCGGTCTAGCCTTCCTAGGACTGTGCCTTGGGCTCATTCTCGGGGCCTTCCTGTGCAGCTTTCTGCTAGATCGCTATGTGCGCACAGCCCGGGCACGGTCGGGCACTTCCAAGCCAGAGCAGCGCTTGCCTCCTGTCTTGATCGCATGCTTCATCATGTCCGGTGGCCTCTTCCTTTTTGGCTGGACTGCACAGTACCATGTCCAATGGATTGCGCCAATTATTGGCACAGGTATTATTGGGTTTGGATTGGTGTCTACCACCATCACTTTGCAAACTTACGTCGTGGACCTCTTCGGCATCTACGCCGCGAGTGCTACCAGCGCAATGCTGGTGCCCAGAAATGCCTGCGCCGCATTCCTGCCCCTTGCAGGACCGCCATTGTTCAAGCACCTTGGGTATAACTGGGGCGGAACACTTCTGGCGCTGATTGTTTTGGTGTTCTCGTTGATGCCCTTGATCTTCATCAAGTATGGCGAGAGACTGCGGGGAAAGAATTTGCTAGATGCTTGAGACGTCGAAGGTGTTTTGTATAATATGTTTAGTATGACAAAAGCATGAACATGATAGTAATGATGTTGTTTGGGATTGATCCCACTTTCGCAGTTCTTCCCTGTTTTCGACGAGCAAGTCACGTTATCCTTCTGCACGGTCGCAAATGAGGCTGTGCTCCTGGGGCATCGCTACAGAAACAGTCGCAAGAGATACTCTTCTTGGACTCGATGATGATGCCATGCCCAAAATCTAGCACTACAGCAATGATGCTTGTTGGCGCCCTGTAGGCAGCAGGATTGTGATTCCCGCAGCCATCCGTGACGCTCCACCTTCCAAGCTTCTGACAGGTCCGTGCCAACTCATGATCCTTCCGGTTGATCGCGGATAAGTATATAATGCACTGGAGGCGCAGTTCCAGACCAATGGAACGTCTTGTTGATACTTGTGCTTTGACAATATTATATGACATGTCGATCGAAGCTCTTGTTGGTACCCGAAGGAGTATGGTTTGCCGTTACCATGGCTAAGGCTGTCAACTGCCTCAATTCCTATTTATTGATCGAGGCGGTTAGACCACTAGCTATGCAGATCTGCTCAGCCCGAGTGGATTTGGTTGATCGTGGCGCCTTCGCTGTGGATACGAGACAACGAATCGCAGAGTCCGGAAGCCCGTGGCTGGTGAAGTGTCCGCAATATGCGCAGCAGATACTTCTTTTTGCTTCCCTGTTTAAAGGCTTCAGCTGCGCTGGGACGTTACTACCATTCATACTACTCTCCAGGGCTGAATATGACGCACTGCTACGGAGTACTGCATACTTGTTTAGGAAGGCCTTGCGGAGGACCGATCACAGCGAGTTTGAATGGGTGGCACTGAATGCTACATGCTATACAGGCAACAACACCTCGATCTGAATATGGTATCCAGGATGTTGAACGCACATATTCATGTGTATATAATGGTCTGTACCTTCAAGTCTGAAACTACAACCTTAGCAACGATCTAAATTCTCTTTTAGTCTCAGAAACCTCGTTGCAATGCTACCGCTTCTAATCTCAGCAGCAGCTGCCACTCTTGCCTCTGCCCTGGAACTTCCCCAAGGTTATGCACCAGAGCCTGTCTCCTGCCCAAGAAGTTTACAATGGATCCGACCGGCAGTTGGTCTCAGCAGAGATGAATTGGAGTGGGTCGAAGGGCGCAAGAAGGTCGTCCTGGGCTCACTAGACGCATATCTGGAACGACTCAACCTGGACGACTTTGACACAGATGAATACATCTCGCGTCTCAACTACACCAACCAGACCCCAGTTATGGGAATGGCCATCAGCGGCGGAGGATTTGGATCCGCCTTTACCGGGACAGGTCTAATCCGCGCTTTGGATGACCGTCTTCCTGCAGCCAACGAGCAACGTACCGGCGGACTCCTGCAAAGCATGACCTATTTGTCCGGTCTGTCCGGAGGATCCTGGCCGGCAGTGTCCTTCCCATCATACAACTTCCCTACCGCAGACGAGATTGTCGATTACTGGAAACCGGAGATTGACCGATTCCTCACAGTCACAAACACCTCTGCTGAAGCTGCCACCGAAGTTGTTATGTTCGAACAGATTGCTGCAAAGCACATGGCTGGTTTCGAGATAGGTATAAGTGATTACCTAGGGCGGGGATTTGCGTATGAGTTCATACCCGGACAATCCGGGGGCCTCAACACCACGTTTTCGGGGATCCGCAATCTGAGCAACTTTATCAATCACCAAATGCCGATGCCTATCATCCACTTGGCTTCAGTTGAACCGCAAGATGCTGAGTACTACGACCTTTTGGTGCCGTCATCTAATGGGACGATTGTAAGTAGCGCTCCTTTTCAATGAACTATCAGCTTCAAGCTAATTGGGTCAGTTCGACTTGACTCCTTTCGAATTCGGCGCTTGGGAAGGAAACGTGCATGCATTTACGCCCACTGAGTGGCTCGGAAACCAGCTGTCCAACGGAATTCCAGTCAATTCAACCACATGCTGGAAAGGGTTTGATCGGTCCTCGTAAGTAATGCGGTGCATATAGTCTGGCACGCTTCTGACTCCATTCTAGACTGGTTATCGGCACTTCCGCTGGTGCCTTCAACTTCTGGTACCTTGAAAGCGTCTCCAACGGGACCCTCGGCCAATTTGCCAAACGTTCCACCACCCACAAGTCCTCTCTTACCAAACGACTTAGCAAGCCCGCCAACCTGAACGCACTCGTCGAAGCCTTCGCCGATACCTTCGATCTGAACCTAACAGAAGTCGCCTACTCAACATTCCCTAACCCATTTACCAACACCTCCCTCTCCACCGGCAACGCCCACACATCCTCAACCCTAAAACTCGTCGACGGCAGCGAAACAGGCCAAACAATCCCGCTCTGGGGCCAGATCCAGCCTGCACGCAACGTCGACTTCATAATAGCCTGGGACGACTCGCAAGACGCAGACCCATACTCCTGGAACAATGGCACGAACCTCTACAACACATATCTAGCCGCCAACGCAACAGGACTTCCCTTCCCTGTAATTCCACCCTCCAAGACAATGATGAACCTGAACTACACCCTTCACCCGCAATTCTTCGGCTGCGACGCGAACTTCACTACCACAGGCGACGACCGCGCCCCGATTGTGCTGTACATGGCCAATGCGCCGTATAGCGCATACACGAACTTTTCATTCTGGCAGACGGCGACGAGTCGCGAGCAGATGGAGGACATCTTCATCAATAGTTTCGACATCGTGACGCAGGCAAATGGGTCGTGGGATGGGGAGTGGGCGGAGTGTATCGGGTGTGCGGCTGTGGAGAGGAGTTTGAAGAGGGTAGGGATGGAGAGGACCAGGCAGTGTGAGCGGTGCTTTGAGAAGTATTGTTGGGATGGGGAGCTGGATGAGAGGGAGCTGGTTGAAATGGATCCGGGGGTTTTGGACCCAACGTTGATTTTGGATCCGGGGGTGGGGTTTGAGATGTGGAATGCTACGAATCCTTATTGATTGTTGCCATGACTGGTGTGCTGAAAGCTGGCAGGGAGGCAGTGTGCTATTAAGGCTTTATGATTAAAGAAGTGATGAATTGTCATGACCACTATATAGACCAAAATGATCTGATACTGCTAGTTGGAGAGAGTCCTATCATATTTGTTCGAATACTAACTCACTGTATCTTCATTATGCGACTAGTATAGACATGTAGCTACAGACGCAACACAACCTTCCCAACCTGCCTACCCTGCCAAACATATTCAACAGCCTCTTCGGCTTGCTCAAATGGAAACACCTTATCAATAAGGTCATCGAGCTGCGTCTGCGAAGCCGATAGTGCCTCACAAAAGTCCTCCATATCAATCTTCGAGCCCGCGTTAATGCCCCTTTGCAGGTCAGTAAAATTCTTCTGTTTCCACTACTTCGCACAACACTCACCTAAGATTGATCCTTCGATCAATAAGAGTCGGCACTAGTTCTCGCAGCTCAGATGGATCCTGCTTCCCAAGGTATCCCACCTGACTGACCACTCCGCCACGACGAGTGCATCGCATACTCTTGACAAGGGATCCCGTTCCGCCGTTCTCCACCACCAAGTCCACACCGACACCATCAGTAAGCTTCAACACCTCTTCATCCCACTCTGGTGTGTTCTTATAATTGACCGTCAAAATAGCAGAACCAGAATACTTCTCCTTGATAGCCTTCAGCTTCGCATCACTCGACGAAGTTAGAATCACACGCAGACCAGCTGCAAGCGCCAACTTCAGCGCAAACATACTGACGCCCCCGGTCCCTATAACCCTTCGTCAATTTCAAATGAACCCACTACTTAGAATAAGAATGAGAACTCACCCTGCACCAAAACCGTCTGCCCAATTCTCATCCCCTTCAACGCCGACCACGCCGTAACCCCCGCACAAGGAATCATCGACGCCTGCACCCAATCTAAATAAGCCGGAAGTTTACACAGCACACTCTCATCATAAACGATGTAATCTGCCATCACCCCATCTTCGTCTGCAGCCAGCCACGACCGCTTCGTCGCGCGCTCTGTAATCTGCTCGGTGTCTGTGATTGGCGCCGCGCGATCCCCAACATTTAGTGTCTTCACTTTGTCCCCGGTGGCTACGACTTCTCCGGCGGCATCGTTGCCCAGGATCCCGTGTGGGAGAACAGGCCATGGGTTCCCGCCGTTGGCGATGTTGGCGTCGCGGTAGTTGAGGGCCACGGCGTGGACGCGGATGAGAACTGCTGTGGGGGATAAGGGGAGGGGAAGTGGCTCTGTTACGATGTTCACTTTGGAGGTGTTTGGGGTGTAGTCGTCTGTTCGGCGGACGGCGCGACGGTGGGTGGGTTGTGTGGAGGACATCTTATTTGGTGGATTTAGTTAGATGGAGTATTTACGGAAGAACTATTGATTGTTTGTACAGATTCATGCTTTTGTCAGTTGTTATATACCCCGCGTTCTGGATGCTTTGTTGATGTGGTTCGGATGGGACAGCCGAGCCGATGCGACGGTGAGAGAGCTTATGAATCAACCCATGGGGTTTCCGAGATCAGACATCCGAGACAATACTCGGGTTGATAGGATACCCATTGTTCGGGTTCACAATAAAAGGCTAAACATAAGGAGATTCATTGCTCATGAAAAGCTACTTATGATTTCTAATCTTTCAGGGATCGGGATCTATGTATACTTCTTAGCCGTCCCGCGGCATACCCAGACAGTTCTCATGTCTTCCGTTAGTGAGAAATAGGATCAACACCCCCAAACCCGCCTCCTCAATTCCACATGTATGGCCTTGACGTCAATTGCTATATGCCCTTATCATAATTCTGTATTATGATAAGTATCTCCTCGGAGTCCAGCATTCTGTCCGGTTTCTGGAAGCGCCAGACATCGTCATTCCCACGTTAACTGGTAACTAGTTTAGTCGGGATGATATACCAATGATGTAATAGTGGCCATTGCCAGATACAACAATCAGTATATAACCACCACCTCTGCCAAGCATGTACTATTCCTATCACCAAGATCATATTCACATAAACAAAAAAGAATCTTAATCTGATTAGAACACATAACTTACACCTCTCAATACCCTCCCCATATTATAATATCTCCACCGCTACCCATCATGGCCGACCAACCCCCTATGGGCCGCGACTTCATCGACGCAAAGAACGTCGACCCCGTCGACCACAATGACCAGACCGATCCCGAAGACTCCGCTAGTCAGCCTCGTTTCCCGGGCCCCGGTTCGAGCACAACCGCTCCTTCCACCTCGAAGCCGCATTCGAACAAGTTGTTGAACAAGCTGGATCCGCGATACGACAGTGATGTTTTGGAGTCGGAGAAGCAGGAGAAGGAGAAGGTGCAGCGGAGGGGATGGGATTAATCCTGCTTTGATACTTGATGTGTCAGGATAAATGTGGGGGAGAGAGGAGGATGGCTTATGATCATGTATACATGTTTTTGAATTTCCGGAGATGTTCTCCGTCATAATATTATACTCATAAATTATGATACTCTGGTTATATATTGTACAATATACGAAGGAAACCAAGTATGAAAGAGCTCAAGGTATGAAGTATAGGAATCACGCCCCATTGATAATAGCGTTGGCGATCTTCTCCGCAAGCATATCTAGTCTGGGTCAGTGTGTGATCTCCATTGAACCACGAGGTAAAAGGTATAACTTACAGACGGTAGACTGGGGATGTCCCGGCGGCAGAAACGGGAATGCAGACGCATCCACGACTCTCACACCCTGGACTCCATACACCCTAGCCTGACTATCCACCACTGCCATCTCATCATCAGAAGTGCCCATCTTGCACGTACAAGCGGCATGCCAGAGCGTCATGACGTTATCCTTGATCCACTGGAGGATCTGCTCGTCCGACTGTACCTCCAGACCGGGGTTATACTCCTTGCCAATGACGACTGGCGCCATGGCCTGGCTCTGGAAGGCCGCGCGGACACGCTTGAACATGGCGATGGCGACCTCCTGGTCGGACTGAGTGGCGAGCCAGTTGGGGTTGATGACGGGGAGGTCATCGGTGTCAGCAGAGCGAAGCGTAATGTTGCCGCGGGAGGTCGGGGTGATGAGTACCGCCAGCATGGAGGCGTACTGGTAGCCATCTTGGGGCTGGGTGGTGAGCAGGTTGGACACGTTTCCCATGTATCCGGCACCGGAGATGTACTGTATTGCATTAGCGTCTGTAGTATGAAGCACGCATACAACTATACACATACCTCCGCCTCAGGCCAGTCACTCGGGAAGGTAGCCAGTTGCTTGGTAGTCTGGCTGCTAAACGCACTACGCAGAGCCGCTGGAATCTTCTCCCAAGCGAGGTAGTCCGAGATAGGGTTGGTAAGTGGGCCGTTGCCGAAGCCGACCATGTTGATGAACTGGCCGACGATACCTAGGAAGTCATTGGCGATCGCGGTGAAGGTCTGCACGTTGACACGATACGAAGGCGCAAAGAACGGGTGATCCCACATATTCTGGCCCACGCCTGGACGGTTAGCCACGACCTGGATGCCGTGTTCCTCGAGCTGGTCTTGCGGACCAACTCCAGACACCATGAGCAGCTGGGGAGACTGGAAGGCACCCGCGGAGACGATAACTTCGCGGTTTGCCTTGATGGTGAAGATGTTACCCCCGGAGCCCTTAACCTGCACGCCGGTCGCCTGTTTCTGGTTGTTGAAGATGATCTTCTTGGCGAGGGTGTTTGCATACGTGGTCAGTGTCGACGGTTTGTTCGCAAGGAATGACTCTTCGGAACTACTCCGGATCTCGCCGCTGGGGTCGATGGTTGATGCGCAGTACTGGCCGCCCATCAGTGAGCCCAGGTTGAAGTCCTGCGTCTCGTTGATACCAATGGCTTTCATGCCGAGGTCCATCCATGTCGAGAAGGGCATGGCGTAGTTCGCGTACGACACCTTCAACGGACCACCAGTGGATTCATACGCGCTGGCATCATAGCCAGCGGTGGCATTCTTGGCCCGGATCTGAGTGTTAGGGGGAGTGAATTTCACGCTGGTCTTGTAGAAGGGCAGCGTCTGGTCGAAGGTGTAGCTGCTGTCGTTGACGGCAGTGGCCCATTGCTCCATGGACTCGATGGTCGGCCTGGCAGACCGTTAGTGGGATCGATTCTGAACTAATTTTGAGCAGAAACACAAACCGTTGATAGATCATAAAGTTCATCGCGGAGCTGTATATGCGTTAGCTTTGTCCCTTCTGAGCGATATGCGACACCCACGATCCACCCCAACATTTACCCCGAGCATAGTGAATGGACCGGCCATTCGCACCAGGGACATTCTCTGCGACGAATCCCCAGTCGTGAGCAGCAGCTGTTTCTGGATCCGACCCAACTGGAAGCACGTCCGCAGCAGGCACCTCGGCCACCGACTCGAGTTCATATGATCCTCCAGCCTCAATCACTGCCACCTTGAAATTCTTCTGCGCCAGTCGAGTTGCAATAGTGTTTCCACCTGTACCGCCACCAACGACCACATAATCGAACTCCGAATCGCCGAACAGGCCACGCTCGTCATAGTTGTGTGAAAGAGTGTCGGGGTTGGCAATGGTCCCGGTGACCATGCACTGTAAAGCGAGTGACAAGAGAACACGACGGATCATCTTAGAGCATTAGTATCACGACATCAAGCGCTGCGAAGGGGCTTACAATGAATGAAACCGAAGAGAGCGACTGGGATAAACACGAAAAGAACGACGCGCTTGACAGGGAATGGTGTACATTCCGTCGGCGTCAGGGTTTAAGTATGCTGCATGATCCCCTTCGGTCCGACCAAGCTGAAATGCCACCTATTATTTCGAACTAGGTTTCACCTGTCTGACCCCTGTCTGGATGTAAGTTTACAATCACAACAGAGCTCACGGACATATGGTTCCTGATGCCAAAATGGGGCCAGGGTGAAACGGCCATCCGGGCGGGTGGAGATCCCCCGGTCGGAGATGCAGTTCAATCAGGTATGGCTGCCTCATTTATCGGGCGGGCGGGCGCAAATTTGGGTCACCCACATGGATTTCTCCCAGCAATAAATAGCATAGCTCAAAACCTAATCTTTGTTGCTCCTGAGTTGTGGTTATGTTTGACCTACTGCGTTGTTTGTTTTCTTTCGGTCGGATGATGTGTTAGGGTTCAGCGGTCGTCCGTTATAACAGCTCTCTTGCATCGCATTCCCGTCTGTTCCGAGTGAATATCTTGAGATGAGGATCGTCTGCAATACCATGATTGAGATGGTCATCTCCTCTTCTGTTCTTTCTGGCTACTAAGTTGGCTGTACACCAACACAATGACTGAAATATTAGGCGTGTATGTCACTCGTTTACCCCTGGCTAGAGGAATTTCCCGTATCCCTTCTGGTGACAATTCAGGGCCACGTACAATGACCTCTAGATGTGTGTGGAATGGTCGTAGATATACTATGAGTCTTGTAAGTGAGGATGTAAAAATAGTAGGATAAGTGGTGCTATTGATGCATTGGTGGCGCCTACACTTTGTTTATGCATAAGTCAACGTGTTGTAGGCCCACACTTCAGTGCAGTAGATTAAAAGTACTTTTAGATCAACAACAGTTTACCAAGTATGGGCACAATTCGACATATTTCGCTAGCCTTCGAGATTCACCCCTACGGACTGCTTTTACCAGTTTCAGCAGCGTCATGTTCAGGTGGTTGCCAGTTGCCAATCCCGAGGCCGTTGCCCAGATTTCCCAATGCGGTAATGGTCGCGAACCAGTCTGCTGCAAGCTGCAACTTCGAGTCGCTGTCACATCTTTCCCAACACCATCATTAACTGGCCTGTCTTCGAAATACAGTTTCGTTTTCTTCCGATGCGTAGTCGGGATGTAACTTCCTTCACGGATCTGATCAGCCGTACAGGTGTCCTCACGAGCAAGCAATAGGCACCATCATCCAGAATGATTCCTGATGGCTACGGCAGATCACAGCACACCCTGGAAGGCTGACAAGCTGACGAGATAATACCAGCCACAAAGAGCAGCCATGTGTAACGATGAGATAAGATGAAATACTGTTAAGAAGCACCATCTCATCAGCCCCGTGGCAACTGGCCATGTGGAGAGAGCAGACATCACATATCGATCAATGGCCGCAATCAGGCTTCCAAGCCGCATGCCACTTCATCCCAACATTCCAGACACAAATCCGAGGCACACCTTATTCCCAACAGGAAGCGACCTTCATGTGTCAAGGATCCTCAGTTGAGTCAAGCGCTGAGCCGCTACGCCAACCAACGACGGGCCTTCTTTTCGAGTGATCTGCAAAGCCGCGGCGATTCCCCCTCGTTAAGCGGCCTAACGAACCCCAAAACTTAACCCGTTCAGAACATCCGATGCCCACATGAACCCCCCCGGATTCTCAATCACATGCGATTGGCAAGAGAAACTTGCCTATTCGCATTCGGAGATGGCCTCCCGCTGCAGTGTGAAAATTGGCACTCCAGCAGCCCTATATAGCCCATCCCACCCCCTCCTCCCCCCCACAAGGGCATCCTCGCAGATGAGTTGACCAACACCACCCTTACCACCCATCATGAGCGGTACACACCCCAATCCTAAGGATTCAATGAAGTCCACCTGGCGCCGGCTGGATCGCGCCGAGTGGAGCGTCTGGCACTGGTTCTTCGAGATCCTCGGCGTGCACCCCAGCAACCTCGACAAGGAGGTGCCCGTGCATCCAAAGACCGAGAAGATTCCCTACATGAGATCATGGTCTCAGCACCTCTGGATTCTCTACCACGCCATCCTCCCCCTCGCCGTCCACCACGTCTACGTCTCCTACACGGGCCACAATTTCACCGCCGTGGGCGCCTTCATCCTCTACTCCGCCGCCTTCAAGCTCATCGCCATCCACCAACTCCAAGTCATGCGCCGCATGGGCCACGTCCTCGGTTTCCTAGACGGCGACCAGCACGGCCGTGACGATGTCCCGGACGTCGGAGTAGCCAAGGTCGTCCGGTCCCTGCTCTCGACATCAACCTTCCGGCCCATCATGACCGTCTTCCTCAGCTACCGAGTCAGCCAAGCACCAGCCCAGATGAGCTGGGGCTGGCTACCGCTCGAAATCGGACTATACGGCATCATCCTCGACTTCTGGTTCTACTGGTACCACCGACTGATGCACGATGTGGGCAGTCTCTGGAAATACCACCGGACGCACCACCTGACCAAGCACCCCAACCCACTCCTGACCCTGTACGCGGACACGGAGCAGGAGTTTTTCGATATCGCGGGCATTCCGCTGATGACATACTTCAGTATGAAGCTGATGGGAATGCCGATGGGGTTCTATGAGTGGTGGATCTGTCATCAGTATGTGGTGTTCACGGAGTTGGCAGGCCACAGTGGATTGAGGATGCATGCGTCGCCGCCATCAACGCTGGATTGGTTGTTGAAGTTGGTTGGGGCGGAGTTGGTGATTGAGGATCATGATTTGCATCATCGCAAGGGATGGAAGAAGAGTCACAACTATGGAAAGCAGACTAGGCTGTGGGATAAGATCTTTGGAACGTGTCATGAGCGGATTGAGAGTCGGGAGGAGAATGTGGATTATGAGAATCCGGTTAGGATGCCGATCTTTTAATCTTGTGTGGGGGGAGGGAATAGAAGGGGGAAGGAAGATAGCTCATTAGGGATGGGTTGTATTTATGGATGGGAAAGATTGTGATTTATTGTTCATTTTTTGCGGGAGTTGTATATGATGATGATATTATGGGCTGGAGACTAAGTTATGAATATATGCCTTGTTTGTTTTTATCTAAAGTATCAATTAGGGTGGTAAACATGGGGTGCAGGAACCCAGAACCTTGTACTAAAAAATAAGGGGCACTGCCCCGCATGCCTCCGCAAGCGAAGGCCACCAAAATAGCCGCGGAGTCATTTCCGGTAAACAGATGAACGAAACAACATTCCAATCTTACATCCGATCACTTCACCTGAGATCGCCATTCTACTATTGTGTGACACATGCATACACAATGGCATCCCAGCGGATTCACCTCATCGGACTTGGAAGCATCGGGACCCTTATCGCTCACTCGCTTCGCTCCCTCCCCGCACCCCCGCCCATTACCCTTCTGCTCCATCGCGAGTCGGCATACCACGGCTTTCTCTCTGAGGGGAGCAAGCTGCGTCTCCAAATTGGAGAAAATGGGCCTACAGAAGAGAGTACCGGGTACGACGCCGAACTCCTACAGGGTGATTCACCCATCCATCACCTAATCGTAGCCGTCAAGGCGAGCGCAACCATCCCCGCTCTCCGATCGATTCAGCACCGGCTCGGACGGCATTCCGTTATCTGTCTCTTCCAAAATGGCCTAGGGCAGATCGAAGAGCTCAATGAGCGCCTATTCACGGACCCGCTGACACGACCGACATACATGTTTGGCATTATGCGCCATGGGGTCTACATAAAAGTGCCGTTTGAAGCCGTGCTGGCGGGGCTGACCGGATCATGCGCTCTGGGGATCGTCAACGATGGCCAACAGGCATCCTCATTATCATCTTCATCAACAGCATCCGCCCAATCTCGATTTCTCATCGACCGGCTGGTCGAAGCACCGATCGTCCGATGTTCCGAACTGCCGTGGATGGAGCTCCACCAGGCCCAGCTACTGAAACTGGCCACCAACTGTGTCGTCAATCCACTGACGGCACTGCTAGATGTGCGGAACGGCTCGCTGTTAGCTAACCCCGAGCTGCAGGAGATGCAACGTCAGCTTCTCCAGGAGATCTCGCTGGTGTTCCGTCGTCTTCCGGAGCTCCAGGGTCTACCCGACGTGCAGGAACAATTCTCCGTGGCCAGACTTGAGGAGCAATTGATCGGGAACATTGAGAAGACGGCCAGTAATTCCAGCAGTATGCGCGAGGATGTGCGAGCAGGTCGAGCCACGGAGATTGCGTTCATCAACGGATGGATAGTGCGACGGGGCCAGCAACTGGGGCTAGAATGTCCTACAAATCGGTGCCTGACCCAGCTAATTCTGGCTAAGACTAGCCAAGGGCGCTAAGCCGGCGAAGAATTGGTGTGGGAACTTGGGAAGGGGGCACTGGGTCCAAAACAAAACAAGCATAAGCCCCCAGCAGGCTGAAATGGTCCACAGTCCGTTTTCAGTCTGCGGTATCAGGGTTAGACCAGCAATAGACAGTACATCGGTAGTCGCTAGATGACTACTACTGTACTTTTTCATGAGCATGCTAACTGGTAGTAGTAAATATGTCTTGGATAAATGATAGTCAGGGGCTCATTGATGGATCATATGTCCACAATGAGCAGCATGTTTTTCGCCATCAGGCACTTGGGGGCCATTGGGCACGGCGTCCATTACTAGAAGCGGATCGATAGTGCCAGAGTGGTCTGGCTGGCGGATCGAACCAGCTGAAAATTCCATGCAAATCCTGCGAAAAGATTTGCAGGCCTGACTAATGACTCGTGCGCGTGACGTCAGGGAGGCGGAGTTCAGCCTTGGCGTTCGAGGGGCTCTTCATCAGCTGCCTCAGGCAGACATCAGTCAACCCCTCAGAAATCTGGCAAATATCGGAGATTATGAACGAAACATGCCACCATTATGTTCAACAGATACCACGTAAGCCATATACTCCCAATTAAATCAGATATCCGTCTGGATTCCCTCCTGGCATGTCGCCGATGATCATTCAATCGGCAATCGCAATGAGGAATGGCAGCCGTTCACGGTGGGTCTCCCGAGTGCAGGACGGATAAATCGGCTGCTGGCCTAGGAGCCACACCAGTGGAGGCAAGCAAGCTGTTTTCGTTTATTATTCAGGCTAGGACCCCATCGCTCAGTCTTTGTCTGTCCCTATCGGTCCTTCTGCGTGCAAGCAAATCCTGTTGTCCCTGGCTCCAGGGCCCCGTCGTCTAGATCAGACCAGATCCTGCTCCCCGCTGGCTGTCAATATGTCTCCCATCGACGAGCAACTAGAGATGGCGGAGGTCGATGCTCGGCCCCATACTAATGGCGCAAGCAAGGAGGAAGGCCTCGAGAGGCCATCATCTTCAGGCACCACTGGCTCGACCAGTTATAGTAGCTCGATTGAATACAATCCCCAGCTGCACACTCTCCATTCGCGAAACACCGAACTTGACCTAGAGCGTCATCGCACGGCCACTTCCCATGCTCTAAGCAGGATCGAAACCCAACGGCTTCAGCATCAGTTGACCGTGGGTGAAAGCGTCAAGTCTCGCGCCTCCCGAGCGCCCTTACCTCGCATGGGCGCCAACAAGGATTATCCACCCCCTCTTCCCGATCGAGAAGACTATGTCGTCGAGTTTGACGGCCCGGAGGATCCTCTGTATCCCCAGAACTGGAAATTAGGGACGAAGTATGTCATTTCAGCCCTGTCGCGCATAATAGGCATGTTGATCGGCTGAATACTGACTTATGACTCGCCTAGGATTTACATCAGCGCCATCCTCGCCTTCACCAGTATCTGCAGTACCTTCGATTCGGCTATCTTCAGCTCCTCTACCACCAACGTTGCGCGGGTGTTCGGTGTAGGCATCGAAGTTGCCACCCTGTCGAGTTCATTGTATATCTGCGGTTATGCGTCCGGACCCTTGGTGTGGGCACCCCTCTCCGAGCTGAAGGGACGGAAGCCGCCCATTCTGGTGGCTATGTTGGGATTCGGTATTTTTAACACCGCTGTCGCTGTCGCCAAGGATTTGCAGACAATCATGATCTGTCGCTTCTTCTGTGGTGTCTTTGGCAGTTGTCCGCTGGCGGTTGTGGCTGCTGTTTTCTCCGATATCTATAACAACCGCACCCGTGGTGTCGCCATTGCCATGTTCTCCAGCACAGTGTTCCTGGGTCCGCTTCTGGCTCCATTTATCGGTGGTTTTATCAACTCATCGTACCTCGGTTGGCGCTGGACCGCCTACATTCCCGCGTTCATGGGCTACGCCGCCTTCGTGTTGAACATGTTCTTCTTGAAGGAATCCTACCCGCCGATCATATTGGTCTCGAAGGCTTCGGAACTGCGCCGTCGCACAAAGAACTGGGGCATCCACGCCAAGCAGGAGGAAATCGAGGTTGACTTGCGGGAGTTGCTCGTCAACAACTTCTCCCGTCCCCTTCGGCTTCTCTTTGGCGAGCCATTGATTCTGGCGGTCACGATTTATCTCAGTTTCATCTATGGCCTGTTGTACTGCTTCCTGACAGCCTACACACTCGTCTTCCAGGGCGTGTACGGCATGTCTGCTGGTGTTGGTGGGTTGACGTTATTTGGCATGGTGGTCGGTTTGTTCATTGCGGCCTCCTATATCGTTTTCGCTAGTCGGGGGTACAACAAGAAGCTAGAAGCCAACGGGGGCATTCCCGTCCCTGAATGGCGTTTGCCGCCTGTCATGATCGGTGGTGTGCTCTTCGCTGCAGGACTGTTCTGGTTCGGTTGGACCGGTTTCACAAAGAGTATCCATTGGATCGTACCCACACTGAGTGGACTGTTTACTGGATTTGGTCTGTTGATCATCTTCATCCAGCTGTTCAACTATCTGATTGATACCTACCTGATGTTGTAAGTTGCCTTGGCTGATCCCTTGCCGATGAACCCTGTACTAATCAATCTTTCAGTGCCGCATCGGCTATCGCAGCGAACACCTTCTGTCGTTCCCTGGTGGCAGCCAGTTTTCCCCTCTTCTCACGTCAGATGTTCAACAACATGGGCATCCAGTGGGCTGCCACGCTGCTGGGTTGCGTGGCGTCTATTCTGGTGCCTATCCCGGTTGCTTTCTATTTCTATGGTAAAAACCTGAGGAAGCGGAGCAAGTTTGCTCCGTTTTATGACAAGGTTGCCGAGTCTCATGCGGAGGATCCGGTGGAGGAGGACGGAGTTGCGGAGCACTAAAGGCATCATTAACCAACAAAAGTTTTGCATATAGCTATTTGGGCGATTGCTATTTTTCATACCCTGTACATCATTAATGTTAATGTAGATAATCGGAATATTGATAATCATAAGACGCGCGTATCCCGTACAATGTTTGGTAGCAGTGTTGTGTCGTTCGGTGTTTAGATGTTGTTGACGGAAGATGCCATTAGGATTGCTTGCTTATTCCTTTTACCGCCATCTTTATACTTCTCACTTGTGTAGGCAATAACAGTAGCAGATTTATGTAATCAAGGTGCTGTAGTGTAGTGGTCATCATGAAACGTTGTGGTTTTCCGCAGCGCCGTTTCGACCTGGGTTCGATTCCCAGCAGCGCCAAACTGGCGACTGGCTTGATTACTTCTTGACTTTTTTTCTTGCATCTTAATCAGTGATGATGTCTCTGCATACTCATCAAACCCCCCCTTTTTTTATTTATTTTTTTTTCAACGTCTTACTTACTTGTTTCTATCATACTCATACTCTATTCTTTCTCAATCTTACATTGTATATGAGCTGAACTTTGAGACAAAATATGGCTACAAGCAAGATAATGTCCACCTCGCACCATTGTAGCTGTAGCTTGGTCTTACTATTATGAGTCCTTTGCTGCCTGATAAATTAGACCCTGAAGATCTCGCAGACCGACTCAATTAACCTTCCAGGGAGTCCTCCGCAGTCCGCACAGGCAGAATCACGTGCGCAGCTGGTGCCTGGAGGCCCACCCAAGCTCCGACCAATCACATTCCGTCTGGCTCGGCAATTCCCCCAGAGCTCAGGCAGCAGCAGCCACGGGAGCCTCAGGCTGGGGCATTGCAGACAAAACAATATCACTTTCCACTAGATCTCCGCCTCATGCTCACCTCTATATAATCATGTTTCTCCCATCTCTCTTGTCTTCCTTTTTAAAGCTTCATATCACAAGTACCTTCCGCTACCCGGAACTACTCCCCTCCGCCTCTGATCCTCCTGACTAAAATCTGACGACATAATTGCTCTTATCCGCTACTCTCACTATCTCCTATTCCTTCAATTTCACTGAATAAATTCTCCTCTCTCTTTCTCTCTCTCCCTCTCCCAGTTCTATCCTCCTTCACGCCTCACACCTCACAGTTTACTCATCACCATGACCGGCCAAGCTTTCAAGGGCTTGGTCATAGCCGTTGCTGGGTCCTTTCGCGGCTATACCCAAGGTGAGCATGTCTGACATCACAGCCAGAAGTCACATACTGACTCTACAACAGCAAAACTGAAGACTATCGTTCAGCTTCATGGGGGAACATTCAGCTCAGCGGTAACAGAAGATTGCACCCATCTAGTGACCACCCAGAGGGAAGTGGACAATAAGAGTGTCAAATGTGAGTACAAGCCGGGCCTTATCTGTACCCCTTCCCCTGACAAATTGTAGACACGCAGGCTCGCAAGGTCTACACCTGCAACATCGTCTCCCTGGACTGGCTTGTCGAGTCAGACAGTGCAGGAAAGAAGTTGGATGAGAAGAAATTCCTGATGGGCTCCGACGTCAAGAAAGATGATGAACCGGAAAGTCCAAAGAAGCGTACCTTAGAAGAGGCTCTGGGTATCAATGAGGATGGAAGCACGAAGAAGCTCAAGGATGCACAGACGGTTGGCACCAAAGGAATCAACGTCCCTGTTGATGAAACATGTCCTCTTCGAGGTAATAGGCACCAACTCTTGATCAAGTTGGAGGGAAATCTAACCGTAAATAGTGACTCACAGCGTATACATTGATCCCACTGGCCTCATTTGGGATGCGACACTTAATCAGACGAGTGCGACTAACAATAACAACAAATTCTACCGCATTCAGCTTCTCCACAGAAACAACGAGTTCAAAACTTGGACCCACTGGGGCCGGGTGGGCGAACATGGACAAAATGCTTTACTGGGTAATGGCAACTTGGATGAGGCAGAGAATGAGTTCAAGAAGAAGTTCAAGGACAAGTCAGGCTTGACCTGGGAGAAACGCTTGGATCCACCAAAGAAAGGTAAATATACCTTCATTGAAAAGAACTACGAGGACGACACGGAAGACGAAGACGAGGATGAAGACAAACTCGTCGCGAAGAAACCCACCAAGCCCAAGGTAGAGGAAGTGAAATGCACTTTATCGCCACCTATCCAGGACCTCGTGTCATTCATATTCAACAAGGATCTTTTTCAGTCCACCATGGCTTCCATGTCCTACGATGCTCAGAAATTGCCCTTGGGAAAACTGAGCAAGCGCACTCTCCAGAACGGTTTTCAGGCACTGAAGGATCTGTCAGAGCTCATTGCCACACCTGCCCTGGCGAGTACAAAATATGATGCTAGCTTTGCTGCCGCAGTGGAGCATCTCAGCAATCTATACTTTACCGTGATCCCCCATGCATTCGGACGCAACAGGCCCCCAGTATTGAACAACGACACATTGCTCAAGAGAGAGATCGAACTGCTGGAGGCATTGACGGACATGGAAGTTGCGAACAATATCATGAAAGAGGCCAAGAACACCGATACAGTTCACCCTCTCGACCGTCAGTTTCAGGGCTTGAATATGCAGGAGATGACACCATGTACGTCTTATTTCTAGAGCCTTATCCCATGGACTAGTACTAACTCCAGGCAGTGGAACACAAAACAACCGAATTTATTGAGCTGGCCAACTACCTCAACCAGTCTCGCGGTCACACCCACGGCATTCAATACAAGGTTCGCATCTGATGTACCTTTTTAAATGAACCAAGCTAACTGTAACAGGTCATAAACATCTTCCGCATCGAGCGCCAAGGCGAAAAAGACCGATTCCAGTCATCCCAGTACTCCAATATCAAGAACTCCTGTCGCCGTCTTTTGTGGCACGGTTCCCGCAGCACCAATTTCGGTGGTATCCTAAGCCAGGGTCTACGTATTGCACCGCCCGAGGCCCCCGTCAGCGGATACATGTTCGGCAAAGGTGTCTACTTCGCGGACATGTCGACCAAGTCAGCGAATTACTGCTGCTCTTGGGGGAGTGGAAACCGGGGGCTACTCCTCCTTTGTGACGTTGAGGTCGGCAATCCCATGTATGAGCTGGACACGGCAAGCTACAACGCAGGCACCGAAGCGAAAGGGCAGGCCAAGATTGCTACCCTTGGTCGTGGTCGCTCGATCCCTGGAGGATGGAAAGACGCTGGCTGTGTCAATGAAGATCTGAAGGGGGTTTTGATGCCCGATGTGCAGGTGCCGACCACTAATTCTAACTCGAGGGGGCTGATGTACAATGAGTACATCGTGTATGATGTGGCGCAGATCCAGCAGAAGTATCTGTTCCATGTCAACATGCGGTGATCTAGCTCTTGTTTTACATTTTGGTTTTATGGTATGGCGCATATATTAGCTTAGCGGCGGCATCTGGAGCGGATTATGGCGTTGAGCGAGGTCTCGGGGTTTGTTTCATAATTTATCGGCCCGGAATTAGAGGTTATGGTCTTAGCTGACGCACCTGCATAGCTGGCATCCTACTTGGCAGGTTTAATTGAGTATAAGAACATGATCTGAATTATTCTTAGCTGACGATAATAAATCATCTTAAGGCAACGGAGCAACAGGTGTAAGGCTAACTGTATCTAGTATCTGACCGTATCTAATGTTCTTCTCGATCTTCAAGATCCTCCAAAGGGAAACAAGTAGGTAGGGCACGTAGGCAGCAGCAGCGGAGGATCTGTAGGCTGCATGGCTACAGTAACTTTCGCAACAATCTTTAAGCCAACTTACGAATTACGTATGCAGTCCAGCCAACACACATCCAGTTTGCTGACTACTGGGCCCACCGACTATCTTCCTTCTCATCCATACCAGTACTATTTCCACCGACGATCCTCCTCCCAGTTGAAGACCAAGAAAGCCGCTTACCCTGCCTATATTGGCATTCACAAAGAATAAATCCCCCCGAAGCGGACAAGCATAAAATCAACTAAAATCGAGAATGTAACAAAAAGAAATGTACGCATGGGGTTCAGTAAGGGGTAGATAAGGACACCAGATGGCCATGCAAAGGAATATTGAAATTTCTTTCAATTGAATGGTCCTTGATGCTTACATGCGTCTTGCGAACCCCCAACTCAGCTTGCATGAGAAAGTGTTCGGGGCGCTTAGAAATAAGCCGGGGTTACCGAGCTTATAAGAATAAACTCCATCCCCTCCAACCCACAATCCCTTACCTCAACCCCGCAAAGGGAATCTCATCTGCTCTCATCATGCTAGTCTACCTCACCAACTTTTTCATAGCATGGCTCGCCTACTTTTGGCGACCCAAACAACAACCCTGCGACAGTCTAACACTACCGCATATTCCCGGGGTTGACATCATATCCATGACCCGCCAAGAGGTCCATAACTACAGCGTAGCAGCCTCTCCTCCATACAATCTCGCAGACATCCAGAATCTCGACTTCTGCAACGTATCGCTCACCCTAACTCACCCGGGTGAAAATGACACTGTCGCTGTCTCTGTCTGGCTCCCCCTCACCAACTGGAACGGCCGTTTCCAGGCTACTGGTGGCGGCGGTCTCGCAGCCGGCATCATCGGCCTGGCCTCAGCTCGCCCAGTCAGCCAGGGCTATGCGACAGCTGCAACCGATGGCGGTCTCACCTTGAATGGAACCAGTAATCCCCAGACGGGGGCCTGGGCTCTGCGCCCCGACGGTTCCATCAACACCGCTCTGCTAGAAAACTTCGCCCATCGCTCCATCTATGATATGACCATCATCGGGAAGACCCTTACCGAGCGCTTCTACGGATCTCCGCCAAAGTACTCCTACTGGAGCGGCTGCTCCACTGGCGGCAGACAGGGATACTTCGCCGCAGCAAAGTATCCGACTCTCTTTGACGGAATTCTCGCCGGTGCACCGGCCCTCAATTTCCCACGTTTAATCGGATACATGTCCTGGCCGCCGGTGCATATGTTCCAGTCCGCAGCGCCGCCGCAGTGCGTCTTTGACACATTCCTAAAAGCAATCATCGGCGAATGTGATCCGCTCGATGGAGCCACGGATGGGTTAATATCAGATTACAACCCGGAGAGCTGCCCATTCGATCCCGAAACACTTTTCGGCCAAACGGTACCATGCCCGGAGATGGGCTCAGATTCCCCAGTAACCATCACAGCCCAGCACGCCACCCTCTTCAAGCAAATCTTGCAAGGTCCCGAACTCCCCGGATCATCCCAACCTATGGACAGGACTCCCACCGGGCGCCTCATTCCGCGGAACGGCAAACACCGAAGTAATCAATGGATCAATTGTCAGACCCGTCCCCTTCTTTCCCATCATCGGCTGGATTAAGAATTTTGTCTTTCGAGACCCGAGCTACAATGTATTCAATATGAATCTCGATGACTTCGATACTGTCTACCGTCTCACGCTGGACGCCTACAACGGCATTTTCGGCTCGGATGATCTTGATCTCTCCGATTTCCGTCGCGCAGGGGGGAAGCTTTTGACCTGGCATGGGTTGGCGGATGAGCTGATCCCGGCGTCGTGGACGAATGCATTCTGGGATAGGATTGATCAGGCGGATGATGGAGATGCAGATGAGTTTTACCGGGTTTTCCTTGCCCCTGGGCTGGGGCACTGCTCGGCTGGGTATGGTCCGAAACCAGTTGATCCGTTCGGCGCATTGGTGCGCTGGGTGGAGGAAGGGAATCCTCCTGATCGGTTGAGTGCGGCAGCTGTCAAGGCGGATGGGACGGAGGTGACGAGGGAGTTGTGTCGGTACCCGGCGACGCTGGTGTATGATGGGCATGGGGATGTGAATGATGCGAGGAGTTTTTCATGTCGATCCAAAGAGGCATGATGGTTATGATGTTATATATAGACACGCTATATCCTCTCGATATTTTGGGAACGCTAGAGGTGGGACACTGGTACTAGCATACGGCTGAATGACTTGGAATAGAATATGAGCTTCGGGATTGACCGTTGTTGTTATTAGGCGTTTCACAGAGTGGCTATATCGGGCTTCAGCTGGGCTAACATTGCATGGTCTACTAATTTGGGCCAGAAGACTGCGGCATACCGTTTAAGATCCATTATTAATTGGGTGACTACTATGAAGGAGTAGCATGTCTGCGCAGTGATGGGATCAGTCTCGGATAGTGCCAACGCCCCATCTCGGGAGGAGTGGATACTGCAATGGCAAAAGACACCAACAACAACAACCAAAAGAAAAAAGTAAAAATCACAAAAAATGGAGCTGCGGGGAATCGAACCCCGGACCTCTCCCATGCTAAGGGAATATTATACCACTAAACCACAGCCCCATTTGTTGAAAGACAGGGGTCTACATTTGATATATAACATAAGTCCTGCCATAGGTAGAGGGGATCGAGGTGACAGGTGGTTGTGGTGTTGACAATCCACACTGGAGGGCGGTTGGTGGTCATAGATAATTCGTATTGTATGCTTAAGTAAAATATTCCATGCCTAGAGTATTTATTTACTACTTGTGAGGGACGATCGAACGTGGTTTATGATGAATGGGGTGATTCAGGCAGACCATTCGTCTTCAGTTCGGAAATATATTCCTCGGACGTGCTGCTTTGCTCAGGGTTAGCCAAAGTGAAAACCAGCATTATTGCCTAACCCTCAATTCAAACCAGTGAGAGAGGCAGATGAGCCAGCGACTTGACCAACATGATGTGATCCAGTTTCAACAGATATGACACGATTAAAAAGGCACTTAAACCCACACCCAGTAATGCAGTCCAAGCGTATTTAATAGAAGTTCTCAGTTACGTGCAAGAGTCTACAAGAACACGAACTTGTCCCACCCAGACATCCTCACAACTGCGGGGAAGCAGGTAAGCATTAGCAACAGACAATAAATCCGGCGACAAAACTCAGCCACCAAGAAATGCCCATCAATCACAAGAATCCACACCAAAATCACAAAAGCGACCGTAGTAGGATCACGATGGCGTTCTGCAACCTTGCTCGGAGGCCGCTTGTCTAGGTCACACCAACCACATTGCATACCCGAGAGCTGAGCAGTTGAACTAATGCACCATCCATGCAGCATCGGGCTCTGATCAGATGTGGATGCGATAACACAGAGACCAATGAGAAATATATTAATTATGCAATACCGGCACGACCCCTCCTTCAGCTTCCCTACAATATAAAATAGTCGGGATTTCGCTCAGCTAGCCTCCTCGATGCTATTATGTTCGATCACCCTATCGCCACCATGCCAGTAACGTTGTGGACGGGCGCCTTCGTCGCCCTTACGAGTGTGTACATTTTCATCTCACTTTTGACTCGCAAGAGCAAGCATCCGCCTCTACCTCCCGGTCCTCGACGAAAGCCTATTGTGGGTAATCTTTGGGATTTGCCCGACCCAGACCAGCAAGATTGGCAGCACTGGCTGAAGCACAAGGATCGCTATGGTACGATCAAGCACTCAAGTAACTCCGAAACGAAGGGCTGCATGTCTGACTGCCAACAGGCCCGATCAGTTCCCTTAGCATCATGGGCCAAACCATCATCGTCTTGAACGATGTCCGACTAGCGGTGGAACTACTCGAGTCACGATCGTCGATCCACTCCTCGCGTCCACAGCAACACTTCGCAGAGATGTGAGACAACAAGACCTACCTTAACAGTATTGCAGATCAATTGATGAATTGTACAGGGCGGGCTGGAACAATGTCCTCGGAGCGGTGAAGCAGTCTCAGCGCATCCGAGCAACGCGCAAGAACCTGCATAGGGAGATCGGATCCAACAATTCGGTCGCTCGATTCAATGAGATTCAGGTAGCGGAGGTGGGTCGGTTTCTACTGAGGGTACTGGATGCGCCGGACAAGTTGATGCAGCATATACGCAAGTGAGTTACCCCTTACCATACATCGGTATCAACCACCAAGACTGAACAATAACCACCAGAGAGGCGGGCGCAATCATCCTAAAAGTAGGATACGGATATACCATCGAACCGCATGTTCAAGACCCGCTGGTTGATCTGGCCGACAAGGCCATGGAGGATTTCTCGATGGCCATGCTCCCAGCCACATGGGCAGTGGACTTTTTCCCACCCCGTAAGCCATATCCCACAGCCATACAGGAACAAACCAGACTAACCAGTTGATTAGTGAAGTATCTTCCAACCTGGTTCCCAGGTACAGAGTTCATGAAGATCGCACAACGCTATCGGAAGAACGTCACGGCATTCAGCGATATCCCTTATGCATTCGTGAAGGACCAAATGCTTACTGGCCGCTTCGTACCGTCTTTTCTCTCCAACCTCCTCGAGAGCAGTGCTTTCGAGCCCGGATCCGAAGAAGAGAATACTGTCAAGTGGTCTGCTGGATCGCTCTACGCCGGGGGAGCTGATACGGTAAGGACTCCCCGTCCTGCTTGCTTCCGATCCAATGCCGTACTTACTCTTGGATAATCAACAGACCGTCTCCTCCATAGCCAGCTTCTTCCTCGCAATGGCCCTCTTCCCCGAAGCGCAGCGCAAAGCACAGGAGGAAATTGACACCGTAATCGGAACAGACCGACTGCCGCAGTACAAAGACCGGGAACAACTACCTTACATTAACGCATTAGTCAAAGAGACGCTCCGATGGCATCCAGTCGTACCTATGAGCGTTGCACACGCCTCGACCGAAGATGATGTCTGCGAGGGATACTTCATCCCCAAGGGATCGTCGATCCTTGCCAATATATGGTCAGTTCGCCCTTTTACCCCCTCTGAGCCATAAAACTCTCACCACCAACTAACATCACTGAAACGCATACAGGGGCTTCACCCACGACCCAGCCGCCTACCGCGACCCTATGACCTTCAAACCCGAACGATTCCTAGGCCCAAAACCAGAGCGAGATCCCCACTTCCTTGTATTTGGATTCGGTCGTCGCATTTGTCCGGGGAAGACTCTAGCTGATGTAAACGTGTATTTTACCATCGCCCAAGCCCTAGCTGTCTTTGAGATCTCGAAGCCAGTAGAGAATGGGAAAGTCAAGGATATTCGACCGGATTTTCTGCCCGGTGTGATCAGTCACCCAGCGCCGTTTAATGTGTCTATTCGGCCGAGGAGTGCGAAGCATTTGGAAATGCTTCGGTCGTTGGAGGAGAAGTATCCTTGGGAGAAGAGTAATGCGGAGGATTTGGGGAATGTGCAATATTGAGAGGTGAAGGTGGTGGAAAAGATTGTTTCAAGGTCAGTGGGCTGAGACAGTGGTGGCTGAGCTGTTGTATGTCGGCTGAGTAGAGAGTATATTGTGTCTTTGACCAATTAAGGCCATCGGATATAATGTTACAGTAGTATCTATATAGGGATATCCTATCCAATGCACCTGTAAGCAAGGGGATGTCATATACCAATCACCAACAAGCAGATGCACACGCCTTATGACTTCGTCTCCTCAGTATTCGGCCGTATGAGCCCCTCCATCAACCACTCATCGAACAAGAATTCTGTCGCAGTCGGTCGATCCTCTGCATTCCACTGCAAGGCCTTCCGAAGCCACCGGAAGAGTCCCTCTTTATTCTCCCCTGGAATATCGGCACCTAAACTTTCCAGAGAAATTTCCGGAATCGGCGCCAAGTCCTTCCAACTTCCTAGAGATATCTAGTTAGACTCGACTCGGATTGCAGAAGAATCTGGTCTCACCCTGTTCATCCCAGAAAACATAAGCCAGTTTGCACCGCTCGCGGAAACTAGCCGGAGGGGGCCCCATGAGTGCCATCATCTCCGCAAGATGCACTCGGTCATCGAAGATGCCATCTGCGTTTCTGCCGTCGAACATGTGGCGAGGGCTTACGATGTCCCATGCTTACAATAAAAGAATCAGCATAGAAACAGGGTGTAGACTATTTTTTGAGAGGGTATCTTACCACCATAGCAACGTTCCAAATATCGACCTTATAGTCCCAGTTCTCTTTCAAAACGACTTCAGGCGTTCTGTACATATTCGGCATAATGTCGTCACTGTTCTCGACATCACTAAAGCGGGCTTCGCCGAAATCACATAGTAGGGGTAGACCACTCCATCCGGGGTTGTAGACAGTAGATAGGTAGATCGTTCTGTCTTTGAGCACCTTTCTAGGTGATGGACCATTGACTTCCCGCTCTTCGAGATCCTCGAGTGTCTTAGTATCTGGGACAGGGAGAAGCAAGTTCTTCAATTGAAGATCTTTTCTTGGATTAGTTTAACAGTTAGGATCGTAGAAGTAGGTTTTTTACCGGTGTGCCTATATGAGCAGCAGAGTGCAGAAAGTCCAGAGCGATCAATAGCTGCCTGATGCAAGACTTCATCTCGTCCAGAGTCATAATTTTCCCAGGGATGTATTTTTGCAGGAGGGTATCTGCACTCATACCCATAGGTTCATGAACGAGACAAACATGAGGTGATCCTACAGAAAATCTACAGAAAGAGCATAATAATGTTATAATTACGCAATGTTGTACAAAAACACCGAGAGAAATGCAAGGATAGCACACATTAGGCAACCGAGACTTAATATGAGCCCTTACCGGCTGCTATATAACTTTTCTTAAAGTTCGCATCTTCCTCTCTTTAATACACATACCGGAACCTCGTGTTCTCCTTATCAGTCAGACCAGCCCACTTGGCCTCATCCACCATCGAATCCTCCACCTTACCGTACCGGCTATCCCGTCTCCGATTCTCCCACACATAGTATGCGAACAGCACGACAGACATGACAGCTGCCGCAGCCTGGGTGGCCAGAACCGCAATTTTCGCGGGACGGTATTCAGGGGCATCGCGGGCCTGGAAGGTCTGAGGCCCGATGATGTTTCCGACCGAGAAGGAACCGGCAATCAGAGCACTGCTGAAGGCGCGCTTGGTGTGACCGGCACAGTTGGCCATGGTCCACTGGTACAGGATGGGAAGGGTGGCAACAATGGCATTGACCAGGTAGATGCCGATGAGAACACCGGCCTTGTTGCTCTTGGGAAGAAAAGAGAGGAGGCCACCGCCGATAATGCCGGGGATAGTGCAGAAGGCGTTCCATGCCCAGCGGTGGGAGGTCCTGCGGATACCAAAGCCAACCAGGAGGGTGAAGAAGATACTGACGATGCCGGAGGGCATGTTGAGAAGGGCGGAGGTGGGACCGGAGTATCCAAATCCGGAGATGAGAGTGGCGGAGTAGGTGGTTACGACACCGCTAGAAACAGAGATCTGGCACGAGATTAGGTTGAAGTAAAGAGTAACATGGAATAGGATCATTCTTACGAGGATGGTGATCAAGACCAACAGCCAGAGCTGAATGTCAAGCACAGCTTCCCAGATCTGCTTAAGGTTGATGGTGCTACTCCACACTCCCGTCTGGTTGACACTGACGTGCTGCAGGAGAGCCACCTTTTCTTCCTCAGACAGCCACTTGGCCTTCATCGGGGTGTCGGGAATGAAGAGCAGAGTGAGAACACCAATCAGCACAGTGGCCAAGCCAATGACCAGGAACATGATGCGCCATCCGGCAAGGGTGGCCCCGTGGTGAACATGCTGAAAGCCAAAGGATACTAGACCACCGATGATCTGGGCTACTCCCAAACCATTATACCAAAGGGTGAAGCGAGGTGCCTGCTCGCTTTTTGTATAGTATTGACTGCTGATGAGCATCAGAGAGGGTCCAATCGTGGCCTCGAAGATACCCAAGAAGACACGGGCAGTGAGGAGGGTCGCATAGTTTTTGGCGCCTGCGGAGGCTGCAGCAGCAACTCCCCAGAGGGCGACATTCGCACCGAGCCACTTGGCGGCGGGAACTTTCTGGAGGCAGTAGACTGATAGTGAATAAATATTAGCACGGTATTTATTTATGTTGAGGTTTTTGGTACATGGACATACTATTGGGAGCCTCGGCGATCAGATAGGCCAGGAAGAACCACGTTGCGGTGTTGGTGTACTCATTCCCCGCGAGGTGCAGTTCCGTTTTCATTCCCATGACGGCAGCATACTGTGTCCCCCCTTGCGTCAATGAGGGGTGTGTTGGCTGGAAGCTTGCGACGACTTACGTTAAGCATGACCTTGTCCAAAAATTGCAGGATATAGCAGGAGAACATGAAAGGTATCAAGTGCCAGTCAATCTTTCGACGCAAAGCCCGCAGATCGATCTGAGAGCTGTCGGGGCCGGCCGCATGGCCCTGAAGATATTCCACAGCGTCGTCGGTGCGATCCACAGGCAGAGCCTGTGAAAAGGCACCCGGCAACTTCTCCTCCATGTTGTATCTATGATCTGGTCGTCGAAGGACAAAACAGAAACAAAAGAAAAGAGAAAAGACAAGGGGGGTTGCGGGAAAATAATCGAAGAATTAGAAGCAGTCAGAGAAAGGAATGCCGGGATGGGAGGTTACATGCAGGATCCTGCAGGCAAAAAACCACGGGAAGTGCAACCGGATTGGCCGCAGGGATACCATTGGGTTCCAGTAGTTATAATATATTTGTCAAGATAACTGCCTGGCCACTTCATCTTGCAGAAGTTTGCAAATGCTCTAAAGTCTACGCTAGACCAGGGCTCGAGATTTTAGTGCGCGCGATTCTGCCCGGATTCTTCTGGTCGCCGAAGGATTTTGATTGCGAACCCACCAGGATTCATATCATTGAGTACGGTTTTCTCGGCATGACCGAAGTTAATGGCTGAAGGATCATGATTCTGAACCCTCCTTCAGCTCCAAGGACAAAATTTACCCCTTGTTGTAGGGCTTCAGCATGATCCTGCGAAGCTCAGGATCGAAAAACTCCCTCCAGCCAGCGCACATCACGACTTGCATAATCACTACGCAAATATCCTCTCTTCCTCATGCCTCCTCTCTCTTTCTCCTTGACTTTCTACATTTACTGCCAGTATGGGCTGGGTGCACCATGCCTCGCCTGAAGTGGAGGCTGAGTCGGAATACCGCCTGATTTTAGGGGTATGCCTGGGCTTGACCTTGTTGATGGTTATCACTGTCTGCCTGCGCCTAGCAATTCGATTTAATGCCCGCCGATTGGAAGCGTCCGACTTTGTGATGCTGGTGACTATGGTGGGTTGCTTTTGGTAGTAGACGATACGACCGCTAACTAGTGTCAGGCCTTCAGTATCATATACAGCGCACTGTGCATCGCTCGTGAGTCGAACAAGCTTCCAGTACACAACAAATGCTAAGAATCAGTAGAAAGCAGATATGGTCTCGGATTGCCCTTGTCGCTGCGCCCCAAGGCAGACCTTCCGGATTACACAAAGGTATGCGCTGTGCCTATTACGATCGAGACAGAGTATTGATAAACACCAACAGCTCAATTATGCCGGTCGCCCATTCTATCAACTCGGAATCGCTGGATTTAAAGCTTCCCTTTGCCTCAACTATTTGCGATTGATTTCCGGAACGTCCAAGAATTACTACCGAATCCTCATATGGGCCGTAATAACCATCTCGACACTTGGTCATCTTGCGGGAACGTTAGTTCTGATATTCGACTGTCAGCCGGTGAGAGAATCTTTCTCCAGTCGCAGTGCTAGGTTGCTGATAAAGCGATCGAAAGGTTGAGCGCGCCTGGAATCCCAACATCTCAGGGTCTTGTCTTCCAGCAGGGCCAACATTTTATGGATTAGCCATCTTCACCATCATCTGCGACATCACCATCATTATCCTTCCCATTCCGCTATTGCTCCAACTGAACATCAAGACAGCACAAAAGGCAGGAGTGGTTTGTCTGTTTCTGCTGGGGCTGTTCACCACGATCTGCTCGATCCTCCGCCTCACACAAATCCATCGGGTGGCTTATGGCGATGGAAACTCGACCATGTTGGTGCTGTGGGGCACAATTGAGTTCAACGTCGGGGTGAGTTTCTACGAGAGAGAGAACAGGATGATGCACCGAGCCACTGACTAATTGAATTAGAACATTGTAACTTGTGTTCCCTTTCTCGCCCCTCTGCTGAAAGGTGCGGTGCGCGATTTCCGATCGTACAGTGGTCGAAAAGGGTACGACAGCCGGAGTTATGCTTTGCAGACCTGGTCAAAGGATCCGCGCTCGCAGTTACGGTCGACAACTTCGGCGGCGCCGCAACCCAAACGCACGCCCAGCGAAGAGCTTATCCTCGAGAGTGGGGGCGCCGACGAGGGAGGCATTCATATGACGGTGGAGCTGCGCGTGTCGCTGGAGAAGAGGCCAACAATAGAGGCCAAAGAGTGATGCCCGTTCTCTTGCCGTCGACTGATGGCGCCATTCCTTGGAAACCAATCTCTTAAACTTTCGTTATGTATATTAATCACTCACTGGGTCTTCCTCTTTTTCTCGCCCTATCAAGCGCAGCTTTCCGGCGATTCCTGAATAGTGCAATGCAGGAATCTTAGTAGGTGCTTAGCACTACGGGATTAATAGTGCTTACGCTTCTCATGATCAAACCAGACCGGGATCATACTGGGCCGATGTAACAGAGATAAGCCAATGGAGTCGAGCAGAGCAGGCCAGACCAACCGCCCCCGACGGGATCTTCCCGGCCATCAAGCCCAGCTCCATCCAGGAGGAATCCTGTGCGTCCCGTGAAACCTTAATGTTGGTCCACTCGGGAAGTCATCCCCGGGCGGCCACCGAGCTGTGTTCCGCACACGCCAGCTGGCCTGTTGGTGAGAAATGGGTAATGTGGCCGCCTAATTGAACCAGTAACTGGACATTAGTGTCTGGCCGGTGTGCTAGCTAGCTACTAGAGAGTTGACAGCACTATCAGAATGGGAATGATCCACTGCGGACGGACTGTGACAGATTGACACCGGAGAAGGGACCGCGGTGGTAGGGCTAGAGACCGGCGCTAAGGTCTCAAGCACGACGCCGTCCCCCACGCGATGCCGGCCTAACATTCTTAGTGCTGTTAAGGCTCTTTTAGGGCCGGCCTTGTTTCACCTCACGCATTAGACTGGCACGAGACATCCAATGTAACTTTATTGCGTCGTTATTACGGTTTAATTATGATTAAATTAAGGTTGGCAGAGGTTTTCATTGCCTAATGGCATGCTGTATCCCAGCTACTGGTCGTCAACTTTACCAACCTTGTTCGTTGTCCTCAGCAGCGCAGATACGAGTCTCTGACTCCTTGCATATACAAGGTAATGATACTTCCCAGAAGCAACCCTTAGTTATCAGTGAATGCGCATCAATCTCATCGAGCACCTCCCCTAATCTAACTGCAGATAATAGGCATAAATTATTCAGAGACAAACACGAGCTTTAGCACCATCAAGCCCTAAGGCCAGCCAACTAGTATGGTTTTGCCGGCCTGACCCCATCCCAACAATGCCTCACATTCTCTTCCCATTGGCACATTCCCATACGATAACGGTTCCACCAATCCAATTCCTGCGCACCTGCCACATAAGTCACCGTCCGATTCCAACCGGCCCTTGATTACAACAGCATTACAGCGATGCGTCTTCAGGTAAAAGGGTCAGGGGATGAACCCGTGTTCCCGTGGAACCGAACATCCGTGCCTCTTCGCTGCCCCCATTATGGCTGATCTTCCCGTTCTCATCGTCGGTGCAGGCATCAGTGGCCTCCTTCTGGCCCAGCACCTCCAGAAGATCGGTGTCCCTTACAAGATCTTCGAGCGCGATGCCGCTATCGATGCACGAAGCGGGGGTTGGGGATTGACGCTCCATTGGGCGCTCCCTGCACTACGGGAACTCCTACCGGATGACCTTGTGCAACGCCTCCCAGAGGCATATGTCAACAAAGCGGCTGCTGCCCGCGGTGACACCGGTCGCTTTTCGTTCTTCGATCTTAAAACAGGATCAGCGTTGTACAGTGTCCCCGCTGCGGAGCGCATTCGGGTCAGTCGCGTTCGACTGAGGCAGCTGGTGGCCACGGGGCTTGATGTTCAGGTAAGACTATTTTCACTGCCTAGTAAGATGGGATGGAATGAAATCATCCTTCACTTTCGGGCCCTCTGACTAGAACTGTAGTGGAACAAAACTCTCCAAAACATCGAGTCCTCCGCCGACACCGTCACCGCGCATTTCGCAGACGGCACCTCCTACACAGGGTGCCTCTTGATCGGCTGCGATGGATCGCGATCCCCCACCCGCGAGATCTTGTACCCGGACAGCCATGAGATGAATCCACTACCGGTGCAGATCCTCGGTGCAGCTACTCTATATACAGCAGAGGAGATGGCCGGCGCAGCAGAAATTGATCCGTTCATTTTCCAGGGCTCGCATCCTGAATCCAACGTCTTCCTGTTCTTCAGCAGTATGCATATACCACCCTCCTATCACGAACCAACATCTGCACAAGAGCTAACTTGGAATTCGTGAAATAGTCCTCGACAACCCCAACAACTTCGCAGAAAGCAGCAAGGACAAATACGAATGCCAAATTATAATATCATGGGCAGATTCCAAGGACATCGCAGTCCCCAGCGACAACAGGGAGCGAATCGCCCTGATGAAATCATTGGCCTCGAACTGGGCGGAGCCATTCAGGACCCTGGTCTACGGATTACCTGAGGACACGGAGGCACGGTCAATCCGCATCGCGGACTGGATGTTCCGACCGCTGCAGAATCGCTCACACCCTAGGGTTGTGTTGATGGGTGATTCGGCGCATACGATGACTATGTGTATGTCCATACAATGCTGTGCTGTGCTGGGTGAGAGGAGTGCATGCTGACAGTGATATATAGACCGCGGAGAGGGGGCTAACAATGCCATTGTCGACGTACTGGATCTGACTAGGCGTGTGGACATGCGTTCACTAGGGTGAGTATCAGCGCTTCGCGGGATATACTACTAGATACTTACCACTCGTCCAAACAGATCCATGTCGACACAAGCACTGCGAGATGCATTGGACACCTACGAGAACGACGTCTTCAGGCGCGCGGAGCCCAGCGTGCTTAACTCGCGTCAGGCCTGTGTCGACGCTCATGACTTCACGCGGATCTTGGACGAGAGTCCACTGGTATCAGCCCGGGTGCTGAAGGAGGATGCCACGGAGCAGAAATCCTAGCTGAGGTCCATCCAAGGAGTCGCAGAGAACCAGCATAGAACAATGAACCTGCGTTCAATAAATCCAAGAAAATGAAAATGATATGCATCACCAGAACAAATAGAATGTACAAGGTACCAGACCTATTTAACATACACTACTATTAACCCCAACGAAGAAACAACAACGTTATGCGACATGACCATGCCCATGCACGATACCTCCCCTCATGCAACCCACACATTCATATAGAATCATCACCGCCCACCCAGCCCCTCATGCGGCGCCCGACCAACCTTCGGTTCTCCAGGCTTCCCACCCCTAACAGCCTCCCGATCCCCATCCGAAACGAACATCGAGCGCCCAAGCTTATTCTCCCCATCAATAGCCTGCTGGTCTCCCTCGGGAGAGGACCTCTGCTCCTTGCTTGGCGACTGCATCCGGAATGTGAGCAAGGCGCCGGAGATAACCGCGAACATGGTTAGGAAGGCGGTATTCCGGGACCTATCAATCCATCAGATATCATTAGTATACGATGGTGTAGGTAAAGGGATAAGATGTGGCTCACTTGGCTCCGGATGACATGCCATTTCCGTAACTTAGACTTGGGTTCGGCATAATTAATGGTTTGGAGGTTAGTTGATGATGTATGCAGTATGTACCTAGTGACCAATAATGGCTGTTACTGTTGGGAGACAATACTAGTACTTGTTGTTTAGGTCCTCTTATATTTGAATCCGGACAGTCGCCACGATGACACAACCATGACTGCGGTGGGATGTAGGTTTGGCCAGACTGTGTTTAGCTTTGGTGGGTAGTGTGTAAGGTTTGAAGTGGTTTTGAATTGGGAAGATGATTCCGGCGGCTGAGCTCGGATGCTGTAGATTGATTCATTGTAGTTGATTTACTTGCAGGATTTGTTGGTATCTGTAGAGTTATATGTCCAGACTGGGTTACGCTATTGATTGTTTTGGGATTCTTGTTGGAATTGTTATGGGCGGGAGAGCTAGATCGATCCGTGGTAATGACCGGGGGTGACAAGCGTAGGCATTGAGTGAGGGAACTCTCTAACTCAATAAAAACAATTAGATCGTTGCATCAATTTATTTTGTATCAAATGAGGTGGTTGTATATCGGATGTGGCCAAAAAAAAAATGTAAAATGATATGACAAGAGTGGGATTCGAACCCACGCCCCTTTCGAGACTAGGAATGCTCCGAAGGAACATGTCTGATCAGATAGCCTGACCCTAGCGCCTTAGACCGCTCGGCCATCTTGCCTGTTGCTTGAAAGATGCTGACTGCTTTGGCTATAGGAGCTCCTCCACTATCCACAGCGCGTAGGGAGGTTCAAGCTTGTCGCATTCACATGCTACAAACAATGCATGATGCTACGAGGTGCGTGTTTTATTACGAAATAATATATGCATATTGTAAGACATAGTGTTGATCTAATCTCAATGATTGACAGTCTAGTGTGTGATGGTTCGATGATGGATTGACTAGGCCACTGACCTGGATGATGAAACCGATGAAATGTATATATTTCGGGAGCGCTTTCTGGGATGCTTATTGGTACCAGTAGCAACCCCCAAGCCCCAACTGGATGCCCTTGTCGAGCGATCATTCTAACATTCAGCCCCATCCGACACATACTTGCGGCAGCGCTAGTAGTAGGTATGCGCGAGTACAGATTGTGATGTAGTCGAAATTGATCGAATGTAACCCTACAAGAAACTATCGGATATATAGCAATAGTATCGGCTGCTCGCGACCAAGGACGATTTCCTACGTAACCCAAAAATTTCCCATAAATGCACATAGAGATAACGTAGCACGCATCGGATCGGACAGCATTAATATCGAGCGGAGATAGACTCTCTCCGCTGCAGGATGCGCCGTGAGACATTGATTGTATACCCATTTAGGAAACTCACAAGGAGGATAGTGGGTCGCCGAAGAGATTTGCTGTGCAGGCCGGTTGACGATGACAGAAGGAGAATACGCTGTACATCATATTATCTTCCGTTATCAGCAGAAATAGAACATAGTATCCATGATCGACGGCAGAAAAGAGACTAAAGGGGTAAAGGGGCCAGGAACAGGAGAGCTTCCCTCTCTTTGCTACTCCACCCCTAGGCAGGCACCAGCACAGTTTCGAAGAGTAGTTCATGAAATCCACTCGGTCGGATCATCACCGTATCTTTATTCTGGCTTGGCCGATTTTTGAGTGTACACATCGAAGTGAGGATCGAGGATCAATGTGGACGGCAACTGCGACCATAGCCAGAATTGAGGTAATTTCCAGGGAACAGCTAGCGCGCATATATGCACTAGCCAGCTAAACCACCCATACACAATCAACACCTTCTGATAGTAGCTAGTAGCAACGGCACCGGAAGAATTGCGAAGATGGCACATTAAGTTTCCAATTAGTCAATGCGAGATTGGGATGAATGTTGAGCATTGTTCGGAAGCAAGTATGGCTGCTAGTCTTGGCGACGCTGCGATTTATTGAGAAGTCTCAATTCTCGCAGCCAGTGCGAAGAAAAACCCCGGGGAAAGGAAAAGTGGCCAAGCAGTGCCAATGTGCGCCTTTTGCTTGGATTGACTCAGACGCGTCATCCCAGTTCTGCCAGTGCGAGATGTGATTTGCATTGTCAAATCAATCGCACCACAATCCAGTCTCCAGCACGCCTAGCTCGGGAACAAGCACGAGCCAACAGGGCCAAACCCCCTCATGGCATGTTATTTAGTCCAACGTTCGCTAATTTATTTGATGCATCGACGGTCTGAAAGCAGCAGTCGAATTGCCAGGAGGCCTGCCTAGCTTGCGCACGAAGGGCTCGTGCACCACGCGATGCATTCAACGGTCAAAATAAGAGTATGAAAAGGATCAAATATATTGAATCCTGCCGTTCCCACCGGATGTTTTGCTCTTGGCATAAGAGGGGAGGTGAGGGGAAATGAGGAGGCGTGAGGGGAAATACGAACCCGCTGACTAAATGAGCCCCTGAGCTCCTTGGACTTTGACCACGAGGCGTAGGATGGAGCTATTCATAGATGTCGTCGGGGGTTGGCCCTTCTGCTTCCTTTGGCTTTGATTGTGCAATTTCAGCTAGGCTCTTGTCGCCATGGTGGAAGAAGTCCCAACCAATTACTCGGGACGCCGCCTCTCAAATTTCTGGCTGGGAGGGACACTAACTAGTACCCCAGAGACTAGTACTATGTAAAGGGGTGGTCGACGACAATAGAGCACATGTGATAGGATCCCCCAGGCCTCCCAAGGACTTGGTAATTGGGGCGATCTTTTATGGGCAAGGCGGGGCGACAGTCCGAAAGGGAGGTGAGCCTCGATGTTGTCTTTCAACTGGCCAGCCTAAAGAACGCCACCAGACCAGACATAGTACTAGTCACGCAAAAATTTCACTCCACTGCCTGCCAGTCATCCAAACAAAGGCATTGGGGAAACAGAAAAGGCTATTGAGCTCTGGTACACTTTTTGTGCTTTTTTCCAAACTCTCATGACCACCCCCGCCTGGCCTTGCGTCGGTTCGGGAATCTCAGACGAGAGTCTAAATCTCTTCGCCGTGCCGCGCCATCTCTATAGGACACTGACTCGGCACACCCAATCAAGTTATACCACTGAACTCATTACACAAGACATGTAATTAGCCAAGTAGCATCCACACAGATTGTAGCCAATGCCAAAGATTCCATTTGTTGAGAGAGGAGTGTTGGACCACTACAATGGGACCAGGTGGATGTCACTGCGCGGTTTTCTTTTCCAGCTGTGCGCTCCACGAGTGATAGGGCTGAAGAACAATGTCACCACGAACAGACTCAGAACTAGCGAAGATTTTAGAAGGACTAAAAAGGGCGCAACCTGACGCACAGAAAAGGATCATCGTGTTTTCCACGAATCTACGGCATACGGCAAGTCCTCCGTATCTAGTCCGGCCCGCCAAATCCGTAACCATGGATTCAGGGCCGTGTCTGACTCTGTCATCCACCCCCCTGGAGATCCAATCTCCACCAGCTTAGATTGATCCTCCTTCTTGAAAAGGCAAACCGAAAGCAGACCGTGCTTCAAAAAGGTTCGAAGCTTCTTTATCCTCCCGCTTTGTAACCGTGGCGCGTCGTGAGGTGATCACCCTAATCATCCCTTTTTCTCTTACCGGGACTCCGCACCAAGGACCGACCCAACCCGATAGTTGGTTGCGATAAGGACAGGATCGCAATTTGTAGATCAACAAGCACAGGAGCTATTTAGAAACCATCATCGTTGGTGCCTGCGATAGCGCACAACCAGTGCCACCTTGAGTGCCACTCAGAAACGTGGCCGGAAGGCGGAGATTTTTCTACCTGCGCCCGTTTATCGCCACCACAGCCAAGCGCAACACGGGCAACGTAGCTTTCCGACATTGTGAACAGAGTTTTCTGTCAATGTTATTCTTGTTCGACTCCTGGCTCGATACGAGGATCAACACTAGGAACCAAGCAAGACGCGATGAGAAAGAAGTCTGGAACCAGGGACAGGACCGGGGATACCCGACCCATGAAGTAAAAAGTAGCAAAAGTAAAAAAGTACTCCGTACTCCGTACTAGCTGGGTTTCTCGCAGTTTCTTCCATGGCCGAGGATGAAACCCGGAGCCACTTTCTGACTCGCTTGCCGGCTTCCGACTGGCATTGGTCGCCCCACGTGGGCCTGGCAGGAGGATTACTATTATTCTATATTATTCTGGTCTTATTTTGCATAAGCCCACACACTAGACAAGGTCAACGAACAAAGAAAAACAAATGAGAAAAAATCAAATAGGCAAAAAGTACGAAACGACGTGAACCCTGATCCTTTGCCAAGACAGCTACTGAGATAGCCTCTTTTTCTAAGGCAGCGAGTGGTTCTGATGCCGAGAAATCGAAACCATCACCGCTTGTAGTTGTCTGACGTCCTTGACATAGCTCATGATGGTCCAGTAGCCCCAACCGAGGCCCCAGCCAGCAGCAGTAGTCATTATCAACCGGCCGATAGGGATTTTCATGCCAATAACAAGCTTCGGTGGCGTTTCTAGGGTTTTCCTCTAGCGCTAGAACCATTGGGACCATCGCATGGAGGTCGCATTCTGAGCCGTCTCCAGGGGGACTATTGCCCTCTTATAAAGCTTGGTTGAGACTAGAAGAGGCGCCGTTCGGTGCGGAGGTTCAGATGGACAGCTAAAGGAGCCAAGCTCGCTCCCAAAACCTCCTAGGTGGAGAAGGACCCCCCAGTCGTCACGGAAGATGATAACTCCTTTCGGCACATGCCCGAACCCGCCCCGGTAATTGCACTGAGTCGTTTCCGTAAAATCCGTCGAATCCACGGTACCCTCGATCGACACTTGACGCGACGTTCCTAATTGGACTTAGAGCGGGTGAGGGCTCCTGGCCACGCTGCCTGCAAGGACCAACCCCAGGGGGTGGAAGGACACAGCGGTTATATAGGTCAAATGCCGTCGGTGGAAAGGAAGCCTGAAACAATTCCACCCCCGGTCACCTTTCCCCATCATGCTGTCCCTGGCGATCCAGTCCTTGCTGTACGAGGCAGACGCCCATGCGGCCAATCCGGCCCTGCAGCGTCGCTCGTCCTCGTCGAGCACCCAGGGCGAGGCTGTTATGAGCCCACTGCCGAGTTTGCAGACCAAGGGCTTGATCGTTATCTCGGCGCTGGCCACCGTCTCACTCATTTGCACTCTTTCCTTGTTGACATTCTTTACCTATCGTTTTATTTTCTGGAAACGGCACTACAAACGTTACATCGGTTACAACCAATATGTCGTGCTCATGTTCAACCTCATTCTGGCTGACTTCATCCAAAGTCTGGGCTTTATCATCAGTCTGCGATGGATCCAGACCAACTCGGTGACGGCCGCAGACCCTGCATGCTTCTTGCAGGGCATCTGGCTGCAGATTGGTGATCCCATGAGTGGTCTGTTCGTGCTCGCCATTGCTGCGCACACTTTCATGCACGTCACCTTGGGCTACCAGATCTCACACCGTCTTTTTGTTTCCATCATTTGTGGACTCTGGCTCTTTGGGGTCATCACGACCGTCATTCCGATCGCAGCACACGGTCGATACGTCTGGTATCCGGCTGTAGCTTGGGTGAGTTGATCATCTCTTTACAATATCTTCATAAGTCACTAACTTTCTCCTACTCTAGTGCTGGATGACCCCCAAGTACGAGTCGATGCGTCTGTGGACTCACTACTTTTGGATTTTTGCCTCGGAGTTCTTCACCGTCGTCCTGTATGCGATCATGTTCCTCCAACTGCGCAAGAGAATCGCCGAGTCAGCTATTCTGGGCGAGCACAACTCCGAAAGTCTGACCCGACTCAAGCGTGTCATTTTCCACATGGCGTTATACCCCGTCGTGTATATCTGCCTTACCTTACCTCTTGCCGCAGGTCGAATGGCTTCTGCCAGTGGTCACTCCCCCAGCGTTCTCTACTTCTGCTTTGCTGGATCCTTCATGACTCTGTGTGGCTTCTGTGATTCCCTCATGTACACACTGAGTCGCCGCAGCGTGGTGCTGGAGCCCGAAGCCAGGATCCATGGCAGCAGCAACAAATACTCCAGCCGACCGAACAAATCCTCGGTCGCACACCACTATGGCAATAGTATCGATGGCAAGGGGCCGACCAACACCACGATTGCGCGCGGTCGCAGCGATTCCACCGAGGAGATGATCGGCAAGGATGGGTTGGAGCTGGCCCCGATGGGAGTGGTGCTACAGCACACGACGATCGAGGTAACTCATGAGGCAGCCTATGATTCGGCATCGAGCAATCTGAGTGGCCAACGTGAGCGAAGCAGCATCTACCATTAGACTCCTAAGCTGCCCTGATGATTCTACACCTTCTTTATTTTGAGATTACCGGTCGAACACCGAACACCGGCTTATAAGATTTTAATCAAGTCGCATTGCCAAACTACTACACGACCAGTTGAGAAACTGTGTTCTCATTCCTTTGCATCTGCGACAACCCGCCTCGCGACAGATATGCGAGCATCGTGCGCCCGCAAGCAATCGTCGGTGACCGATTTGCGACCGACGCGGGCATTGCCTGAAGGTCCCTCCGTACACATTAGAGGAACGAAACCCTCACTGGGTTAGCGACGACCCAGCTCCGCCACTAGCTGGCGCGGTCAGACCACATGCGCCGCGAAATACATTGGAGTTTATTACGAAACCAAAGCTCATGGCGATAAAATGCCAATTACAATGGGCAATTCTTCCAACTCCTAACCGATAACCCAAGCCAGACAGGCTTTGCAACGCTTTGACCTGCGCTGGCCACGCAATGAATGACAATGGCCCCCATGCTAATAATCCTCGGGGATAATGATTTTGGCGGAGGACAGCAACATCTGCCATCTACACTTCACTGTACATATTTCCTTACTGTCATGATACAAGTACAAACGAATGTAAACAATAAACATTATTACAATGATGCTGTACCATACATCATAAACTCGGAACATAGCCGAGAAGCCAATAGGAATGAACCCCATAATCGGGTTGTCCCAAACCCCGCACGGAGACAAGATCTAAGGTTATCTGCATCTTGTCCCCCTTGCTTACCGTCTTACCCTCATCTCTACTTCTCATTTACCTGCTTAAAGAATAGACAACATGTACATGAAAGAAATCTACACCGACTCCACCCCCTCAACCCTCCACACCTTCATCCAACAAAACCCCCTCGGCGTGCTCACCACCGCCATCCCCTCCCCTGCACACCCATTACTCCAATCCACCCACATCCCCTGGGTCCTCGACATTCCTCCTCCTCCCACCACCACCACTGACGATACCAACAACAAGATCAAACTCCGCGGCCACATCGCCCGCGCCAACCCCCAATGCGCCGCCATCCTCGACTCTCTAGCCACCCAGTCTGAATCCATCCTCCCCACCGAAGTCCTCATCCTCTTCACCTCCCCCTACCACAGCTACATCACCCCGCATTTCTACACCACCACCAAGCCCCAGACCGGCAAAGTCGCCCCGACATGGAATTACGCCGCCGTGCAAGTCTACGGCCGCGCGCGGATCTATAATCCCCGTTCAGAGAGTGAAGGGGGTCAACAGGCCTCGATGTTTCTGGATAAACAGCTTCGTGATCTCTCAGCACATTGCGAGGGGAATATCATGAGGTATACTACTACCACCAGCACCAGTGATACTCAGAACAACCCGGAAGAGAATTCATGTCCACGAGCATGGACCGTCGACGAAGCGCCAGAAGCATACATCAACATCCTGAAGAAGAACATCGTCGGGATCGAAGTGACCGTGGAGCGCATGGAGGGGAAGTTTAAGATGAGCCAGGAACGAGGGGAAGGGGATCGGGAAGGGGTACTGAGGGGTTTGGATGGGATGGAAGGGGATGTTGCGAGGGGAGTGGCGGGGATGGTGAGGAGTTATGCTGCTGGAGATAGATAGAGAATGGGTGTGGATGGAATATGAGGGGTAAGTTGGGGCAAGAGATACATCAACGGCAAGATGGCCGAGCGGTCTAAGGCGCTAGGGTCAGGTGTATCTGATCAGACATGTTCCTTCGGAGCATTCCTAGTCTCGAAAGGGGCGTGGGTTCGAATCCCACTCTTGTCATATCTTTTTGCATTTTTTCTTTTCACACCTCCCGGGTAGGAAGAACACTGTAGAGTTAGATCAAGAATAGATTTTATGATCGTCTTTTTCGTTGAATTTGATGTTGTTGACTTCCTTTATTCGCGATGCCTTGTGTATCATGATCGCTGGCGAGATGACAAATGATATATTTATCACCAGTCAATTGTACTCGACTCAACGCCTACAATACTAAAAACGGCTGATTCACGCACACACACTTTTGTATTTTATTCTTGAGAGATTTTGACCGATCACGGCACTGATATCTCCGACAGAAATATTATTTGCATCAGGTGGAAATCAACACAGTTCAAACTCAGATACCTGAGACCCATATGGTCCCCATTGTCACCGGGCAAGTTTCAATCCAAAATCCCAAACAACGGCGGTATAGGAACAGCATCACACCGGGCGCTGTATCCCTCCCAGGGACAAAACAATAGCCCTTATTCTGTTATGAAAACCAGGTACACTTGTGCTGGCTGTTTCGAACCCCACTGTGGCTTACAGGACATGCTTGGACAGAGCGCTTTATCATTCCCCCCTTAGAGCTTCCTATATCAATCAAGTCGCGGCTTTCCGACGGAGCAGTACAACTTATCACCGAGTCCAGTGACTGTTACTGAAGGAGACTAACATAGACTCTAGCAAACCTAGCACTATCACAAATGATGCCATGAACATGACAACAGATCGGTTTGGCATTTGCCATGATAGTCGCAGTAATCTCTCGTGCACTGATCAAGGAAGCTTTCGACGTGGAATCCCACAGAGTCTGAGCCCTCTGAACAGCCACTGTCTCGAATTATTTTGAATGCAATCGACATTCTGCCAAGCTCATCGCCCCCCTCGTAAACAATTTCCTCCCCCACGACATCTCCCGCATCACCATAACAACTTAACAAGCTTCGTATATTGATAATGCCAAGGAAGGATAGTCGACACTAAAGTCATCTGCTCATCTAGTCGTCTAGTAATACTGCTCTGCGTCATACCAGTGACTCATATCGACTGTTGCCTCAGCCTAATTTTGAGCTCGAGCCACCAGGTACCTAGAGTCAGTGCTAAAGACTGAAGCGAGCGCTCACGGCCGATACGGAGTCCGTCGGTACAATGAACCGAACCAGAGTATGAGATAGCTTCATCTAAAAGATAACCAAAGTGGGCAGCTGTGGTAGTGAAAGTGAACTATCATGGATAAGAGAAATGAGAGTATGAGGCGGTTTGTCACTGGCTTGGGTTCCTCATTAATGGGAAAATTAGCGGAGGGGTGGACTGAGCGTAGGGTGGATAGGATTGGTCAGGAATTTTATCGATATTGGAGAGTGAGATGTAGTGGACCCTGATTTGACTTCTCTCGTGAGGTGAGAATGATCGAACATGCTGCTTCTTGTTTCCGAGATTGAGGGGTTACTTTCTATTTGTAGAGATCGATTGCTAGAATTGTGTATCCTGCATCAAATCTTCCGCTTGTTCAAGTCCGTCATAAGGTCAAGTAAGAAGCCCAGTAAAACTCCAATCACCCCTGTCACGGCGAGCATGATAGCAAAAATCTGCTGATTATAACGGCAGAACTAGCCCCTCGATCCACCTTATACGAAGTGGATATAGCAGTTCACGGCCAGGGTGCGAATCAGGGTCTTGCCAAGAGCTCTTTGATCTCTAGGCGAACGGGCCGATAACCACGAAGGAGGCGCTATTGCCAGGGATTAAATTGCATTGTACTGTGTCAAGGCCCGTTGAACAAGGCTGTGAAACCGGCCAGGACCGACAAACTCAAATGGTCATATGCTAAGCCTTTAATAGCAACTGTCTTGGGTTTGTTCCAGTCGAAGGATGGTTAGCTAAGTAGCCATGACGGCTTATTAACAAACTCTCGTCGACCGCTATATTTGCAGGCGTGGAAAGGCGCCGGATGAGACCATGTTATTGGATAGGGGAGCAAGTCCGCGGTGACTAATGAGGGCAAGATTTAGCGCCGGTCGAAGAATCGGGTGTCTCCGCCTGCATCCGAAGATGCGAGGCCACGCCATCCCACGTTGGGGTGTCGTCACTGCTGGGTTTGCAAGTGGTGAACAGCATGCAGTTGTCATCTCGATAGGTAAATGGCTATGATGTTCATATTGTAGTCAAGATGCCATGTCAGCGGCCATGCTTATGCCAAGAATCATCATTTCCGGTATGACCGACGGAGTAACCCCCCGTCTATCCACTAGTTCGAGGGAGGGAATAGTCTCGCAGTTCTTCTTCCTCCTCGGGGTGGCGGATAGAACAGTTCTTCATTTGATGGTTGCCTGCCAACGACCCACTTGTCTAAGTTTCCCCCTTATGGGATTCGTTGGTTGCCAGACAAGAGCCTCTTCACAGCCCAGCGCTTGTCAGCAAAAAAGCAACAGCCCCAGGGTCTGAAGGCTGACATTGGTGCGGGTCTCTGGCGCTGGATGGCTTTCTGTTAAAAACTCAGGAACAGGCCAAGACGAAGCGACCGCGCAAGGCTGAGCACTTCTCCGACGTCCCCGTGCCCCTCCCTGCGCCTCCCATGGGCAACATTTTTATCCAAATCCATCGTTTCTGCACCGACCATATAAGACGCTCCGCTCCCCCAACTTTCCCCCCGACAGGTTCGCCCCCAACTTACGTGAGAAGGGAAATCATCGCAGCACCACCATGAAGAGCACCACCCTTCTCTCTTTGGCCTGGGCTGCCCAGTCCGCCTATTCCCTCTCTATCCATGAGCGCGATCAACCATCCACGCTTCAGTTCAACTTTGAACGTCGTCAGATCGCCGACCGGTCCCGCCGGAAGCGATCGACAGCTTCGGCCGACCTCGTTAACCTGGTATGTTGACATCCCGAGTCTGAATTAGGGGAATTGTGACGGTCGCTAATGCAGGTCTCTAGGCGACGAATCTTGGCTACACGATGAACCTTACCCTCGGCACTCCCGGCCAGGAAGTCAGTGTGACGTTGGACACTGGCAGTAGCGATCTCTGGGTCAATGGCGCCAACTCGTCCGCCTGCCCCTGTACCGATTACGGCTCCTACAACTCCAGCGAATCTTCCACCTACACCTTCGTGAACGATGACTTTTATATCGAGTATGTCGACGGCAGCGAAGCCACAGGCGACTACGTCAACGATACCCTGAAGTTTTCCAATGTCACCCTGACGAACTTTCAATTTGCCGTCGCATATGACGGCGACTCCGAGGGTAGGTTCCCACTATTCCCTCATTAGTTTAATTCCACAGTTTGCTAACTGCTTCCCATGTAGAGGGCGTCCTCGGTATCGGATACGCCTCCAATGAAGCCAGCGATGCGAGCTACGGTGGTGGTGGTGAATACACCAACTTCCCCGAAGCCCTCGTCGACCAAGGCGTGATCAACTGGCCGGCCTACAGTCTTTGGCTGGATGACCTCGACGAAGGCAAAGGCACCATCCTGTTCGGCGGAGTCAACACCGCCAAGTACTACGGCAGCCTGCAGACCCTGCCTATCGTCTCCATCGAGGACATGTACATCGAGTTCGCTGTCAACCTGACGGCTGTGCACCTCGAGAAGAACGGCAATTCCGTCTCGGTCAACAACAGCGCCACACAGTTCCCCATCCCCGCCGTGCTGGACAGCGGCACTGCCCTGACCTACATCCCGACCTCCGCCGCAGCCAGCATCTACGACGCCGTCGGTGCCACCTACATGAGCGAGTATGGTTACGGAGTAATCGAGTGCTCCGTCAAGGACGATGATTTTACCTTCCTCTTCGACTTTGGATCCTTCAACATGAGCGTTGACATCAGCGAGATGATCCTCGAGACCAGTTCCGACATGACCGACATGAACATCTGTACGTTCGGTTTGTCAGTGATCGAAGATGAGGCCCTTCTCGGCGACACTTTCCTGCGCAGCGCATACGTCGTCTACGATCTCGGCAACAACGAGATTTCCCTGGCCAAGGCCAACTTCGACCCCGGCGAGGACCACGTCGTGGAGATCGGCACGGGCTCCGATGCCGTGCCCAAGGCGACGGGAGCCACAGAAGCGACCGCCACGTCGACGGGCTCGAGCGACAAGTCGGACAATTCGGACAAGGAGAGTTCGGCTACAGTGCCGCGCGGCCAGATTGCCTCGCTGGTGGCGGGAGTCTTGGTTGGAGTTTCCTTGATTTTTTAAATATAGAGATTTCACGTTGCATCTTGATGATATATTATAGACCTTCCTAATTTTGCCCCTTACTTCTTGGAATGTTTTTCTGTTTTTAGCTTGATATCCCATCGTTCGATGCTCAGATATGGAAATGAAAGAAATTCGGAATGCAAGATCTGATCAATTAGTTTGTTTCACTGCCGCGTGGCTGGTCCGATCGACACCAAGCCAGTTAAAAGAGCCAATCATACTTTGTGATGATCTGTCAGCCCCCTTGCTACTATAATTATTCCTCCATTGCCGTTGTGACCTATCTCATTGGCGGTACCCACACCGTTGATGCCGCCCGCGACCGGGGAGTCAACAGCCTGCCAAGATCAGAACTGCCACTTGAAACTTCTTCATACTTTCTTATATGGGATGTGGCTGTACCGAGTCAGTTTCAGTCTTTGTTACAGGACTGAGTATCTTTATGACCTGTGCATGTTATTCGGATGATGACGTAGTGTAACGTTGGTAGGGCATTTAAGGTTTTGTGCCTGTCAACCTCGCCAGTCTTGTCCATCATTATCTCGACGACTATCATTTCGAACCAGTAGTGTTTCCTTCGTCAATCAGAACGTTCGGCGTGGACAGGCTTGAAAGGTTCTCGGAGACGATCGGGAGCAATTTAAACGCCCATCGTATGTGACCAGGATCGCACTAAGGATATCCAATCTCGAATGAAAGGAAGCAAAGCCACGCAGAACCTGGATGGGGCGAAATGAAGCAACGCCGAGCACAGATAAGAATATGATATATCTTCATCCCAACCTTAACCCGACCAGTCTTCTCTTCCAAACAATTTGAAACATTATCGACAGTCACCATGTCGTTCCTCCCCCGCCTCCACCTCTTCGAGATCGCCGACCAGTCATGGTGTCCCGACAAGGCGATCGAATATGCTCAGCTATGTCTTACCCACTGCTGGAATTTGCGCCTACCACCAATCGCCAAGACTTCTTCTGCGGAAGTTGCCTGCGAAGTCCTTGCAGATAACTTCCCCGACCTCTCGTCCTTCACATTTGTCGATTTGGGCTCGGGCGCAGGAGGCCCATCCGCCACCTTTGAGAGACTCCTCAACGCTCGCCTGCGCGCCCAGCATCTCCCTCCGACCGAATTTCTGCTAACGGACCTCAATCCCCACCCTCGCGAATGGGCTACTCTCACCAAACAACAAGAAAACATCTCATATATCTCCGAACCAGTCGATGCGTCAAAATGTGGTCGATTGGTCCCACAAAACCGGAAGGAATGCCGAATGTTCAACGTGGCTTTCCATCATTTTGACGACCCTCTTGCTGTACCCATGTTACGGAACGCGATTGAGTCGGCTGATGCATTCATGTATGTCGTTAAGCCCATACATATATCTTCAAATGGAGTATCAACAAATACTAATGAAAACTCTCAGTATTTTCGAACTCACCGCGCGCGATCTCAGCTCGATGCTAATATTACCAGGCCTGATACTGATCGCATGTCAATACACCCTGCTCCGATTCTGGCGATCGCCCTTACATTTGTTTTTCACATTTATGTTTCCTCTGGCACCTCTGCTCATGGTTTTTGATGGCTTTGTATCTATCATGCGCTGTCGGACTTCGGATGAGCTGCATGACCTGGTCAGACGGACGGATGCACCTGGTTTGGAGAACTGGGAGTTTCGGTCGGGGAAGTCGCCGGTGATGTATCCGACTACGAATGTGCATTGGTTTATAGGGGTGAAGAAGACGGCGAAGTAATTCTGCTGAGAGGCAGTCTGTCTTGAGTCAAGATTAGTTCGGTGCTATGTAGTGGGCTGATGCTATTTTAGAAACCAATAATTTAGTACATTGACAGAAGTCGTATGCTAGGTAAGAATAAAAAATATAACGAGATAATACGATGATTATGGCAATTCTTGCAAATAAAATGCAACTTTCCCTTTCTAAAGTGCACATTGTACTTTTTCATCATTGTCAACGTTTGGGACGCTGTATAGGACCCAAGCCGCGTCGGCGCAGGGATTAGCTGCCATGGACCATTGCTATACTTTAACGCAAATATCAACCATAGAACGGAAGTCGACCAGGCTTCGACATGGTGGCTCTTTGTGATTGGAGAGACGATGTAGCTCTGAAGTTATACATTTTCAGTGCAAGTTAGACCCCCCAACAGCCGATGCCGAGGCCCTAAAACCTACTAGCAGATAATGAGAAGATAAGCACCACTCGGTAACCCCACGTGCTTCCCTGCTTGCCGACGAGCACCTGGAAGGCTCGAATCACAGAACTTCGATGTTAGAAAGTCGAGTGGATGACGCAGAAAAATGCAAGGACCCGGATTGCATCCAGCCTGGGGTACGACTCGCGTCTCCACACTCCATGTAAGCGAGATGATGGCTGCAGCCGAGACATGACAGATGCCCTATCTTGTGGTGCCGTGGCTGTTTCGAATCAAGAAGATGCCCACGTGCACCGATGCTCTGCAGCTGCTGGTACAATCCAACGGTATCTGAGCATGTCGGATACACAATAATGCACAATACAGTGATGGGCATGTATATGGCTTTGCATTTCTTTCCTTCCCCGAGAGCACGGAATGCCTACAAATTGGCATCGCACCCACCCCTTGCTGGTTCTATTACTGACTGAACGGTTTTTTGCCAATAAAGTGGGAGTATCAACATGCACCCGACTTTCACTACCCTATCTATACTGGCAGTGGCCTCTTTAGCTGATGCTGCTGCCATTGAAGCCCGCTCACAGAGCTCAGTTCCACTGACTCCCAGTCCATCAGCTACCACAACCGGAGTTGATTGGTTTCAGACCACGCCCGAGAGCTACCAGGGTATGTGCTTAGTCGTTTTGCAAATTTGTGTTAAGCTGACTTCAGAAGGCACGACTGCAACCGGGGTTGCTCCTTTCTTAGCCGAGACAAATCCTGCCCCGTTTGGACAAAAGACACTGTCTCCCAATGACCCGCTGGAAACAAGTGAGCCGATCAAGGGGGCTGCTGGCCGCAATATTTTCCATCACATGGGCAACTTGAGGTACATCTAATGATGGGTTCTCCATTGCTCTCAATGTTAAGTCCGTTACTGACTCATACAGCCCGTACCATGTACCCGATGGCTTCGGAGTAGATGAATATCCTCTCCCGCAAGGATCTAACATCACCCAAATGCATATGATTCACCGCCATGGTTCCCGGTATCCTTCATCCTCAGAAGGTCTGGCTTCATGGGCCCAGAAGATCATCAATTCTACCGCTAGTGGTAACAACTTCACGGGTGCACTTGCTTTCCTGAATGATTGGGACTACGGACTGGGTCTAGAGATCCTCGTCCCCAAAGGCCGTCAGGAGCTCTATGACAGCGGCGTCCTAAACTTCTACAACTACGGACACCTCTATAATTCCAGCTCGACCCATAAGCTCGTGGCGCGCACCACCACCCAGGACCGCATGCTCAAATCCGCAGAGAACTTCCTTGCAGGGTTCTTTGGCCTTGAATGGACAGAAAAAGCCAACCTGCTACCAATGATAGAAGGTGTTGGCTACAACAACTCTCTCATTGGAACTTACTCGTGCACCCGCGCACTAGAGTACATGGCATACAATGCCACCACACCCCTATCAACATGGAAAAACATCTATCTCAAAGAGCGCACCGAAGCACTCCACACTCTGACTGGATCTTATAACTGGACCACGACCGACAGCTACAACGCGCAGAGTATGTGTGCCTATGAGACCATCAGTTACGGCTACAGCCAGTTCTGCGAGCTTTTCACCTTTGAAGAATTCGAAAACTTCAGCTACTCCTTCGATATCGAATTCTCCAACATGGTCGGATTTGCCTGTCCCGCGGGCCGTGCGCAGGGAATTGCCTGGGTAGAGGAATTTCTCGCCCGTGTGGAGGGCCACTTACTCCAGACTACAGGCACCAATGCCAACATGACCTTGGACACTAATCCCGTGACGTTCCCAACGGATCAGAATCTCTACCTTGACTTCTCACATGATGCGGGTATCGTCGCTGTTCTCACTGCGTTTGGGTTTACGCAGTTCGCCCAGTCTCTGCCTCCTACTGGACCTCCTCTATACCAGCAGTTCAAGGCTAGTAACATTGTTCCTTTCGGTGGACGGACGAATATTGAGATCATTAAGGCGCCTCATAAGGTGGCTGCTACGCGTCCTGCGGGTGATCAGAGAAATGCCTATGTGGATGGCACTGGGGAGACGTTCTACGTTCACTTTTTGCAGAATCAGCGCACGCTGCCTCTGCATTCTAGCTTTGCGGAATGTGAGTATCGCGATGATGGTTGGTGCGAGCTGTCTACCTTTATGAATGTTCAAAAGAAGAGTTTGGAAAGGTCTCAGTTTGAATATGCTTGTTTTGGTAATTGGACGGTCACTGAGTATGGGACTGTTACTGATGGTGTTCCGGTTTGACGCTGCATTTCGATGATGTATCATATAGTGTGAAGCACAGAGGCTAGGGTGGTATAGGCATTCAATATGTGTTGAAATATGAGATGTGAGATTTACAATAGCAGTCCTTGCGTTATATAGCGGCATTGCATCGTTGTGTACAAATCAGTTCTCCGGGACCGGATGATCCGCTGCTTCAACACCTGCATGCCAGCGATATTTTGCGGCCGGATGATCAGCCGGCGGGCCGCTCTGCCCTTCCTTGCCGTAGATGTTTTCGCGGTACGTTCCCTTCTTGACCGTGTAGTCATCCCAGAAGAGGCCTCTCTTACGGAGTTCAGGGATCAGCAAGTCGATGATATCCTTGAAGGAGCCGGGTTTGATAGCATATGCCTGCCCCTGTTAGCAAACTACCCTCTTTAGCATCTCCAGCAACATACCAGATTGAACCCATCCACATCCGCCTCATTCACCCACCGTTCCATCTGATCCGCCACCTGCTCCGGCGTTCCCACTGGCGTGGCACCCAATCCACCCACCGTGATATGTTGACCCACCGTAGCCTTCGTCCACTTCTCGACCTCCGGAGTCGCCTTGGACCAACCCTCAACGGCAGACCTATCACACAATCAGCACTTCCCCAACCCATAACCACAATAAGAACATACCGAATCGCATTACTCTCCACATGCCTCAACTCCTCATCATCCCCATACCGATCGAGATCAATCCCCGTCCAGCCCCCAAACAGCGCCAACGCACCATCAATCGACCCAAGACTCCTAAAATACCTAAACTTCTCCCAGGCCTCCTCCTCCGTCCTCCCGAGCACCGGACACAACAGCGCCAAGAACTTAATCCCCGCGGGATCCCGTCCAAACTGCGTCTTCGCCGTCTCGCGGATCTCCGCAATATTCTTCGCCACCACGGACGGACTATGTCCCGCTACGAAGATCGCCTCGGCATGCTGTGCCGCGAACGCCTTCCCGGCTTTGGATGTCCCCGCTTGGAGAATCACGGGTGTGCGTTGCGGGCTGGGTTGGCAGATGTGGGGGCCCGGGACGGTGAAGTATTTGCCGGTGTGGTTGATCTCGCGGACTCGGGTTGGGTCTGTGTAGATTCCGCGGGTGCGGTCGAGCACGACGGCGTCGGACCGCCAGGAGGATTCCCATAGTTTGTAGGTCACTTTGATGTATTCTTCGGCTTGGGCGTAGCGGTCGTCGTGCTGGGGGTGGTTAGTATTGGGGGTGAACTTTTGGTGGATGAGTGAGGGGTGGGTTAGGGTACCTGGGGTTGTTGGGTGTGGCCTAGGTTACGTGCTGCGGAGTCGAGATATCCGGTAACGATCTGGGTTGGTTAGCTTGGTGATTATTGTTAAGTGGGTGGGTGGGTGCTTACGTTCCATCCTATCCTGGTTTTTATGTTAGTATTGGTAGTGACGACGAGGGCCTTGAAGAGTGACTTAGACTTACCGTCCCTTAGTGAGATGATCGATCGTAGAGAGCCGACGAGCAAGATGATACGGCTGCTCGTATGTCGTTGTGACAGTCACTCCGAAGCCGATGTTTTGTGTCGCGGCCGCCATGGCAGGTACGACAGCTAATGGCTCGTTGACGGGCCATTGCGCGCCAGAAACAATGGCTGGTTCGAGATTGCGGGGGCCTTTGTACACGTCGTAGCCGCCTGGGGAGGTTAGCATCTATGTAAATCATGAAGGTAGTTGAGAATAAGAGTTACCTAGAACATCTGCGATGAAGATTCCGTGGAACTTGGCGGATTCTAGAAGCTTTGCGAGCTCAATCCAGTGGTCGATGTCGTTGAACCGGTGCGATTCGTCCTCTGGGTGTCGCCACAGCCCTGGGGACTGGTGGCCACTACCTGGGATATGTTAGCAGTTGGAGCAGAGTAGTGAGTGGAATGGTACGTACACATTTCAACGAATGCATTGAGGATTAATTGTTTGCGGGGTCGAGATGTAGCGTTGTCGGTGGCCATTGTGGAGGGTAGATAGGAGGATAGGTTAGTGAGAGAGAGGTGTTGGCTTGGGCTGTTCCGAACCGGCAAATGCTGAGTCTTACGAAGATAAGAAAAGAAGGCCAGTTCAATCATAAAGATCTTGTTCAGAAATCAACTGCGAATAAGTACGGACCATAAGTGTGCAATTCCGACCTCGCTGGAGGGGATGTTCAGTAGCATCACAGTGGGCCGGGATGACGTGATGGGGAGATGAGGGGTTGCCCATTCATAAGGATCACATACTCAATACAACCCCAAATAAGGGCAAGGATCATTAGGAATCCCTTTATCTGAAATCTGGACACGACGCCTTCTGGTAGAGAATTACATGGCCTCGGTAGTTGGTCGAAATTTTGGCACAAGCCACCTCGGGCTCCCGGAGCATCCACCCCTGCCCTATGTTTGGTCCTTTTCCGCCAACTTTTGTCCCTGTCACGCAATAACTTAACTTTATTGACCTTACGCTATATGGAAAATCATGCACGCATATCGGCCGAATAACTTTAAATCCAGATATATGATCCCCAGGATCTTGGAACCCGGTCAAAGCACCTCATATGCATAAGCTATCGTATCATCAAGGAACACGATGTTCGCTGTAGCATACAATGATCGGCGGATAGCGTGATAGTAGCGATAATGTGAGCGTGATGTAGATCTTAAAGGTACATTTGCCGGGGTGCCTCCACATCGTCAGCCTTGTCTTTCTGCCGCTGTCGAGTGCTGCATTGTCTAGCCACTGGAGTATCTTGACAAGATGTCAGAAATTCAAGCTCGCGCAGCAGGGGCATCTGTGCAGCCGCCACTGTCTCAGGCTGTTGGATATGTTATTGTCGTGGTGCTAGGGCTCATCATCGCCGGTGGTATGTTCACCGAAGTTAGACGAGGATTGCAGCTAACAAAACAGTGATGATGGTCATCACCAAAATACTCAAAAAGACAACGGGTGAAGATAACAGGAAGACTGAGATGTACGTCCCATAAGAATAATGGGCTTTCACCTGCTAATATTTCAGGTTCATGACTGCCAATCGCACCGTTCGAACCGGATTAACAGCATCCGCAGTAATATCGGTACGAGTTCACCCTTGATAGCGATCTATCCCCTACTGAGTAGACAGTCTTGGTTGTGGACGACAGCAATGCTAGGAGCATCGTTTGTGGGCTATGACTATGGCGTGGCTGGCCCCTTCTGGTTTGCCGCAGGCTGCAGTCCGATGATTGTCTTTTTCGCCTTGATCGGGATATCCTGCAAGAGGAAGATTCCGGATGCACATACGTCGCTCGAAGTGGTCCGAATCCGTTATGGTAGGCTGCTCAGAAGCTATACCTATTGGCTTGTTGTTGATGTTTTCAGGTCGTGTTGCACATGCGGTCTTCATGACCTTGTGCTTGATTAACAACATATTTGCCTGCGCGAACATGCTCTTGGGTGCAGCTGCGGTTATATCAGCCATGTGAGTGCTTCACCGAATTTTCGAACCTTACTGACCATATAGAACTGGAATGCACATCATTGCTGCGACGTTCCTGTTGCCCGTTGGCGTTACCGTTTACACCTTCGTAGGCGGCATCAAAGCAACGTGAGTGCCCAGCTGAAGAAAGAGTACGCTATGCTTACCGGGATAAGATTCCTTACGGACTACTTCCATACGGCGATCATTCTCATTATTGCATGCTATCTCTCGATCAAAGCGTTTACATTCGAAGAGGTTGGCTCGATCGGCAAGCTATATGAGCTTGTGCAAGCCGCTGCGCAGCGTCATCCTGTGTCTGGTAATCAAGATGGGACATACCTGACCATGACTTCGAAGGGTGTACGTACTATAGTCCATGTTGTTGTCTCTGCTAACAAATCCAGGCTATCCTGTTCGGAATTCTTCATATTTGCTCCAACTTCGGCCTGGTTATCGTGAGTACAAACACACCAACCCGAGGAATGTCTAACATTTCTGTCAGATGGATACTAGCTATTTCATCAAAGCATTTTCCGCCGCTCCCTCCTCGGTAGTACCGGGTTACACTATCGGTGGGATTGCTTACTTTGCCATTCCCTGGGCTCTAGGAACCATCATGAGTTCTCTTGCCCTAGGCCTCGAGAATACGTCTTCTTTTCCAACGTATCCCCGCGTAGGTCCTGTCCGCCTTTGGTCGTCGAAGATGCTAATTAATGCAGCGCATGACCTCCACGGAAGTCAGCAATGGCCTTGTCCTTCCATACGCAGCCATGACTATTGCCGGGAAAGGTGGGGCGGCTGCAGTCCTCCTCATTACCTTCATGGCAGTCACTTCGACGATCTCTGCGCAAGTCATCGCCGTCAGCTCTATTCTCAGCTTTGACGTATACCGAGAATACATCAACAAGGCAGCATCAGACAGAGACATTATCCGTGCCAGTCACTTTGGTGTCATTTTCTTCGCTGCCTTTTCTGCCGGCTTCAGCACTATGCTCCATTACGTCGGTATTGACCTAGGCTGGACTTTATATATGCTCGGTGAGCCTCCACTTCAATTAACATCGGTGCAAATACTTATGAAGTAGGTGTGGTTACCTGTCCCGGTATCTTTCCTATGGCATTCACGATCCTTTGGCGTCGACAGAACAGAGCAGCCGCTATTCTGTCCCCAATTCTGGGAATGGCGACCGGCATCGGGGTGTGGCTTGGCACAGCGCAGCACTTTTACGGCGCAGTATCTGTCAGTTCAACAGGACAGATTCTACCTTGTGTATATGGAACTGTAGCGTCTGCTTTCTCGCCCATACTATACTCTGTCGTGATCACCCTAGTTAAGCCGCAGAGGTATGACTGGGCGGAATTCCGCAAGGAAAAGCTAGGACTCGAGCGACTGGATAGTGATAGCGATATCACGGTGAACGGCCCAGGTAGTGAGGCGCAGCAAACTCGATCCTCGTTTGATTCCCAGGAATTGAAGAGATGGGGGCGCATTGCTGCATTTTGGTCGATTGCAACTTTCTTGGGCCACTGGGTATTATGGCCACTGCCGATGTACGGATCGAAATATGTTTTTGGGAAGGGAGTAAGTATTTGTCACCATTAATCACGCATGATGATCGGTGAAGTGCTAACAAAATGTCAGTTCTTCACTGCTTGGGTCGTTGTGGGAATTATCTGGTTGTGGATCACAATGCTCGTGGCGATATTCTATCCCCTTATTGATGGGGGAGTGCAGCAGATGATGCAAATATCTCGAGGGCTGCGTGAAAGAAAGAACGCAGTCACGTCCTCATCAGCGCCATCAGTGACAAATGATTCTCCTGAGGTGTTCAGAATGAATGAGAAGTCTTAATCGGTGTGTCATTTTGCGGAATATTCAGAGTACTGGGAGATGTCTATGGATCCTGCCTACGCATGATCGGCAGCAATCATGAATGTTAAGTAGTGACGCTATTTTAGCGCGTGTAAATGCCTATAAGAGACCGCTGTCGTTTGTCGTTCAATTTCAAGAACTTCATCACTACTATAAACGAGTCAATACCTTGTATATTCTTTATTGGCCCTTTATATATCCACATTTTCCTACGCAGCAACAATGTATACAGAAGCACTTCTTGGGCTTCCAGTGCTGGATAGACGGATCAATCTCCGTCGAGAAAATCATGATTCTGCTTTGGGTGTCTGCAAACCAGGTTTTCCAAGGATATCAGTCTGAGAATGCTTCCTCAGCAAGGATACATGGTCATTTGAGACATCACAGTCACTGTAACACTTCCGTCGTTTCTGCTACTTACGTGGGCTTCCCTCCTGGTATTTGTGTCGGGACTGTCTTATTTACAGAAATCGTTCAACTCCAGAACTTAATTATTGATTACAAACTTATATGAGGGCTGCGAATTTGCCAATCGAGCTGCTCTAATTGATTAGAGACAGTCTTAGAAATGAAGGAGTGCCACTAGCCCCCTGTACCACTGTCTGCTGCTGGTGGAAGGAGGCTTTTGAGCCTTTTAATTATTTTCGCGTTGTGGTTTGTAGTACGCATGTCAATGAGAAAGCGCCGGTGTCCGGAATACCTGTTGATGTTTTTGAGGACATCACTTCACAAGCTGGAGCCGCTCGTCGCATGATGATACGGGAAATTGAGTATCGGGTATGTGTTCCGTACAAGCATGAAAACTGGTCTGGCTACATGTATAGCCACTATGACCCAGCAAAACCATTTGAACGAATAATGAACCAAGCCTTCCAATCCGCAATCCTTGAGTTTTTCCGTGTGCTCAGTGCGTGGCCCCGGTCCAGCTGTCTCTCTTTCAACGTGGGAATAGTGGGTTTTAGGCTGGTGAATGAAGTGCCAAGTTCGCACCATTCGGCCTCCATGCTACCAAACATTTGTTACCTAAATAAGATCTTCATTTCGGGCCTTTGCAACCCATACGACAGACTAGGGGACCACCAGTTTACGCCGAGGCGATCTACGACATCGTAAAGCATTGCCCGTACATCACGGAGTTGCGTATGAATCTGGGTTATCCGCATAGGCCGGAGGAACTGGAGTATTTGCGTGCCAGACGCTTAGGTATGATGTGGCTACTACAACTGACAACAACAGAGGAGGGATAATTGGCTAGATGCCCACTGCCAGGAATAATTCAAGACGGCCATAGAACGTAGTTCTTATTCACGTCTTTCACCGTTGTCCGTCTGCTGAATATGGTGTAAAACTTCTGCAGCCTTCTATGACTTATGTGCGGTGGCGCTGTGGACACAGTTCTGAAATTTCTATAGTGACCTATCAATATAATGAGGTACTGCCCTCTTCCTTAGTCATTGAAGGTCTGCAGAGCTACCCAGCGACACACTAGACGCTCGAGCGACCCGTACTAGAATTATTTCGAATACAAGCAGATCCAACCCAATACTGTACCGTACCATGCAGTTGGTGCAATGTACCTATCACAACTTGAATTTGACCCTAATTTGTGAGCATGTCGCTCCACAGCCCTCAGGGTATGCTGCCTAGGT